CGAAGGGTTTCGGTGTTGGTGTTTACGGGTGGAAAATACTCCCGTTTTTTGCTCGGTTTACTTGTTTTACAGTGTAGTGTTTTACATATCAATGCTTGCTGGAAGATTTGATAGGATCATCACAATTCAAAAAGGTGTAATAAGCCTGTCTACGAGCTAGTCACAACGGACGGGCCAGAACAACCCCTGGATCCCCGTCACACCTCACCCCGACGCAGTAACCCCCTTCCGCTTAACCAACCTCACCCACCGCCGCCTCCTCCACTGCCCGCGCCTCCCCATCCCCTCCTCACCCTCCTCCCAACTCAACCCCGGCGTCCCCATCCTCTCCCGATTCCGCTGCTGCTGCTGATCCCTCACAACCACCGCATCCCCCTCCCCCGCCTCTAGCCCACCGTTCCCACCACCGCCACCACCTCCATGCCCACCACTACCGCCACCCGCATCCCGCTCACTCCACATATCATAAACCCACCGCTCCCCCTCCGTCTCCACCTCCACACCCGTGATGATCCTCTCCTCCACCCACTCGCGGCTCCACAGATCCAGCGCCCACTTCTTCTCACTCCACACCCACCCCGGGGGCGGCAGCACGTCCTCAAAGAAGCGCGCGCCGCGGGGCCGCTCGTTGGCCAGTCGTGCCGCGGACAGCGGGTCGTAGGGTGAGGGGGAGAAGAGCCAGGGTTGCCATTCGTTGGGGTAGGTTGAGGAGGTGGGGTGGCCGGGGGTGGGGGAGGGTGATGAGGAGGGGGGTCCCGTGGTGGTGGGGAGGTCCTGGCGTTGGAGTTCGAAGATCTCGACTTCGCGGGTTTCTGGGGAGGTGTCGAGGTGGATGTCTTGGGTTATGAGGGTTTGGAGGGTTTGAGTGGGGTTGGTGAGGAGGGGGTGTTTCTTGTTGTTGGGGGGTGGGGGTTTAGTTGGGTCTTGGTGTTGTTGGTGTTGGTGGTGGACGGGGTCTGCTGCTGAGGCAGGGGATGGAGGGGCGTCGAGGTATTGGAGTTTCGCTTGCTGCAGCAACCTGGCTACTGTTGGGTGGCCCGACCAGATGGCTGCCCATCCGCCTACGAGAGCCAGAGCGCGGAGCGGGAGGAGGTGGGCTGCGATGAGCATGATAAGGCAGCCGGCGAACAAGAGCACGAAGACGGCTGAGGAGAGGGCCTCGTCGGAGAAATTGGTCTTGGGGACAACCAGCGCGACGATCTTGTCGTGGGCGACGCTGAAGTCTTCCATGACGTTCTGTAGGTCGCCCATGTTGCGGAAGAAGTCGTGCGAGAGCTCCTTGGTCGGCTTGACAGTGCGCGCCGGCGCGAGGGGCGGGCCTCGTGGGGAATAGCTCATGTTCCGGACGCGGTCTGCGTCTGGCGTCGGCGCTGGGTGGCGGGCGATGAAGGAGGGCACTAGGATGCCGAAGAGGGAAATGGCGAGTGGGAGGGCGAACAGGAGGTAGGGGTCTAGACACACAAAGGTGTAGACGGCGAGGAAGGAGAGTGTGTGAGTCGGCCGGCGCCAGGACAGCAGGCGGAATGCTCGGGCCTGAAACTTGAAGACGACGCCGATGCGGGCATTGAACCGTCTAAAGTTGGTGGTCATGAGAGGGAGCGAAAAGCCTGGCCGTTTGGCAAAGGGTATGTCATCGCCGGAGATATCCGGGACATGACCACGTCCTTCCTCCGCAGGCATTACTTGGGACACGAGCCTACGGGAGCAGTCTTAGCCTAGATCCAAAACTATTGGGGTTGGAGGGGGTCGGGTATCACTTTTCCAAAAGCTTATCCTGAATGTTGGCAGCGCGGAAGATGCCATTGCGCAAGCCCCTCCTCCCCTTCTTTGCCGACTCTGCGTCAGCAGCATCGACGGTGGCGTCGGCGGTGTCAGCAGTTTCCACTTCGTGTTGTCCCTCATCTTCGTGGCCCTCGGATTCTGGATTCGCCGCTTCTTCGATGACGTTTAGAAAACTGGCTGCATAGTCCTCCATGACTTGAGTCGTCTGATCTATCCAAGCAACCCAACCACCTCATGTCTCATCTCAGTGTTCCCGTCTTTAGTTATTCCCTTCAGACGCCCTCCCTCCGTCGCTCTTCCTCAAGGTAAAACGCCTAGAGCGGTGACGACGAAAGCGCTTCGGTGTAACGGGTATTTAGAAGTAATATGAAATGGTTGATGCGAATACCGTTGATTTTCAATAACTAATGATGGAATCGTGGGATGCAACTGCTTGCCCAAGATGCCGTCGAATCAGTGATCATGCATGACGTCCATGACGGCAGTGGCCGAGGGCCTAACTAACTGCCAGCGCCGCAGCGCAATGCCAGTGTCACATGCCAGCAACGGCGGGGCAGTGACGGCACCCAACCCCGTGCGATTCCGCCTCCACTTCATCCCTGAACAATTGAACAACACCCATCTCAACACCGCTTTGCCGCTCGTGGTCTTGTTGCATGCGAGAAGCCGCGGATAGTTGCTGTGTAGAAGCAGTACCTATGTATATGATGAGCATTGTTTCCCATGTTGTTTGCAGGTTCCACCCTCTTTTCTCCTTATTTCGGGCCGTTTCAGCTCCCGAAATTTACTCTAATCTCTTGCCTTTAACCATTTCCTTGTTCTGTCGTCTTCATGCGAGTCCTTGAAGCGAAATTATGGCAACCATTGGCTTGTTGCTGATCCAACTTTGATGACTGAGACAGATCCATTGCCAAAGATAATCAGTCTGTTTTGCCAGCAGCGGCCCTGGATTCTTCAAAGAAAGAGTAATCTCAATAGCAAAATGGGCCGTCAGATTGACAAATACTCAAATTGTCATGAGATTAGTTTTAACTAGAGATTTGGCGGCCGGCAATAACTCAAGATGCGGGATCCCGTTGCCGCATGACAAAGGCCAGGGTTAGGCACGCGTATCCCAAAGCCATCCATACCTTAATAGGGCCCCGTTAAGCAAACAAAACAATCACGGGCCAAGTAATCTGCCAGTGCCTTGCAGAGCCATCCATTGACAATGAACTGATGCCCTGATGTCTGGCAGATTTGGCAAGTTCCTCGAATGACAGCTCTGCTACTTCTGTAAAGAATAGTCGGAGCTCATGGCTCCATTACTCGGCATATCAAAAGCAGGGAGGGCCTTCGATGTTTGGAGATTGGCCATGCCAAGCCGTGATGCATCTGCAGACTGGACCCCGCCAACAACCGTTGGCCCTGCGTCTTCCCTGCAACTGCAACTGTCAGTGCTCAGAGAGCGCTCCTTCTGTGGCCAGATGTGGTGATGTGTTGGCATATTCTTCCAGGGACGCTTTCCGTGCTGTGGATGACGGGCGTTCTCGGAGCTGGAACAAACCACCTTTCCTTTTCTCTCCGCTCTGATACGGCCAGTAATAGTACAGTGTGTCCAGATTGACTAGTGGAGGTAAGGTATGGAGGGAGGCTTGTATGGGTTGCGCAACGTACGACCAGACAACGAAACGACTTAACATGGAGGTCCATAGTTGCAACATGCAAGGAGATGGTGTTCTGCTGCACGTGGCGGTATTACACAAACTGACAGACGGGCCGACGCGCAGGGTTGCTGTCAGCACCGGCGAGGACACCAGCCATTCTGCTTTTGACTCTCATGTCCGCTTTTTCGAGTCTTCGAGTTTTCGAGTCTCCGAAACGGCACTGTTGTTCTAAAGTTATTGGATCTGCAAGCTGGTCTTCCTGTTCTTGACCCCACTTAGACACAAGGCCCCTGAACGCACGTTCCACACCGGCACAGAGGTTCTGGGCACCTGGGGTCTGCCTGTTGCCCCGTGAAAAATGCGGTTGTTGAGTTGCGCCTGTCGCGTACCGTTCAGGTACCGCTTAAGACTGCCACCACCCTTGACCAGGACCCACCAACCCACCGCCAAAAACATCCTGCAACCCCAGCATGACAACCTGGAAAGCTGTTTCTGTCCCAATTCACGCCTTGCCGGCGACCCGACAACCGACGAGCAACGCGAGACGCCATTCCGGGCTGCACCGCAGCTCCCTCCCCACCCACAAATTCAACACCGTGCCTCGACACATTCGATTCTCGCATCGCGCTTACGGAATGAGGTAACGCTCCGATTGCTCTCAGCTCCCTGACCGGACTGAGCCTTGGACGTCGAACTCCCTTTGGAATTTGGGGTCGGACTCTGCGCCGTGGATCTAGACTAGACCGACACCGACACCGACACCGCCGGGCCTCCGCTCTTCCCCCTTCTCCTCCTCGCCGTCGTATTGCCGCTGCCATCCCGGCTCGCGCTCATTGAGCCTCGCTGCTCCCCCTGACCGCCATCTCGCGCTGTGCGCTTCCCCTATGAACAGAGAGCGCCTCGTTCCCGCTGGGCCCAGACGGGAAAACCAGTCTCCTCCAAGGTACCTAGGCCATTACCCAACAAGTGCTCAATTCCAATCTCCCATCCATCATCGTCATTGTCATCAGGACCCACCCCTCTGAACTGTACCCGATGTCCCTGTGCGACGAGTTCGCTGACGTTGCTTTTTGTTCTGCAATAGGAGGTCTCGCAACGCCAGTCCCACCAAGATCGGCTCTTTCCACCCGCCCACTACCGACGCTCCGATGCTCAGCGCCTCGTCCTCCAACAACCACTCTTTGTTTTCTTTCGGCGGCAGAAATGGCCTACCCGATGGCGTGACCGATCCCGCCAGCTCGTTCGAGTTCCTTCCCTCGGTTAGCTTTGACGATCTGCAAAGCAGCTTGGAGTCTGCCTCGACAGACTTCAAGCTGACCCAATTCCCGTCGCCGACCGGTCAAGGGCCCATCCTGGGGGGTAGCGCCCTCGCAGGGCACAACATGGTGGAACGTCCCGACATGACGCGGAAGGCCACGAGTAACCATGCCCCTGTGCAACCCGCTATCACCCGTTCGCGAACCGGCTCCATTCTCCGGAGACCCAGCACCTCGAGCCGACAGGTGAGCTTGACATCCACCGCGCCCGTGACCAACCCCGGCGTACCAAATGCCCCAACCGCCCCGGCCGCCATGCGCTCCCGCCGCCAGAACCACTACCCCCCGGTTTCCAATGCCAGCATCGCGAAGCCTCCTAGGAAGTCTACCGGAGATGTCGAGCTCCGAGGCGATTATGAACCTCGCAAGCGGAGACCCAGCGTGACATCGCTGTCAGATAGGAATGGACTGGAGCCTCCATCGAGAGCTTCCGTTGATGGCGGGGGCCGTCCCACGGGGGACTTTTTGCGGGCTCAGGCCAGTTCGCGAAGTGCCAAGGCGCGATCTGTGCAGCCGCCCGCCAGAGCCAGCCAGGCCATGTTGTCCCCAGATACCAACGCCCTGTCGCTAGACCACAGCCACATATCGATGGCATTGCCTCGATCACCAAGAGGCGCCGCCAAGGGTTCAAACCAGGTCGCTGGGAAGCGCGTGTCGGTGATGCCTGGCGTACCCCAACTGCCACATGCGACGGGCCTCGGCGCGAGAACCATCAGCCCCACCGACACAAGGCGGATGAAGCGGCTATCGTTACACCATTCCCAGAGCCCGGCGCCCGCTCCGGGCCTTCCAAACCCGCCGCCATTGTCCGCCGATGTCCGCTCCGCATCTCGCTCTCCCTCCATGCTTCCTCGCAAGATCTCGACGCCCTGTTCCTCCCGGACCACGCCGGACTTGAATCGTAAGTCGTACAGTTCTGGCCTTTCGGTCGCCTCCAATGCCAGCCTCAGCACGACAGTACGGACATCTACCGCATCGGCCCAACAACGCAACTCGCAAATTGCTAGCTCTCGGTTACCCGCGCCAAAGCCGCTCTCCACCCACAACTCGTCGAGCCATGACGATGACGAGTATGTTCCGCCGGTCCCCGCGATACCCAAGGCATACGAATCGCCGAAAGAGACGTTTACCGAGGCCGGCTTCCTGGACAAGCGCAGGTCGAACCTGGCGTTTGATGCTAGCAGCATTCACAGCACCTCGACTGGGAGCATGTCCGCGGCGTACAATGAAGGTCCGTCCGCCAAGATCCAGCGCAGGCCGAGCAACCGCAAGTCGGTTCATACCTCCAAGTTGGATATGGAAACGAAGGCGGCGGCGCAACAGTCCAAGAAGTCATTGCAACCATTAAGGCTTCCGCCGATTACGCTAGGCCCGCTGAGTACTCCGACCGCGGCCAAAATAGCCGCGCTCCAGGAACAGGGCTCTTCGGAGAGGAACCTTTCGCCACCCCCGTCAAGACAGATAGCGAAGACGCCGACAACGCCTATGACGGCTTCGAAAGGCGGGTTCTTCTCCAGGGCGAGGCTCGAGGAACGCTCTGACGTTCAACACCTACGGAGTAGTACCTCGGTACACCGAGCCAGACGGGAATCACCGCCGGAACTCGAACAAGAACCGGCGAGCTCGTCCGATTCTTTCATAGCCATTAAGAACGGGCATCCAAGGTCGGGACCTTCCCCTTTCCTCAGCACCTCGCTGCCCAAGGGGGGCCACATGGAAGCGGCATTCTTGAAGAGGTCCAAAACAGGCGGCGATTTCACCGCTCCGCTCGACGCCGCTCCCGATACCGCAGCCTCGTCCCATCATCACGCCAAACCGTCAGGGCCCCGAGCGCCGAAGCCCGTCAAGACGAAGCCAGCCAAATCCCCGCCGCCGCTTTCTAGTCCAGACGAGCCTCCGACTCCGTCTTCCATGAGCTCGCTAAGGAGGAAACTAAGCCTATCGTGGAAGCGGAGTGCCTCTAAGAACGGCGGCGGCCAACCGCAGGGTGAGAAGGGTGACAAGCCCGTCAAACACGACTCCATGCCACCCCCGCGCATTCCAGCATCCGCGACGATGAACAGCCTCCCGGCCGCCAAACCCCCCAGCCCCGCTCCGTCAACCAAGTCTAACGGGACAGGAACCTATCTCGAGTCAAGAAGACGGAAGAGCTCAGCCTCAAGCCTGAATGCCGTGGTGGCGCAAAACCAGCGCGGTCGTGACGATGGCGGAGCGAAGAAGGAATCGACGCTCGGTACTGTTTCTGAGCGCACCACCATTCCTCACAATTCGTCGGTTGTACAAAGGATTCTGAAACCTAGGCCCTCGACCGCCGCTCTACGGCACCACGATGTTTGGACCGGCGATCTAGACAACTACGACCTAATCGCCGAAGACGAAATGAAAAAGCTCGGGATGCGTCGCAAGGACACAGAACTAGCAGCCCGTACCCTGGATGCGCTCCGGAAGCGTGCCAGTGCCAAAGAGCGCGTCAGCCCCCAGGAAGCGATTCGGATTGCCGTACTCAACATTTATGAACGGGGCGAGATTGTGGACTATAAGGACGTCTATTTTTGCGGCACGCAAAATGCGGCCAAGGTTGTCGGAGACCCGCAATCCGACAGCCCCAACTTTGGCTATGACGACGAGCGTGGGGATTACACCATCGTGCCTGGAGATCACCTTTCCTACCGGTACGAAATCATTGACGTGCTCGGGAAAGGAAGCTTCGGCCAGGTGGTTCGCTGCATCGACCACAAGACGGGTGTTCTTGTCGCGGTCAAAATCATCCGTAACAAGAAGCGGTTCCATCAGCAGGCTCTGGTTGAAGTGAACATCCTGCAGAAACTACGGGAATGGGTACGTCCACGGTGAGAGGTGACGTCTTCGTTGACACAACTGACAATGCATACAGGACCCGCAAAACAAGCACAGCATGGTGAACTTTACCCATAGCTTCTACTTCCGTGGCCATCTCTGCATCTCAACCGAACTCCTGGACATGAATCTCTACGAATTCATCAAGTCAAATGCCTTCCGGGGCTTCTCACTCAAGATGATCCGCAGGTTCACGAAGCAGATGCTCAGCTCTCTCAACTTGCTCAAGCAACACAAAGTCATCCACTGTGATCTGAAACCGGAAAATATCCTTCTAAGACATCCTCTACACACGGAGTTAAAGGTCATTGATTTCGGCTCCAGCTGTTTCGAAAACGAGAAAGTATATACGTACATCCAATCCAGGTTTTACCGCTCACCTGAGGTTATTCTGGGCATGACTTATGGCATGCCCATCGACATGTGGTCGCTGGGGTGCATCCTAGCCGAACTCTACACGGGCGTGCCCATCTTCCCCGGCGAAAACGAACAGGAACAGCTGGCATGCATCATGGAAGTCTTTGGCCCGCCAGAGAAGCACCTGATCGAGAAATCCACCCGCAAGAAGTTGTTCTTTGACAGCATGGGCAAGCCGCGCCTCACCGTCTCCTCCAAGGGCCGCCGTCGCCGCCCATCCTCCAAGACGCTCCAACAAGTCCTCAAATGCGACGACGAGGCCTTCCTCGACTTCATCGCCCGCTGCCTCCGCTGGGACCCCGACCGCCGCATGAAGCCCGAAGAAGCCATCCGCCACGAATACATCACCGGCCAAAAGACCTCGGTCCCCGTCCCGCGCGCCATCCGCGACTCCTCCCCCAGCAAACGCATCAACAGCCTCAACGCCCCGCGGCCCCTCCCCGAACCCCCTGCCGCCGCCAAGACCACCGCATCCCTCCGGTCGCGCGACAACGCCGCCGCCGCCTACGGGCCCTCGGCAACAAAATCGACCGTCCAGCATTCATCGGGGGGCACCCGCCGGGTGTCAGGCATGAGCGTCACGTCGGGCGGCGCCACCGGCGCTAAGCGCACGAGCACCGGCGCGAATTCTACCTTCAATGGCGGCGGCGTCCCCGGCTCGCTGAGCAATAGCAGCTTGCCCAGGGCGTCGGCGCGCACCGTGAGCGGCAGCATGGCGACGGGGCTGGCCGGCGCGGTCTCTAAGCAGGATCTTGCTGCGGCGGGCGCGACGGCGGCTATGAGTCGGCGTGTTTAGAGGCGGCGGAGTGTGTGAGTTGGGGTCGGTGTTGTGGTGATAGGGGTGTGCATGCCGGGTTTGGGTTTGGGTGGGAGAAGAAGGGGGTGGGTGCATGTGGGGTGGGTGTTGGTGTTTGAAGGGTGATGTTGTTTGGTTGGTGATGACGGGGGTTTGGGTTTGTTGGGGGTACCTAATGAGGCGTACGGAGTGATGTTACCTGGGAAAAGACGAAGGGCGTAGAAGGAAGTGTGTGGTGGTGGTGTTGTTGTGTATGGGTTTGACGTTTTGACCCCTCTCCTTTCCCTGCCTGGCTGGTTGGTTGGGTTGGGTTGGGTTGGTTCGGTTCATGGTTGAGACGGACACACGGATGGATGAACGGATGATGATACCACATTTTTTGTTCAGCCTTCCTTTTTCTAGCACCTCTTGCATGGCATTGCGCGTTATACACACAGCTCCTGGTTCTTCTTTGTCTCTTGGGGCCTCCTCTTGCAATGGCTTGGTTGGTTGGTGGGTTGGTTGGCTGGTTGGATGGGTTGAGAGAAAGCGGCGGGTGTGGGTGGGTGGGTGGCTAGTTTGCTTTTGCTTGCGCCTGCGGCTACTTACCTTGCTGTTGCTCGCTCTTATGTTACTAGATATTATGATGCGGTGTTAGACACGCCGCGCTACGTTACTACATTACATTATTGGGGCGATGCCATGTATCATCCCTTGCGCTGTTCTCTTGGCTCTGGACTTGTTGTTTGTTTGGGCCGTCGGTCGACGGATAGGCTTATCTATTCTCGCAGAGGGAGGGGGGGGGGGTGGTTCGGTAAAGATTGCTCTATGGTCGAGGGAGGAATCAGTAAACAGGGCGAGCAAAGGGGGTCAGTCTACGCTTACGCCACACAAAGGGAAAGGGGCCAGCGGGGACAGCCCGGAAACCCGAAGGGTTGCCTGTTCCTATTTACTTCTTGTGCGACCTCCCTTCGAACGGAAGGGCCCCCTAGAGGTCCTTATGCTGCTGTGCCCTATGTGCCCTATGTGCCCTATGTGACCTCAAGCTGGTTATCGCAGTCCTTTCTCTCTTCATCAGGGGGGCACGGCGGTTGCCGCGAGGTAGGGACGCGGCTGAGGCCGGTCGATGCTTCTCGAGGTAAGGCCTAAGTGTATCTTCGAAAGTCGTCTCCGGCGGGGGCCGGCCGGACATGACCCCCGCGAGGAGCAACAATGCCGACGGCGCGGCGAGCCCTTGCGGAACGGAGGGCGAGAGAATCCTCGAGGATCAGCCCTCACCCCCGTCTCGCGCCCCTCGCGCGCCGTCCCGCCCGAATACGTGATCGACTATGTGTGTCTGTACGTTTGTACGGTTGCGGCTCTGGGAAATGTAGCGGTGCGTACCGGTACTTGCTCGCCTTGGCCGAGAGTGTAGACCGAAGATTCTGGGTGTGGTGGGACATGGAAGGTCGAGAGGGGGGGTGTGCCTTGCAAAACCAAGTGACTCCCCTGCCGCACCAAGATTGACACCAAGGCATCAATATCGGCTTTCCCTCCAAGTTCGCCATTGCCCAACCGCCAATTACATCATTTGTTGGTATTAACCGCCTTTTTCCGCCGTTCACAGGCGCTCAGATTCTGTCCATCCCATGGCGTTTCAGCGGATCCTCTACTTCTCTAACAACGCCGTCAATATCATTCCAAAAACAAAATAAGATGTGCTTCTAAAGATTCTGGATGTTTCTTTTACTATGATTTATGCCTATCTTACGGTTGTGATGACCGTCGTTAGAAGGGATACAATGCCGTCCATTATTTATACAATGTCTCCGGGAGTATGGAAGAATAGAGATATCCGATGGGAAGTTTAAACTATCGATACATTGGCTCAATTACTACCAGGAAAGATGGCATTTCTCCAGAAAGCCTTGGGAGGGGGCCAAACATGATGGAAGTTTGACATCCGTCCGACAATTGCTGGAAGAGTGCCTCCTATGTGCCACACCACAGTTGGATAAACCGTTGAGTCAGTGGTCAGGTGTTTAGTTTCAGCTACCATGGTATAGTGGGAGGTTTATCATGGTGTACAGGTAAAAGCCCTGCAGCACACCGGAAGGAAGGTCATCTGGACCCAAGGTACAGCCTCCTATTGATGGACTACGCAAACAGGTTTGATGTCGAGACGCCTTGGGGTCTATAATGGCAGGGCACAGCCAGCCGTACGTGCACCATCGGTTGAATTCAAATCCCGGGATGTGCGTCCCGTTCCGGACCGGCTCACCTCGCTCGCCCGGCTCCTTGAGGGATTCCGGACTGAGCCTCCATCTCGAGAGTTGGTATTCTTAGGCGGCAAGAAAAATACTTCCTCATTCTCGTCCATAGGAAACATGATCGAACTTAAAGTGAGTTGGGCGGTGAATAACGGCGAAGGACCGTGGGAGCAGTATTTGGGGGCCAACTCAGCCCTATCTGCCTGCATTGTCCCTCGCATTCCACGTTTGGAGGGGCAGCCGGTTGTGCTACTATGTTGTTCGGGGCGATTCTTGCGAGAAGCAATGGCTTCCCATCTGCTATCCGAGAATGCGGCGCGTAATGATGTGAACCTTCACCCATTGGTCGTCTGTGATGGAAGCGTTTGGTTGCCTTCGTTTACAAATCAGAATACCTAGGTAGGTTTCCTAAAATACGAAAGCAGCACGGAGAGCGGAGGCTGATGATAAGCAACACGCCGGTGAAGACTAAAAAAAAAAGAAGTGTGTGCCATCAATTGTCTTACCATGGCTCGTGAAAACGGGACAAAGACAAAACGTGTGAGTTTCGGTGTCGTGACAGTGGCTTGGTAGTGATGTTGTGGAACATCCATAGGACGGCCCGGCCAGGGTCCCGCTCAAATTCGGGCTCGATCCGGGCTGCTGGTCCGTGGGATGCTATTCCCTATTGTTGCACTGGACAATTACTTACAGTAGGATCTGGGGCATCCGTGGTGACACAGCACTCGCGACTGCGGGAAAACGGACATCTGTTTGGCGTCGGTCGACCAACCCAATTGTCCCAGCCCACGCGAAACTGCTTACAACCCAGGCCAAAATCGCCTACCAAGGCGGCTGAAGTAAGAGAGCGTTTGCAGGATACCCTCGACATCTCACAATCCTGGAAATACCGTGGGCGGTAGGACTCGGTTGGGATTTCCCAAGGCTCGTTACCTACACACTCGGTGACAAGAGGCGTCGATTACGTGGCTGAGCGTGAGGTTTGGAGAAACATGAAATTGACGTTGTTAAAAGCGAGACGATAGAAATCAAAGCCGATGTAATTGGCGAATTTGTTCCGGTGTCTGGCAGGTTCAACGGTTTGGGCGGTCGCGGCGGTGACGTGCCTTCCTGGTGTTGCCAGACGAGGCTGCTGCCTAAGGTTCTTGCCTAATCAGTGCAGTCGGCCAAGGCAGGCCCTCCTCGGTCAAGTGGCTACGAATATCGTCATGTGGCCGTCGACAACTCAAACCCCAAAATTGAGTTCCACTTTCCGCGCTTCCGAATACCGAATCTTGCTTTTCGCTCCGCTCCCGCCGGCGACGCCGTGGTTGAGCTCCGGATTAGAGACCTTTCGATTCGCTGCGATTCCGGCCTGGGGAGCAAATCGATGGAGGACTAACCGGTGACCAGTCACAGTCATACATCACGAGGCTGTGCTGGGAGCTACTGCAGAGTTCAATGTCAGGCCAGCGATGGTTGGTCTAACGTGAGAACCGAATGCCGCAAGCTCTGCGGTCGACACTGGGTTCTGGCCCCTGGTCGCTCGAGCGATTGGTTGGCTTTCGAGTTCTCCCGCAGCTTGCCCGTCCCCACATCGTGGACCGTCCCACCGGGCATCGACAATCGATCCGCTACGCCAGGAGGACCCGAGGAGAAGGATGAATAGGGTTCTCGCAAGATCCGGCTGTCGGATTGTCTCGCACAGGATGCGGCGTGAATATCCGGTGAGGCAGATCGCAAGGCTCAAACTACCCCCACCGACATGGAGAGGCTGTCAATCAGGGGAGGCCATCGGTTTCTGGCTGGGTATTCGTACCGGTCGGAAAATTACTGACATTGTCGATTCATTAACGATAGCCTCCTTTGTTCCCTCCTAGGTGTGCAGATGTCGTCACCGTCCTCGGTGTGCATGGCTGCCCTGTCAGGAAGGGTCGTGACCAAGCTTGTTCGTCATCGCACCCCGAAGGAACCGAGAAGCTAGCCGTAGAGATCGAACTGCGCCTGTTTTCGCTCTGCCCATGGTCCAATTCGACACCCACCGTATAACTCCCCTTTGACGCTCACTTCGGAGGCAGCACGTGCACGGGATTACTCGTCAATCAGATACACGAAACTTCCATGTGGTTGAAGCGGATGCCTGCTTTGGGGTCGGGTAGGCTGTATGGTATTACAGTACAATACAAATAACTAGCATGTCGATACGACGATCCCTAGATCGGTAATGTGGTCCCAATCAGACGGTCCAGGGGAGCAGCCACACGGGCGATCATGGTAACCCTTCCTGCAGCACTGGCCTCCATTGGGCGAGGTACGGCTGTCACGACTCAACAAGCCCCGACAAACCGGATCAAGATGATTGCATTGGCTTGGTGGCCTCTGCAGGAGAGAGCCGCCAGGGTCGAAATGTCAAGAGCCATCGCGCGTGGATGGCAGTGTGCATAGTGTAGATCTCCGGGGTTCAGTTTCGAGGTTGCCGGTGGGGCTCAACACACGGGGCGCCGGGAAACCCTGACGAGCCGTACCACCACCCAATGATGGTTCCACCAAGGCCCGAAGCGCCGTGTTCTGTCAAGCCGGTGCCGGGAATCTAACGGGTTTCGTCCGCCGCCGCCTGCTGTCAGCAGAGGCCGCCGCCTGCTTCACCAAGGACAGTCACCGGCACTGCAATCAAACACGCCCAATGAGAAACCCTCTCTGTTCTCTGTTTCATCTCTTGGCGACCGTTTCGGTTCCCCAGCAGCACGTCACCCAAGGCCTGGCCGGATCGTAGGCCATCGAACATCACCAACAACCGTGCATGCCGGGGGACAGCGGCCGACCCGCCCGCCGAGACCCGGCAACTCTCTGGGATTGTTTCCCACAGGACCCAGAGGTGTCACGGGGGTGCAGCGCCTTGTCAGCCACACACCGTGAGATTTGCAAGGGTCGGTGAGAAAAAGCCGCGCCACGTTGCGGGCCGTTTGGTGGTTCAGCAGACAAGGTTCTGAGGATGGTTGAACGTAACAGTCCGTACTATGGGGAGGAGACCGTGCGTCGCAAAAAGGGAACGCTGGCGGAAAACGGAAAACGGCAAACGGTAAACGGCAGGCAGAAAATGGAATATGGCAGAACACAGCGGGTTCGCTGTTCGCTGGGCGCGGTTCGGCGAGCCTCACATCGAGAACTGGTGGGGCCGGCCCGCCAAGAACCCCGGCCGGCAGTCCTCTCTCTCCACATCCGGTGGTGATGGAAACCCCCCCCACGGCTGCCTTCCGAAGGCGGTACATCTCTTCCGAACACGAGTGAGAGCGATGATGCTCGATTTCTGAGGTTGCCTTTTGGCCATTTCAATGAACAACCCAAACGACAACTCACAGAGGAAACTAGCTCACTCAGGTAGGTACCCGGGATCGCGGCTTTCCGGCGGCGGCTTGAGCCGTAATTCGCATTGCTAGCTTACCGAAATCACCGCATTCAGTCGACGCCGTGTCACTGTCGTACCTGTGACACCCGGGTGCCTGCAGGGCGAGTTGACCCGGCTCCGCAGGTGTTGTCCCGACGGGACCCCAACACCTCGGTCCAAGACAGACTGAACAGATTGACGCACAGTTCGACAATCCGCACGACAGCGACGCTGGAGGACCGCTGATCCGGCTGCTTGCGAACACACTTTACCACTCTGTTTCAGGTGCGACACGAGCAGACGTTCTTGACGTCAGCGTACCCCCTGTGCCGTTTGCCATTTCTGGACGCAGCCAGACCGTCAGATGGCTGCTGGGAGACACTTGATTCGGCGGTTTCCTTGCCTGGGTCGTAACCGCACGGTTAGTCACGCCGCGGCGGGCAGTCCCCGGGTCGCCCTCCAGTTAGAATGCCGCGTTCCGTTTGGGCGGTTTTTGGCATCCACCTCGGGCGCTGCGGCACTCCCATTGTTTAGGCGACTCCTTGGGGGGCACAACCCTAGGACGATGTGCGCAGCGCAGCGCGAGCACCCCGGACGGGTCCTCACAGGGGCTACCCTTGTCAGCTCCTGTGTGGACCGGGCGTCCGAGTTTTCGCGGCAGACAAAGCCTTTGGCGGTCCTCGGTTTTCCAACTCCACTTTAGCATCGTAGCGTCGTGCGCACCTGCGAGCAGCAACTTGCAAGGCTGCACCTCACCTCAATCGGAACCCGCAAAGCTGCAGCATGGGATGGGACCTCACCCCCGTTCCTGCTTCCCAGGCGGACGGCCCACACACCCTCCCACTGCGCCTTTGCATACCTGGTACCGGACCGTGACACCAAAACACACACAAAGTCAGAGACGTACCGTACCGTACCTGTTCATCCAAGGCCCCCCCCCCTCCCCTTCGGCCATGTCGTCCCTGCGCCTTCTTTTGGGTCTGCATTAGCCTGCATGCCGCAGATGATGCCCCAGTCATCAGTCATTCCGGTCTACCTGGAACCCTACTCCATCTGCAGTGAGCGTTCGGCGTCACTGCTGCCTTCCCGCCGCAAGGTCTCCCAGCCAGTACAAGGTACTCGGATGACACCGCGAGACCTCTGCCGGCGCCTGGGGCCTATAAGGCTGCCATGGGGCCCTCTCGGTCTGTTGACTGATGAGTCTACATCACAGCCTTCTCGTTGACGGGTGTAGTGCCTGATTACTCATTCTTCCTATTTCGTTCTTGCTTGCTTGCCGTTCGCTTTCAACTCCGTTTCTACGGTCCTGCTCTGCCCCGTTCTAGGTTGCTCCTTTCCGGTGTTGCCTGAGCCGTCCTGCTCATATTTATTTTATCCTCTCGCTCTCTTCCCTACCGGTCAGTCACAGACTTGCACATCATCCGATCACACCATCAGATCACATCTCGGCCACTTCCCCTGGTCAACATCGCAAGCCTCACATCCCGCCGTCACATCCCGCGCGCCAACAGCCAACATACAACACTGTTGCCTCCTTCCCGGCAACCAACAACCCAACCAGGCAGTCCTAGCATCTACAAGAGGAGGTGTTCATCATGTGCTACCAGTTGGTCGAGCTCTACTCGGCATGCCGATGCCTCTACTACCAGCACGCCGTCGACCGATGTGCCGCCTACGGCCGGCCAGGCCACGGCATTCAGAGGCGGACAATCTTGGTTGGATACGCCTGCAGCGACCACACATCACACGCCAGCGGTTACGACTACTCCTATCCTTCCCAGTACTCGGACTCGGGGTACTACTCGGGGCACTCGGGGCACTCGTCCAAGAGCTCCCGGGGTCACTACCGGTGAAGAGTCTTGTCTTCGATGATGGGCTGCTGCTCTCGGCATTCGCCGCCGCTGGAACGCTTCACACTCCGGGCTTGGGTTGCCTACCTCTACTCGTTCCGGGTGAGGTCGTCGATGCTTGCCCACCCCCCTTCCCAGCTCTCCTACCTCTTCGTGGGCTACGACCGCCTGATATCAATATCGGCACCTCCCGCCATCCGCTGACTAGTGGGTACGATATTCCCGCCGGACACCACACTCTTCACGAATGCCGAACCAGGATTGGACACGCAGTTGTGTCATCGAAGACGGGTACTTGGGTCAAGACGAAGGCACGAAACCTGGAGGAAAAGCAAATGGACACACGAGACACACGACGATAGTTCTCTCGAGAACGGGACGAGTTCGGACACATGACGGACGACCTTACGGATCACGGCTTTTGCCATCTCTATCCAGGATGGATTTCACTTTTTCGGCCTCATGAACGCATAGCATCGGGATCGGTACATATCCAGGATACGGCACCGCCCCACTGTACAACACCACACCCTTCCCATTAGACACCCGACACCCCCCCCTGTTGTTATTGTTGTTTGTTTTGTTTCTTTTTCTCTTCTGTACTTTTCCTACTGCTTCTTTTCCTTTTCTTTGCGCTACAGATCGGGACGAGACATGCATATGGGCTATGATACCAGGCGTTTCCAAACAGGGGGGACTCCAGGCAACTGGAAGGGTTGGGGATTGATGGTTTTCATTTTCTCCTTCTTAGAGTCTAGAAGGTGTTATTTTTTGCTCTGTTTTCAGTTTTCTCTTTTATCGGCCATGTTGGAGCGTTTGTTTTTCACATTTCTACTTTTTTATGTCTGGATGTTGGATGTGCAAACGTGTGTAACGTTGGATGGTCTCACCCCTCATTATGTCTAATTCCTGCTCTGGTAGCAGCGACAACCACGGTCACTCCTGGATGGAAGGCTGGGAGGAGCAGCACAAGGTCTGCTCCGGGGAATAGACTTGCTTTGAGCCTCATCTCGTTCCCTTGCTAGGCTGGGTCGTCGCCCTCTGGCGGGATTCCAGGGGCGGTCATTCCTGCGAGGGGCCTGCTGAGGCATGGGGGGGAGAGAAGGGAACATTTACAGAATAGCGCAAATAGACGCGGAGATTCACAAACCACTTGATGACAGCCTAGTACACACTTGGTAGGATACCATGGAGTCTCGGAAAACATGTCCGGATCTAGTAATGGTGAGTTCAAGCGCCGGGCGGTGCACCATCCTCTTGGCACGGCCACTTTGTAACCCCGGGCTTCGTGTTTACTAACTAAAGTAGTGTCGTTGCCTTGGTCCGGAACACACACCCAACCACGCCAACTAGCCAACTAGCCAACTCGCCAACTACCACGCTGTATTATTTCTAGAATTTCCTTTGGCGCAGTTGCAATGTTGGACAATCATTGGTCCGAGTGAGCTGTCACGATTGGAACCAAATTGTCCTGGAACTCGCTTGTGGCAGCCAATTGGCGTTCAAGGTCGCATCAAAACGGTCCAAAATATCGCATTTTGGGCGACAACGACAGGTGCAGAGCATGTTTCACAACCGGAGCGAGGTGTGTGTCGGAAACGAAGCCGGGTCGAGGGGGGCCAAAAGCCTCAATTCAGCCTCTCAGCCGGGTCAGCACTCTAATAACAACAGCCTCAGCACCCTCAGCGCTGCCCCCTTGCGCCAATCAGCTGCTCCGGGTGCCTGGGGCGATAAAAATAGAGGGGCAAAAACCTCGCGCAGGCTGGGGTAACAGGGGACGGGCATCGTGTATTTCCAAACGGTGCGGGTGAGGTGGCCTCCAGCAGATGGTCTGCCCATGGATACATCTAAATCTGCACATCCGTAATTAACTACCTATTTGTAACACCGTATTACTTATCCAACTCCCACCGCATTGTCAACTCAGTGTGAAACTACCACACGTAGAATATCTAGCTATGAATAATCACCGAAGGATCTAAACTATCCGGACCCTCCCGCAATCCCCGAGTAACCGATCTGAATCACATAATCACAAAGACTCTGCTTCCGTTGTTACCCAGATAATCCGGCCCTAGCGGGCGCTACCGAAGACGCCGCCGCCATGCACCCTGCGCCGCCCTTTCTCGGTCTCGACTTTTCGACCCATTCAACCGTCGGATCCGACTAGGGACGGCAAGGATGGAAGGGACGGTGGGTGGGCGGCGTCATCTGATCTCCCCTGGCCGTGACCACAGACCAGACCCTGCCCTCCTCACCTTACCCTGCCCGGGTTCCTCCCCTGTCCAGCTTAGAAATACGGCCGGGTTTGGCATGGTCCACCCCGTCTGAGCTTAGAAATAAACTTTCTCTTGGGCACAGCAGGTAACGAAGGTTTTGTCAGGTATGGTATTGCGTGCTGTCATGGACTCGCAACACACTGCGTGATGCACAACACACATCGCCCACACCAAAACACCCACACCAAAACACCCACACCAGATGCACATCCACGCGCAACACCCACACACACCCAAGCCGCCGGGACCATGCTCTAAGCTAATCGTATGCGCGTGCTGACCGGGCGAGCAGGTATCTCCGAGGGTGCCGTGCGGGCGGGTTTGGGATGGGCCTGCCAAAAGAAGGATGATGCAGTGCGGGCGTTGCGTCACCGTCCGCGTAACTTCTAAAATCCTTGAGGTGTCGAGTCGTAACTACCTACCTTATCTACAAGTGGTTGTTGAGCGTTCATGTTGTCCACGAGGGCTACCTACCTGGGTATCCGGGGTGCCTGCCTGCGATGACGACAAAACAATTCTCGGCACCGCGCGGCGGTTTGCGCAACCTCTTGTTTTTACTGTCTTCACACCCGGTGATGCGTATCCTGTAATTTTGTCTCGTTGTATTTTGTTTCGAACTTTTATTTCTGTCCGTCATTTTCTCCACCACCCCGCCAAACCGAAGTCATCCATCTCAACAGCCGCCCGAGTGCCGCACCGTAACCGCACTCCACCACATCGGCACCACTCCACCAAGCTGCATGTGAAACGAAACACACGCAGAGAGAGGGCGATCAGCCGAAACCCCCAACACACGGAGTGTACTTACACTAGATCGGGCGGCTCGGGACGCGGCAGCAAAAGCCCAAAGTAGCATAGAAGAGGACACTCAACAGGAAGGGCAGGCCCACGTAAGCTCGCGAGTCACGTTCGTTAGCGCCTTGGCCCCATCGTTGCAGTGGATTGGTAGCGTTGGAGTGTTAGTGTGTGTGGATGTGTGTGGATGTATGTGTGTGGGTGTGCGTGTGACGCTCGGTAATCGTCGTCATACTATTCTAGAACACCTTTCTTGCATGCCCCTCCTGCATGCACGCATGCGCGTGGGTGGATGGATGGGTGGGTGGTGGTGATGGTGGTGCGCCGTGCGGCGGCGGTGGTTGAGTGGTAAATTCGACAGCGGCAATGGCGGTATTTGGGTAGATGGTCACCCCATGTAACCCCGAAGTACCTACCTGATTTACGACCCCGTCCAACCCAGCCCGACCCTACCCTATCGATCGAGCTCTTGCGTTTGGATGGGTTTCAATCTGCGATGCAGTGAGGTGGGAGGAGAGAGGGGCGGATCGGGCGCGGCTGCGCGGCATCGCGGCTCTTGAAACATGGGGCGATCGGGAGTGCCGGGCTGGATTGCCTGTTGCATGTTTTGTTGTGGCATCCCGTTGCATCCATCCTGTTGCATCTGATACCGGATAAGCCTGTCTAGACGGAGGCAGATGGGATGCCGTTTTTGGAGACGGAGTTGGTGAGTTGGTGAGTTTGTTGATGCGACGTAGTTGATCAGAGCGGGAACCGGCAAGTACGAAGTCGTTAACCACCTCAGATAAACAGACAAACTACACACTAGGTACCTTATTTCGAGGCTGTAGTTATTCCTCACTATGCGCTCCAGATGTTGCCCATCGAACACTGACAATCCCACTACGAACCCTAACCCTCTAGATAAGCTAGCACAAGTGTGGCACTGTGACCTCCAGTCGTCAAAGCGTTGTCGATGCTCGGACCTTACATCTCTCTCCGTCTCTCGCTTTAGGTCTTGGGGGCAACCACAATCCCGTTCACGAAAGACCGGCGCAACTCATCCTCGCCTTTTAATTCTCTCGTCGAACACAAACAACATGGATACACTCGATTCTTCTTCTTCTCGGTATCGCACCGGTTTCCATTCTCCACCAGTGGATGCCGCCGATGAGCCACGGGACGCCGAAATCCAGGCGACACTCGCTGAGGCAGAAGCGCTCGTTCTTGGCGAGCAGTTTCGCCCGGCCCTTCGTCTCATTGTGAAGGTGCGTTTCATGCCCTTTGCGGTTCTTCCTAGTCCACTGCAGACTTGATCGAAGAAGTCACTAAACTGCGTTATCCGAGCAGGCTATTAACATGTGCCCTTGTGAACCCGCCAGCGAAGGGAAAGAGCGCCACCCGAAAGACAAGTCGTGCCACATTGATCAGTGCATGCTGGCCGTGAACAGCGGCGATCCGTACGCGCTTTTCGAGGTGGCTAAGAGCCCCTGTACGTGCGGATACCGTTGGCCGTCGTGTACCCACCAACACCACGCCGCAGCCCTCGATGCGCTCGCAAACTGCCTCGATAGAGATGCGCAGTACGTCGCCGCTTTTGCCGCCGCACTAGCGATCATCCGCTTGGATCCTGCTTCAGCTATGGTAAGTATCACAAGTATACGTCGAAGAAGCTGATTGCTGCCGACAGACAGATTGACTGACTCGATTCTATAGGGGTACTGCCGTGGTGCCAGAATCATCCGGTACCTCCTCAAGTCTGCCTCGCCGCCTGGCGATTCCGCCAAGGGCCGTGCCGTGGCTATCATTTTCAATCAGTTTACCGACGCGTCCTCTCCCCTTTTCCTCCGAGCTGTTCTTAAACGTTTCGTCCGGGGGGGGATGTGCATCATAGACCGCCACCGCCGCAATCCAAAAGACACGTACAATGTACGGGGCTCGATACCAATTCCATTTGACACAACGAGTTTGCCGGCTAATGAGTTCCCTCAGGCTGTGTTGAGGCGGATGGCTTATCATCTCGACTGCGATGATGCCCGTATGGACCCGGTCAAGGAATTCCCCATGGAAATCATCGGATTGGTCTTCTCACACCTCGACATCACTGATCTTGGGTAAGCAAAAGACCATCCTCCCCACACGTACCGTGCCCTCTAACACGCCCAAAGCAGATGCCTCCGCGTCAGCAAGCAGTGGAACCGGGTTGCCCAGCAAGACAACAGCTGGAATGACTTGAGGCTCAAGCGACCCGGGAACCCAGGGAAATCATTTGCTAATTTTTTACAACAACATGGGCGGATGAGGAGTCTTGTCATCAGTGATGCTACTTGGTTCAGTCTGACGGGCCTCAAGCTTCACCAGATGATGTTCGGTCTACCCCAACTGGACCGATTGTGCATCGGTTTTGGGAAGCGGGCATTTGTCCCGCCAATCCTTAAATCAGTCGCGACGAAAGCAACCATCCGACCAAAATGTCGCCTAACCCAGCTCTCATTAGAGTCTTTTAATTTGCAGTCGCCCCTTTTTACTCAGTTGTTGTCTTTTCACGCCGATACGCTCGTTACCCTGAATCTCGCCCGTACTGGCCCCCTTTTGAGCGCCGTCTTTGATAAGATCGCCCTTCCAAATTTGAAGAAACTGCGGCTAACCGCCGTGTTACAATCGACTCTTCGTCCTGCTTCCGAATTGATCGAAATGGTACGAAGATCTTCCCCATTTCTTCACACTTTTTGGCATGCCCAATACTCATCGAATCTAGAAACCAGTTGTGATTGCTACGCCTAACCTCGAGCAACTTCACCTGGACGGTTTTCGAGCGGCATGGCTCCGAGACGGACCTCCAACCGACCACTGGAACGGCTTGTGGTCTTCCCTTCGCAGGCTTACCCTCGGCCCGGCCATGCTATGCGTAGTGGTCCCGAGATCCCGCCTTTGGAGCCCACGCTTTCTACCCCCTTTCCCAACCTCCCTACAGGGTCTGGAAATTCTCAGCGCCAATGATAATGTCGCCCGCAGCGTCCTATTTACCACCGCTTCACCGGCTACAGCCATAAATGCCACAGCTCTAATAGATGGTGACCTCATGGACCTCAATCTGCCCCAGTTGGAGGTGTTCCGTTGCTTGTCTAGCATCCTAAAACCACGCCATTTAGAGCATATTCTCAAGCCCTCGGTGAGCGCCGGGAAACTACAGGCCCTTGAATTGCGAGCCGCCTTCAATCACCTTACACCCCCCAATGGAGGCGATCAGCCCGGCGGCTTCGTACCGGCTCGGGACCTAGATTTCCTGACCTGCAGCAGCCTTCACACGCTGGGGCTGCACGACTTCAATTTTTTCGAAAACCCCTCCGGTCGCTGGGTCGCCACCAACGAGTTTCAGGCCGAGCCCTTCGTCGAGTGGCTCGATTGCTTCCCGAGCCTGCACACACTGGGCGTCTACCCGGGCGATTGGGAAGCCGTGGGGTTGCTTATCCCGCGCCTGATCGCTCGGCCTGGCATCAAAGCCATTCATCAGCAGTACTTGCGCGGCCTTTCCTGGGACGAGGCTCAGAAGCTGGCCCGAAAGCATGGAGTTGAGCTGTCCCATAGCCCCGCGCACATGCCCGCCGGCTGGCGTGTTTTTGAGGATTTTGACGACGATACCTCGACCTAGACGTGTTGGAGAGACGGCATTTTGGAAAAGAGGAAAGGAAGAAAAGGGATACACCGTTTCAACGGATAATGGAATCTTGATCCACGGCGAATGGGGTCCGCCTTTACGACTCAACTACCAGGAAAGGACGTATGGGTATGGTTATAGACCATGGACAAGGATTGAGGATTTTGAGTACGACGTGCATCATCAACCACAGGATTGGTTGGCACTGGCACTAGATTCGATATGGCGTTTGGCACTCGACATTGGCATTTGCATTGACACAGGCACGGGTATGGAAGGCATCTGACACCTGGCTAGGTGTCTAATAAGGAGACGGAAACAGTCCATCTGAATTGGGAGGGAGTTTACATGATACCCGACTCGGTACATTCACACCGGGCGCAGACGTTGGAACGGAGTTCATGGGCTTTTCGGATACCGAGGCAGAGAGGATAATGCAATTCTTAATTCTACACATATCACCAGCTACACTTGCTTGACAACATTTCTATGCCCGGTTACCGCTCACCAATAATAACGCGATCATGCCGCATGGCCCTCAGATACGTAACACCCAAGTCACTATTCTGCACTCCTTCTCGTATCCCATTCTCTTCTATTCTGGGTGAACCCGAAAAATTTGTCCGGGAAAAGGTTGGCTGCCTGCCACGCCCAGAAACCTCCCAAGGTATCCAGCCAGCGGCCTCTCTATGTAGGACCAATCCTTCACTGTACGCTGTGACCCTCCCCCGCCACCCACTCGGCTAACTACTACCCCTTCCGTACATAGGCTCGTGTTCCTTGCATGCTTGTTACCTCGTCTTCCTTTGACAGAAATAGCCCTCTTCCATCTGAACACTCAATAATCAGATCAAGCAGGTAAGTATGGCCCGTCAATGGGTGTGGACATCGCAAGATGGACTATTTTGAAGCAGCTTTTGAGCCCCCGTTGCAGTATGCTATGGCGAGTGCTAACCCAGGACCGTGGTATAGATACCCAACGACCCGATACATATCCATGAAGAGGCTATCTTAGTAATGAGGGATGTAATAAAAGAGAAACCACAAAAGCCAAACGCAATGGTAATGATACGCCTCTTCCCTGTTCCAACCCAGTAACCCATACTCCTGCGCCAAGTGCTTGCTATGAATTCGAGCATCCTTAAAATAGAAAAGAGAAAACCCCTGCTGCAACCCGAGAAGTCGCCGTAATGCATGCAAAGCAAGATTCGGAAATGCCCACCGCCCAGCCTCAAGAGAGAGGAAAAGCCGATTCCCAACACCGTGCAACGCCTCAAGGAAAGCCAGTCGCCTTCTCCCCTCCATCATTCTTCTCACATGCCGGCAGCAACCCTCTGCGAGTCCCGGCTCAGTTCCCTCACCTTCACCCTCAGTTCCTCTCTGACCGACTCCTGCCACATCCTCTTCTCAGCCGCTGCAGCAGCAGCCGCCGCCCCAACAGCAGCCTTGGCCTTCTCAGCAATTGCTTTCCAGTTATCGGGATTGCTGGCCAGCGGAATCTCTTGCTTCTGCTGGCACTGGCGCATGACACGATTGGCCTGGCGCATCTTGCACTTCATATGGTAGCCCGGCTCGTTCGCCTTGCGCCATTCGAGATAAGCTTCGTACATCTGCTGCTTGACCGGGTCGTGGTCTCGGGGCTTCACGGTCACAGGAAAGTAAGGTCGGTCAAGCTTCCTCTCGGGGCCGATCGAGGACTGTAGGGAAGCGCCCGGGATAAATGGTGCGGTATGGGGGAGGCATGGGTTAACGCCTGCTGTTACCCCTGGGACGTAGGCCGGCACCGAAGCTCCACCGCCGGGCGGGAATGTGTTGAATCCGTTCATAGCTGGCAAACTTAGAGGCGAAACACTAATCGGCGCGTTGAGCGTTGCTGTGGACGGGACATTCCCCATGGTATTGTAGAATGGAGAGCTCGCAAATGCTGCCGCAGACATTGTAGCAGACAACCCCATTGGCGTAATAACATGGTGAGGCAGCGTGCTGGTTGATGGGAAGCCATTCGGGGCCATGCCATTGATAGGCAATGCGAGCTCGGAAGGCCGTGGCCCGGGTATCGTAGCCCTAGTAAGCGTGCCATTCCCAATAGCCCGGCTTTTTTGAGTAGTTTCTGTAGGAACCGGCAGTTTTGTCTGCTGCGGTCGTTGAAACGGAATGCCCTCTCTTACAGCGGTGAGTGGAGTGTGGCTAGGCATAGCTTCAGGGAAGATGTTAGCGAGGGGTGGGCGGGAGAGCTTCTTGGGCGACAACCATGGGGTGGCGTCGGTTGGGGTAGCCGACTTGAATTCGGCAGCGGCGGGATTTAACGTCTTGATCTGATTGTCGTCCACTGAGTGCTCCTTGGGTATATCGCGAGGTTTATCCCGCGAGTCATCCCTTGAACGGCGGTCACCCGAACCGCGGTCTGGCATATTTGATGCATAACCAGAGTCAGTAGAACTGAGTTTCCCATAATTATGCAAGCGATCGAGTCGGGCAACGAAAGACTTCCTTGCAACCTCTGCGCTTGGTTCGTGCTGAGTGCTTCTACTCGGTGGTTCGGGGTCGTCTTTCAACTTCATTGCCACGATGGCAGGGTCGACGATGTGACGAGATGACGCTGCCGGGCCATTGGTTTCTCGGGCCGGCGGCGGGGGCTCGTGCTTGTTTTGTAGGCGGTTCAGCATTCTCTGAAAGCGATCCTCTTCCTCGTTTGACGGCCCTTTACCTGCATGTCTGGGCCTGGTCTCGGGAACTGGGGCCCCGGGAATCTCAAAAGCAGAGCCATGATGCTTTGGATGAGCCCTTATCTCTTGCAGTTGGTCGTGAGACGCTGACAGATTCGAACCGGCTGAGTTTTGGGTGTCCCGGTTCTCGCTCAGCATTTCTTGAAGCTCAACCAAGATTTCATCAGAGTCTTCTGATGATACCCGTCGGAAGGCTGCTGGGCCGTTGAGGCGCTTTAGCTCACCAAGCGCAAGGTCAGACGGGGCGTCTTGCGGGTCGACCGCAGAAACGTCAAAGCAGAAACGGTTGGGCAGTGCAATGCCTTGCCCATTTACGCTCGTGAGTATTGGGCGGACTTGCTTTAGTTGTATCTTGACTGCTTCCTTGGTGTCGTCCCCAGACGTCGATGGAGAAGACGAAGGGAGCTGCCACACTGGAGCGGAGATAACGCTTTCCCAGGCAGCCTTTTTATCCTTTGGGTAACGGTATTGCGGACCCGAGAATGAATCGTCTGTTTCCAATTCCATCTGAATACATATGTCGTCGTTGTGGTCGTAGCTCTGTTTGCTCATCCTGGTGCCCTCACCTGGAGACGACACGCCGGCCGCCCTCTTCCGCCAGTCATTTGAGTCGATGGCCTGGGTTGTCTTGACTTTCAACCCGCTCTGCCTCAGTCGGGCGGCGGATTTGAGGCCGGAAACACGGTTGGCGCACCCGACCATTGTATCAAACTGGAAGTTTCCGTGAGCCAGCAAAACCTCAGGTACTAGGTTTCTCAACTGTGACGCCTACGGTTTTGGTCTAATAAAGCTTGAAACATCATGAGGTTAGCTGAAGAGCTCTGACGCTGGGGTTGTTCTCGGGTAGGGCTAGATTCAATCCAGGTTTGTGGCCAAGGAGACGCCGTCGAGTAACAGAGCTCGGGGATGAACTTAATGAGGGAAAGTAACAATTCGGGACAAAATGTTTCTTAGAAGGCTGGGTTACTCACCAGGCGTCCAAACTACCTACGTAACGACCGAGTCTTTGGGGTTGGTCAGGGCTCCCCTGCCGCAACTGACTCCTCGTCGTCGCTTCGCGATTCGGTGGACTGGCAGATGGCGCGCTTCGCTTTTCTCCGCTCTCGGCCGTGAAGTGAGCCCAAAAGTGTGAGAGATGAGGCAGCAATATAGAGAAAGGCTGTGACTGTTGTGGACGTTGAAGCAGTGGATCAGATGACGGTAAGCAACGAGATCGGATGCTTTTGCAACTTTTCGTTCGAGATGGAATCGCGCCCTCGGTTACTCGGTCCGAAAACAAACGCTTTGGTGCTCTGAGCAAACCCCAAGAAGAAGAAGAGATGACGTAAAGCTGTGAGGGAGACGATATGCACGGAGTACCCAAAAAGGCCGGCGGTGGTTGTCTTGGATTGCACTTCGCTTGGATGATGGGAGAAGAAAGACGGCGGAAGACGGTGAGAGACGGTGGGCCGCGTCAAGAAGGGACCGATGAAAATCAGCGGGGGACTCTTAGGGGAAGCAGGAGAGTCGTGGCAGTCACTCGTTTTAAGCACCGACAGAGCATGTGGAGGAAGGCGCCATTGTCGTCATCATCAGCATTGACACATCGGGCTTTGGGGCAGGGTTCCTATTCTACTCTCACAAATGGGCCCAAGTTGAGTGGACGGCCAGGTGAAAACCAGACTAAACCGTTTTGCCATCTCTTCATCCGTAATGTACGTGCCTTCCGAATCAAGATGGAACGGTGTATGTATGTGGAAGGCGCTTCCTAGTCATGCACTCTCTATGCCCGAGTTTCCTTCACCTCGATCTTGTTTTATCGAGCGAAGATTTTCTCGGCAAGGTCAGTGTGGTTTCCCTAATCGAAAGCATTACCTTAATTATTGAAAAGGAGAAAGAGATATGTTATACACGCAAATAAAAAGATAGAAAAGAAGATGAACGAAAATGATCAAGCATAAGCCCTCGTAGTCCACCGCTACCCCCCCCCCGATTCCCAAACTCTCATCTTCCGATCCATCCACTACGTAGTAGGTCATTCGTCTCATTACAAAGATCAGATGGGACCCCATCCCTCCCATAAATCCCGCAATGGCAAACAAGCCGATTCCACCTAGGGTCCGGCAACCCCCAATGATGTCAGTAAACCCTCCTGGATATGTTTTATACCGATGAAGGCAACCCACAGAGCTCACAAACCTGATAAGTCGGGGATCATACGGGCTCAATTCAGCAGTAAAGACAAATGCTCGTCAATAAACATCCAAATTAACTGGCCGCTTGCTACAGAACACCAAAACATCCACATAAACGCACTAGAAACATCATCCTCGGGTCAACGACCAACTCGACCCGTTCTACGCAGCCGCCTGCTGACCCGTCATGTACGCCGTAAACGATTTCTGCAACCGATCAGTCAGCATGCCGTCACCCCAAGGGATGGTATACCACCAGAGTTACGTACCGCGTTCCTAGTCTGGATGAAGACGGTCCCCGGTCCCGTGAATTTGCACACCAGGCCCTCGCCAGACGCCATGCCGGACATGAGGCCGCCCGAAGCAACACGCTCCAGGACATACTTGGTGTTCCACGCTACAAGGTGGCCGTTGTCGACGATGTACTTCTCGCCGTCCATGAGCTACACACACCGCCAGTCAGTCATCCACCCCACCAAGAAATAACAGAACAAGCGCAAATACAACAAAACAAAATAAAACAAAAACACTTACATCCTTCCGGATAATCGCCCCAAAACTGGTCAACCACAACAGCCCCGTCCCCGAGATCTTATACACCCACAACCCCTCCCCACTAAACATGGCCTTGCCGAGCCCCTGGCGCTTGTAGTCCTTGATGACGTTCTGGGTGCAGGCGAGGAAGCCGTCGTGGCTGACAGACCACGCCTCCTGGCCGCTCAGGCGCAGGCTGGTGATGTCGCCGAGCATGGGCGGCGCCAGCAGCAGCTCGCCGGGACCCGTGAAGGTCGAGCTGTTCATGTCGCCGCCTGCCACCAACTTCTTCATGCTGAACTTGATGTGGCCTTTGAGGACGATGGAGGGTGACATGGCGATCATAGAACCTGGGAGAGGGATGGTGTTAGAGAGTGAACAAGCCCGGGGTAGGTGGGGTGATGAGGGGGAGGGGTGTTTCAATGAGGGGGTACAATGTACCTGGCCTGGCTTCTACGGGGCACCCGATCGCCAGCTGGATGGTCAGGATGGAGTTGCAGTCGCGGTGGCTGATCCGGTAGCTCCCGCCGTTGAAGGTGCCGACATCATCAACTATCGTTGAGGTAGCACCAGCGAAGTTATTGCCAGTGGGGGCGCCAGTGGGATCAATCGCTGGGGAATGAGCCTGGGCCTGGACTTGCGCCTGCGCGTGTGCCTGCTGCAGATGCTGTGTCTTCTCCGCCGGGTACGCCCCCTTGTCGTCCTCCTTGGGGTATGACGGAGGGGCGGCAAACTGCGGCTGCTTCTGCGAGCCTTGCGATGCGGTCGAGGCAGTCCGCAGATGCTGGGGCAGTGCGCCGTGTTGCATAGGTGAAGGAGACGCTTGTGGTGGTGGGGCATATTGTTGCTGCGGGGGAGCGGCATATTGTTGTTGAGGAGGCGGCGCGTACTGTTGCTGTTGAGGAGGCGGCGCATAGTGTTGTTGCTGGTGCTGGTATGAAGGTGTCGACGACGCTGGCGGCGGAGTAGGAGCTGCGCCGGCCTGGGGCGGAGGAGGGTAATTCGTGGCAGCTTGGGTGCTGGAGGGAGGGGCGGGATACGAGAATTGAGTCTGTGTGGGGGGTGCCGATCCAGGAGGAGGCGGGTAGCTCTGCTGTCCTGTTTAGACGGTGTCGTCAGTATCACGCTTCGGCAGCACATGAATAATCCTGGAGGTGAACTCCAGGTCGACTGGAGACATACCTCCGGCGGAAGGACCGCCAGCTCCAGGGGGCGCTAAACACACAAGTTAATTTTTGGCCACCTTTCTCCCCACAGCCCATTCAATCACTCACGGGGATAGTAGTTTGCCATGTTGCTGTCTGGTGGAAACTCGGCGTTCAACTGCGGCGGCGTTGTCCCAGCGTGCTACAACTTTCACAGCTGTCAGTGAAGTTCATAGGCAGGGTACCTGAGCTTGGGTAGGTCGGCACCCAAGGCGAGTGAATCCACGCCCCGCACCTACACTTAGTGCCCCTCGTTCTGAGGTTCCTGCGATGATGCGATGCGAAGATTACGAAGAATGTCGGGCAAGACGGCGATACGAAGCCTGAGCAGAAATTGGGGAAGACGAGCGACTCGAATCTAGGAGAGCAAAGGAGCTTGCTGCATGCTCGGAGCACCTTTTTGAGGGATCAGTTCGCGCAAGCAGGGGACCGCATCCCCTCCCCACGGTTGCATGGAACCAAATCGAGAGCCGACTAGTATGGCGACCCAATCAGCAAGCTCCAGTTCGAGCAGAAACGCGCGCCGAGCTGTTTGACAAGGGCGCTTAGGGATGGAGCGGGCGGGAGCCTCGTCGGCGATTGGTTATGATGCAGGTGAGCCTCGACTCCTAAAATGGAGACGATTCGAGGTCCTCGTTCACGAAGGACGGGGACGCGAGTGTTTAGCCATTCCGTCGCTGGAAAAGGAGGCCCGGGCGGTTCATGGTATTGAGGCAGGATAATTGGATGGTACCATGTAACTTGGTGTACCCGGCCAGCACAAGGAAGTTTTCCCCCGACTTGTTGCAACAATAAAATTGGAAACCTGTCGTTGGTTTCCAGGGTTTAACAATGGCTTTCTTTCGAGAAATTGCCAGCTGGGAAACATTGTTGACCGTTAGCGAGTCCTTTCCAAGGGCTGTTGAGAGGTTCCATTTTGGGCGAACCCCAGCACAGTTCCCTCCAGGGGTTTCTCCTTGTCCAATGGTGATCGAAGGATTCTTGCCTGCCGGAAGCATTGCATCACCGGTTTTGGCTCCGGGAGCTCGGGAATCGGGACGTCATAAAAATTATTCCAAAGCGTAAGCGCATCAGCCCACCACACGATATTGACCGATAGTTACGATTGAACGACCCGACCGCCGCACTTCTCATGCCGATGGTCGTATTCTACTAGCAAGCGTCTTGTACAGCGCGAGACAGCCACGTCACGAGCAGCAAACGAGCCCCGTTACCGCCTCCCGTTTCTCGCCCCCCAAACTTGCGGGCTCTCGGTGCTTTTGCAGAGCGTTAACTCCGGAGGAACCAAAATAACTACTCCGGGTGCGCAGCTTTCCTATCCCCGGACCATAGGAAAGCTCGACATCATATTTTCCTTGCGAATTTGCGACCATGCTACGAACGGCAGTCGGGGCGTTTGACGCTCTCCTCGGAGGGAGTGCGGCACAAGGGAATATTATGAGGAGCATGGTTGGGACAAGAATTGGGATGGGCAGGACATCGGCGAAAGCCATAGCTGCTCCGTGGCATCAGAGGGCGCTGATGTCGCAGCTCCGGGCGACGAGGACCACGGTCGCTCGGTCGAAGTTTGGGCAGGTCAGGACACCGCTCTTCAAGCCGAAGCGCCCCTTCCATTCCACACGGCCTCGGCGAGCGGACGCAACCCAAAAACCTGGGGATGCGGCGGCCGAAGCTTCGTTATCGCTGAGCGCCAGGCTCAAGAAGTTGTCGAGAGAGTATGGCTGGGCTGCAGCTGGGATATACCTCGCTCTGTCCGTGTTGGATTTTCCATTTTGTTTTTTGCTCGTTCGGACAGTGGGCACCGAAAAGATTGGTAGAGTTGCTCGCACCCGCGGATGCCCGTAATACTAGCTAACGGATTGTGCTAGCCTATCTAGAGGACATCGTGGTGCGTAATGCCCAGAAGGTCATCCCTGAGCGGGTCCAGACGTGGTGGCGCGAATACCGGCACGCTGCCAAAGAGGCGAAGAGGGAACGGACTGGCGAGCTGGGCGAGCTCGATGTTATCGGCCATGGGGTCGCGGAGGCTGAGCAGCGGAGCAAGCAAGAGGGAGCGAGTTAGTTTCCCCCCTGATCATCCCAGACACACACTGATTTTTTCCCTAGGTCTCGCCACGCAACTTGCGCTCGCATACGCCATCCACAAGAGTTTCATCTTCATCCGCGTCCCGCTGACGGCTGCCATTACCCCCAAGGTGGTCAAGGTGCTCAGATCATGGGGCTGGCAGATCGGCAAGAAGGTCAGCAAGAAGGCCAAGCGGTGAACGATGCGAACCCCGGTGTACGATCTCCCCCCCTCTGTTATTGAGTACGAGCGGCGTTAGTGAATGGCGGTTGCATTTACAGATGGAGCACTCCCCATAGACTGTAATACCATCTTGTGTATTAGAATTCTGTATACAGTATTTACAAAGCGAACTAGACAGTATTCGAATTTTGAAGGAGCAAGGTCTTCGGTGTCGCGGTGTCTATGAGTCCCCACCAGCACTGTTCCGGGGTGCCATGGCCGTGTGGGGCCGGATTCGGGGGCATCGGTACTTTATTAAGGTTCGCAGCGGGGGAAAGCTTGGCTTGATCAAGTTATTCGGCCATCAACCTTATGCCACCAATATCTCCCGTGTTCAGTCTTATTCACGCAGTATACACAATGCAATCAACCTTCTTTTCCTTAACGTCCACCGATGGGAAGAACGTATTGTCTCTCACAGGTCCAGGGTGCCAGGATGGCTGCCCCGCGCCAAGCCACTCCCTTCCTCGCTTGCATGGGTAAACTGTCAACAGCCGAGACCTGTGCAAGACCTCTTCCTCGATGAGGATACCTACCTTGCATATGCTGTCTCGGCTGTTCAACAACAAGAGACGGTCGCCGGTACCCCTCCCTTCCGTTCGTTCTAATTGAGGGCCTGGGTTGCACTCCGCGGCACCCTACGGCCGTCATTCAATATTGCTGCGCCCTCTGATCGTTTGTTGCCTTTGCGAACGGCTCCTTCCCTCGTTCCATGGGCCTTCCCCATCGCGATTCCATCGGTTGATCAGCAAGTCGTGACTGTTTTCCACGTTCCACCGTCAATTCGCCATGGCTTCGTCGGATCCCGAGAAGCGCGCCATCCCCACGAACGATGACAAATATGATCTGCTGCCGTCAAATGAGAGAATCCCAAAGCGAGGCGTCTGGCATTGGGTAGCTATCTGCCTCGGCGCGATCGTCGTCTTCTCAATTGGAGTGACATCCCGTCGATGCTCCGCCGCCACTTCACTCTTCATAAGTCACGGCGTACCACGATACCATCATGCTCGTCCGGGGCTAGTATCTCAGGCTATCAACAGTCGGTCACCAGCCAATGCTCAGGAGACGACGGCTACTACCTCGGCTGCAGCACCGAACAAGACCGTCCTCAAAACCTTTGAGGTTGCCCAGCCAGTTTTGATGCCCGGCGGCCCTGCCGAGAGCGACGGTTCGACTCGCCATGGAGAAGACTACTCACCTGAACTATGCACCGTCTTGTTGATGCGCCACGATTTTGCCTGGAGCTATAATGCCCCGTTCGTGGGTGAGCCTGCTTCGAGTAGTCTGTATATCTCGTCTATTCCGGCCCTAACCTCGCCGTGCTACTTCTAGGGGACTACATCCCGCCTGACTGCGAGTTTAATCGTGTGGTGCTTAACTTTAGCGTCGTGAGCCAGGGCCGGCAGTTTGACAGGCTTGCGATCATGTATCTTGGCGATACCGAAGTTTGTAAGTCTTGCTGCGGAGCTGAGCCGTATTACTCTGGTTCCTGAAAACTATGGTCGTTCTTGTTGAATATCTACCTCACCATTTACTCGGAAACAAACTAACAATTGAATCGACAGGGAGGACATCCACAGCTGAGCCCACGGCCCCCCCAGGTATCAGTTGGATTTACCTTAAAGATATGACCCATTACCTGTACTTTTGGAAATCCCCCCAAAGGGTCATATTTGATCTTGGCAACCTGATCGGTTTGTTTGAGTTTCCTTTGTGTCATTGACTCCCGAGAGTGTTTTCTTACTTGCAATAGACGACAAATATACTGGCATCTTTAACACCACTATGACTGCCATCTTCTACAACGACGACGTTGAAATAGATCAGGCTCCGCCAAGTGACTTGATCATTCCAATCTCAGCACGTCAAGGGGTAAACGACTCGATCAGCCGGTTTACATTGCCGTCCGAGAACGCGACCAATACGATCAGCCTCCCGCGCAATATTCGCCGTGCCGTTTTCTCCGTCTCAGCCAACGGCCAAACAAGCGAGGAGGAGTTTTGGTGGAGTAACGTTCTGCAGAGCGACGTCTACACCTTCAACGCCACTGCGGGAAAGCTTCCGGGTCTCAGTCCCTTCCGCGAAGTCCAAGTTCTCATCGATGGTAGACTTGCCGGGGTCCAATGGCCCTTCCCCGTTATTTTCACTGGCGGAGTCGTTCCCTCGCTACACCGGCCCATCGTAGGCATCCATGCTTTCGACCTCCGCGAGCACGAGATAGACATTACCCCCTTCCTGGGCTTGCTGTGCGATGGCCATGAGCACACCTTCACCATCCGTGTAGCCGGCCTGAACAACACCGGCGATAGCACCACGGCCTCGCTCACCGACACCGTCAACGAGAGCTGGTACGTAACCGGCAAGATCTTTCTCTGGCTCGACGAAGACCCCTCCTCCATCACGCGCGGCGAAATCCCCATCATCAACCAACCTCCACCTACAATCGCCGTCACCCGCTCCCTCACCACCTCTACCACCAACGGCACCACGAACAACGAAACCCTCACCTACACCACATCCGTCGAGCGCGCTCTACGCATCACCTCAAACTCAGCCTCGTGGACGCAAAGCCTGCACTACACCAACCAAGGCCACGTCACCGCCTTCGGCTTTAACCAGGTCAACGACCTCAGCATCTCCGGCACCGACACGCTCCGCACCCCGACCACGCACTACCGCGCCGCCTACGAGTACCCCGTCTTCTGCAACTCGTCGTACGCCGTCTCGCCCCAGGGCAACCTGTCCATCTGGGCGTACCTGCGCCAGGGCAAGGAGGCCGCCGTGTCGGGCGCGAGCGTCTTCCCCACGGGCCTGGAGGCGTTTGCGAAGGAGAAGTATGCCGGGCGCGGGCTGGTCAGTCGTCTGCAGACGAGTAAGGAGGGCACGGCCGAGTTTCGGCAGAGTGGGGATGGGAAGGTGAGTAGTGGGTGGGGGGACGCGCGGCAGAGGTTTTGGTTTGGGGTTGAGGGTGCTACTGGGGGGGGTTGACGGGGTTGAGGACGGGAAGGGTGGGAAGGGAGGGAAGGGGGAGGAGTTGTATTTTAGGGAGGTCGAGGCTGTGAATGGGACGTTGGTGGGAGATGTGAAGCGGATGGAGGGGAGGGAGATGGGGGGAGGTGGGAAGGGTGGGAAGGGGGTGTTGGATGTTACGGCGACGGACTATGCTTAAGGGGAGCGTGAGAGTGTGATTTTGGTGTATTGACCTGGCGGTTGCAAATCCAATCGTTGTGCTCTCTGTGTTAGTAGCCGCTCACTGTGTAAGTGTTACGAAACGGTTTGAATGGGCGCGCAACGACTTGTGAACTATGAATTCAGTGTTCAACCAGAACCTGTTACTTCCCGGTTTGTACCTGTAAGGGAAAGTCATCCTTATGAATAACGAAGTGATTTCAGAGGGTGGGTTTGATCTCGCCTGCTTCGGCTCTTCACTGCCTTAGGTAGGCTGCCGGAAATCAGGTATGTACATACATACCAAGCTATATACTCATTCAGCAGCTTGCTACGTGCACTTAGAATCCAACACGCCACAAAAGGATAGTAAAAGGCCAACCACAATTGTACCGTAAGATGCTTAGCCGCCTCTATTTCTGTCTGCTGAACCGCCAGTCAAATCCACTCTGTTTCGCATTTTTCCGACTGTTGTTGGCTCCGAGAGGGCGGTTGGTTACTTTGGAAACGGCGTTTCACAGCACCAGGTGCCGCACGGCAGTCGCTCATGCACGATCGTTGCCGGGCCAAGCATCGCGTGGGGCTGTGTGGGTGGGTCAACAAATCGTTTGAGGACCAGGTTCTTGCAAATCAACGATTGGTCTAACCTTGTGAGCGCTTGCAGAGGGCGATCAGAACAAACTTGGCATCTGCCACCCTGATCCCCTGCCAACCGCCCAGACAACAAGTGGATGGCGTGCAATCGTTCTGGAGCCCCTCAGCCCACGATCGAAACATCAACGAAGGTTCGTTGGGTCAGAAACTACGGCACTGCAGCAGGCCGAGTTGGGTTTCCAATGGTCTGATTTCAGCGGTTGCACAAAGAACAACGGGCAAGCCGGCCAATCGGGGGCCCTGCGGACAAAAGAAGATGGAAGCTTGGGCGACTGGGTCCCACAACTTCCGTCATAGACCCACTTTCCTTCTTTCCCACCCGAGTGTGCATAGGCAGGAGGTACCTCCATTTGAGGTGGGTGGTTCCCAAGGTGCTCCTTGCCAACGGTCTTCTAGTGTACCAGTTTGTAAAAACACTCCGACGCCATCATACAGCAAGACCGGGAACAGTAAAAGCCAGCAGGTTCCCACGTTCCCCTCCATACACCCTTGTGCCGTCTTCCCCTGTTCAGCTTGTCACTCTCCACAAAGAAGCAACCTTCACCCACATCACCAACATTGCCAGGGCAGCAGAATATTGTCGGTTTTTCTCCAAGTACCTTCTTCATCAGAGCCACAGCAGTCGCAAAGATCAACAATTTCCCGCAAACCGCACATCCAACAGAACTGGGCGCATCTCCCCACCAGGAACGAACCCCGCCACCTTGACAACCCTCTCCGCACGCTCAAACTACCTCGACCCAAACCGCCGCCATGGAAAGGATACAACTCATCCTCCGAGCGACCCAGCTCCTCTTCATCATCATCCTCACCGGCCTCATCGGCAACATCATCGCGAGCAACCTGCACGCAGCGGGCTCCGCCACCGCCGCCATCAACTTCTCCATGTTCGTCGTGGTCCTCTCCTGGCTCGCAGCCCTCCTCGGCCTCGCCACGGGCCTCGTCGAGCGCATCGCCCTCCCCTTGCTCGTCCACCTCGGCGCGGATGCCCTGGCCACGCTCTTCACCTTTATCGGCGCCGTCGTGCTGGCCGCCAAGCTGAAGGTCGTCAACTGCGCCGACACGAGCAAACAGCCGGGTGACTGGATTGCGTATGGGAGTGGGGACGATCATAAGCGTTGTCGTGAGGTGCAGGCTAGCACTGTTTTTATGTGGTTCCTGTTTGCGACGTTTGCGGCGGCGCTGGTTTTGAGCTTCCTTGGTTTCCGTCGTGGCGGTGGGAGCATCCGGTCCGGGCCGACTATGTCGCAGGTTAGGGTATGAGGCATGGGGCTGGCTGGTTTGGGGTTTGGGAAAAGGGTACGGGGTTGGGATGGGTAGGAAGGCTTGGGTAGGGGGCGTGGGTTTGGGAGGTCTGGGGTATGGGTATCAATGGACAAGGATTGATGTGTATGATGGGCTATGAGGTTATGGCTGATTACGGATGGGGTACGGGAACTACTTATTTTAATGGGTATATGACTGGGAGGGTTTGTATCGGCCTGCGTTATGGATAAGATCAATGGTGGCTTTTGTGGAAGTAGCATACCCCGTCAAGATAGCTGGCTGTCTGTCTTGTTTTTAGCTCGTTTTCCTGACAGAGTACAACGCAAGAACTAAGACCAATTTTTATCCAAGCATTTCGAACCCCAGCAGGCAGGTGACGTATCCGTCATGGAACCAAATGCTTGCATATACCATCCCCAAATCCGTAACGCCATGGCAATATGTACCGCTCCCACAAGACAGGCTCTAACCGATATGCCGATATGTACTCATGGCTCCTCCCAGCCGGTAAATCCCCCAAGTCATAACGATGCTGCAGCCTCGGCGGCGCCGGCGGCATTGAACGCCCCCTTGCTTGTCCACCGGATCTCGACGTTGTGCATCCATTCCATGTATCTCGCCCAGCCTGGAGCACAAGACAGAACAGGTCAGTAAGCAATTCTCTTTCCACAGTCTACCCTCAACACCAGGGGCGGGGGGAGGGAGGGTCAAGGGCACCTACTCCAGTACGCAAACTTCCGCCCTAGAAACTTCCCCGCGAACGGCATGACGATCATGGTCAGCAGGAGCTGCAGCTGCTCCAGGCTGGCTTCCCATTCCCGCTGCGCATCCGATAAGTCGGAGGAATCCGAGTCGAGGATGCTGGTGGAGAGCGACGAGAGCGAGTCTACATCCTCGTCCCGGCGGCCATCGGGGGAGGAGGACCGCGATGCGTCTGGGAGGATGTAGGATGACGTTGCGGAGGGCGTCATTATTATGTCGGAGGAGGACATGTCGGACATGTCGGACATGGTGGGCGGTGTCGAGGTGTGGGTAGGCAAAAGCTGGTTTGGGGTCGAATTCGGGGTGGGTAGCTCGAGGATAATTGATTCGGGCGGGGTGGAGAAAGCGGCTTAGCCGGGTGCCGGCATCGACTTCTGTCGGGATTAGGAGCTGCCGGAGATTTTGTCGGAGCCCCTCTTGCTGACGGATGGCCGAGCCAAGGTCAAAGAGTTGTTGTTTGCTTGGTGCTTGGGCAAAGGAGTTCCACCGAACCCGGCAGCCGGTGTGCGCGTTGCGAGTCGGCACTGTGGTTGTAGTGGGGGAGCTGCTGGGTGGCGTCTGAGTGGCCAGTGTTGGAAAAGATCCCCCGCTTGTCAGGTGATCGTGGGACTGAGTCACTGAGTCACCGTGGGAGGAAGGCCAACGTCATGTGGATGAAGGCTCCCACTTGGTCGAACGACAACATTTTTGTTCAAACACGGAGATAATATCGCCGTGCAAGCACCATAAAATAGAAGAGGTCTTGCCAAGACTTGTCGGCTACGATATCCACCACAAAGTGCCGAATACCGATCAATATACACGCGGCTGAGACAGAAGAAGCCGGTGGAGTGACAGACTTGAGAAGCACAAGGGTGGCCAAAAAGATGACCACCGAAGTAAGTTTTATTTGGTAACCCTCAGTCAGTTTTCCCCTCCCCCAGACGACCAACTTCCCTCTGTCACACAACCACATACCGCACCTCCAAAGTCTCAACACTTTATCCCCGCGGGATTTTCTCTTCTGCCCTCTCTTTCAGAGTTTCCGAATTTCAACCCCGCTGCATTCTTCGGGCGTCTTCCTCGAAGCACAATTGTCCGTCTTTGCACACCGGAATTTTGAACCCAACCTGAGAATCCCGGCACTAACTCACTCCCGACAGGAACCTACGATCCAAAGGCGGGCCTCGCGCAAGTCGGTTGCATTTACAGAAGAGAAACTGGTAGTAGACGCCGACGGCAGCGTGACCATGATTGCGACACCAAACGACGATACCAAAGACACAGCCATGTCGCACACACCCCGTACGCCGCCTCTTTCCGCCGCACTCGGGGCGTTTACTGATGCCTCTTCAGCACCCGCAGACGACGCTGCCCCGGCCGCCGATCTCAACGCGGATGGTCTCGACCTCTCGCTCATGAAGAAGAAGAAGAAGAAGGTCAAGAAGGACGACGACGAGGGGGCCGATAGTGGCGCTGTCGCCGGCGACGAGGAGGCGATCGACCTGTCGATGAAGAAGAAAAAGAAGAAGAAGGCGCCCAAGGAGGAGGACGAGTTCGCCAAGAAGCTCGAGGCGTTGAACCTCGAGGGTGGCGAGGGCGCCGAGGCCGCCGCTGACGAGGGTGTGCAAGAGGGCGATATGGACAAGGGTACCGGTATCTGGGGGCATAACGAGTCGCGCACCATCAACTACAACCCGCTGCTCTCCCGCTTCTTCGCCCTGCTGGCGCAGAAGAACCCCGACCACGCATCGACCGGCACCCGCTCGTACAAGATCCCACCGCCGCAGTGTCTCCGCGAAGGAAACAAGAAGACCATCTTCGCGAACCTGCCCGAGATCTGCAAGCGCATGAAGAGAGCGGACGAGCACGTCACCGCCTACCTGTTCGCTGAACTGGGTACCAGCGGCAGTGTGGACGGTAGCAGGCGGCTGGTTATCAAGGGCAGGTTCCAACAGAAGCAGATCGAGAACGTCTTGCGCACGTACATTATAGGTATGCCACCCAACCCCACGACTGTTTGTTTGTTAGGATGCTGACCAGAAACCTAGAATATGTGACGTGCAAGACGTGCCGGTCTCCCAACACGGAACTGTCCAAGGGCGAGAACCGTCTTTAGTACGTACCCTTTGCTCTAATTTCCATGATGAGATCATCTTCTAACACCGACCAGCTTTATCACTTGCAACTCTTGCGGCTCTCGTCGTTCCGTCCAGGCTATCAAGACCGGTTTCTCGGCCCAGGTCGGAAAGAGAAGGAAGATGAAGGTCTAAAGATTTCCACGTTGATGCCTTCCTACTTTTCGGCGTTTCTTTTTCGGTTCCTATCTACTCTGTCTAGAGGGGGATTAGGTTCTACAGCGCTGTCAGGGTCATTTCTGCCTTTCTTAGCTCTCGGTGGCAGGCCCTGGGACACGATCGTGTGACGATGTGACGACGGGCTCATTTGGGATTTGGGAGGGGGGGACCGGTTATCTGGCATGCTGCAGAAGGGACGGGTATAGGTTCATCGGCGGCACGGTGAGCATCTGGACGCGGGAAAAGGTGGAAAGGCGGTGTTTCTCTCCAGCCGACGGCCGAACAAGATGAAGACGGGCTATACTGTTTGTAGTGGCTGCGTTCTGGCAGGGTTTGTATCGCCAGACCAGATTGGCAGTTCGCGAAAAGTTTGTACACAGCGGCTATTGTTTCTTCCGACTTGTTGCTCCCGGTGCTGTGCTGACATATACCTCGTGAAACAAAGTGGGGTGGGTGTTCAACAAGCTCCATCTTGCATCGACTCATTGGGTCTCAGTCCGAGATCTGTATCTCCCCTCTTTCCCGTCAGCTCAAGTTCACCTAACACACTAACACCACACAACCTACATCCCCAACCACACAACAAACCAACAAACACGACAACACCCTATCCCCTCCCCAAACAGAGACATAAACAGAAAACACAAAGAAAACAAAATGACAATCCGCAAAACCCCCACGGGCACCCCCGGCACAGTCACCCTCCCCCCCGCCGGCCTGCCCTCGCGCAACCCGTCCACCTCCTACTGGCTGCGCGACCCTTCGCCCACCCTGCTCGGCCACCGCGGCACGCCGGATTTGCCTACGACTGCCGATGTGGTGGTGGTGGGGAGCGGGATTACGGGGGCGTTCGCGGCGAAGTTTTTGAAGGAGGCTGGTGGGGAGGGTGGTGGTGGGAGGGGGAGCGTGGTTATGTTGGAGGCGAGGGAGGCTTGTTCGGGTGCTACTGGGCGGGTGAGTCCTTTTCCTTGTTTTTTTCTTCTGTTCTTTTGCTTTGCGGGTGTGAGTTTTGTCTAGCTGGTTGCGGGTTTGGGTTGGTTGGGCTTGTTGGCCTGGGCTCAGAGGAGGTCGGGTGGTGCTTGGTTGGCTGATTGCTGGATGGACAGAATGGAGGGCATTGCCAACCGTTGGTGTATGGTTCGGTGCCTGCTGTGGCAGCGTTTGAGTTGAAGGTGTTTGACTTTATGGAACGGTTTGTGAAGGAGGAAGATGTAGACTGCGATTGGTATGTTTCTTTTTTCACTTTGTAACTGTCTACCTTGTTGAGGTTATCTCGTCGGGTTTATGCTACTACCCCGGGGCAAGATGTTGACCGCAACAGGGTGAGCCTCTCCGGAGTCCATGCCTTCCTCTCCAAGGACATGTTTGAGCTCGCGGCAGCCGACGTACAGAAACTACAGCAAAGCCACCCCGAACTCGCCGCGCAGCTCGAGGTAGTCTACCCGGCGGACTGCACCTCCGCCACAGGAGAGAAGCAAACCCTCGCCTCACTCCGCGTCCCCTCCGCCCAAGGCGTCGTCATCCAGAAAAAAGCCGCCTCCCTCTGGCCCTACAAACTCGTTGCCGCCATCCTCGAGTGCCTCATCACCAACCACCCAGCTCCCAGCTTCAACCTCCAAACCAACACCCCCGTCAGCTCCCTCTCCCGCGCCGAATCCGGTCCCGGCTGGACCCTCACCACCCCCCGCGGCATGATCACCGCCCGCCAGGTGCTGCTCGCCACCAACGGCTACACCTCGCACCTCCTACCCGCCTTCTCCGACCTGATCGTGCCTACGCGCGGCCAGATCGGCGCGATCCTACCCCCCAGGTCGGAATCGGAATCGGAATCGGAACCCGCCCCGTCCAGCAGCCTCCCCGCCAATCTAACCCACGCCTACACTTTTGCCGCGTCGGCGGGCCCCGGCGCCGCCGTCGCTGCGCCCCGCGACGACTATCTCGTACAGCGGCCTCTCCCGTCCGGCGAGTTGATTTATGGCGGCGGCCGGCGGTTGGCGCGCGGTATGGGAGTTGGTGAGTGGCGGGATGATGAGGTTGAGGAGGATGTTGCGCGGTATTTGCGGCGGGAGCTGGCCCCGCCGTTAGATCTTACGCCTGATGTGGGTGTGGATGGGCAGGGGAAGGGAGTGGCTGAAGGGGAGTTGGAGGCGTCGTTTGAGTGGACCGGCGTTATGGGATACAGCCGGGACCATCATGCCTGGGTGGGGGCGGTTCCTGAGAGTTTGGGCGGTGGCGGACCCGACGGGGGGTTGTGGGTGTGCGCTGGGTATACGGGACATGGGATGCCGGCCGCGGCGTTGTCTGCGCGGGAAGTGGTGAGGCAGATGACGACGGGAAGTGCGGAAGCGGTGGTGGGAGAGGGTGAGGTGAGGTTTCCTAGGGAGTTTGCTCTGGATGAGGAGAGGGTGGCGAGGGCGAGAGGACTGCCACATTTAACACAGGGTTGGGAGGCCACGAACCTCGCGGCGCTTATGGGTGATTCCAGCAAGCACAATGAGGAAAAGGGGGTATGAAGACGGGGATGAATTTGGGGGCCGTGAAATCCATGATGTGGGTTAGGAATGCTTAGGTCCGACCGAGTTGACAAGAAGTTCGAGTTCTATTTATGGCACACCTGGCCTAGCAAGTCAATACATATAAGACAATTGAGATCATATTTAGGACTGGCCTTGCCGCAAATGGTTCATTGCTTCATCTGACAAGTATGCCAGCATCAAGTATTGCTGGGTGCCAGGTTTCCTCCTGGGTAATTCTACCCAGACTAGTGGCATGTCAAGGCGGAAAGTAGCGACACAGTTTGCATTAACGGAGACAGCAAATAGAAAGATGTGCTATCCACTGTGTGTGGAAATTGTTCGATGCTTGAACATTGCAAGTATTTGTGCGTGAGCAACATGAGCCGGTCTATGTTGACAACTACCCCTAAAGAGGGGACTGTCATCCCACCGAAATCCCCTCTCCCCGAAGGATCGGAAGATGCGAGTGTACATATATCTTCAATATTTATCCTGTCGAAACCGGTCACCTGGCCTAAGATTCTAACGTTCTTGTCGCCTTCTTCCTCTCCCGTAGGCGTGGGACGAACTTCACAGGAGCCCAAGAGTGATCATTGTTGGGGGCAAGAAGATAATATTAAACATCAGTGATGGGTTCCAGCGTGCCTAATTGAGGCGTATTGAGGTTTGGGCTTGGATGGGTGTATCCTTGACAAGCTAAATCCTTCCATGCAGCTCATCCTTCATCGTCCCAAACACCAAAGCGCCTCAGCCGATGAGATTCGGATCCCCTTTCACTCCTCGAATGCTCTGCCACAATCTCCTACCGGCTGCCTGCATATTGACCGTTTCCCTTCGAAAAAGTGTTTGAGTGGTTGTCTGGGATGTAACAGGCGGGATAGCTTGCGTGGTTTTCTCTCCAATTCAACATGGAGAAAGGGCCATTCAGGCCGAGTAGCTCTCGACTGAGAATTAGGCAACGATAAAGGCACGGCGAAAACCCCATAAACCAAAGTGAGCTGGATGAGCGAGAGCATGTTAAGAGGTAATCCTGCCAGCGGCATGGTAAAGCAAACGTTCTCAATTCCAAGGAGTATCAGAAACGCAAACAGTCCTGCCCAAGGGCCGAGGTATGTCGTTGGCACCCCAGACAATCTTCGGAAACGGCGATGTCCTTTCGGGGATGCCGACTCCTTCACTCCTACGGCGAAACAACGATGTTGACATGCACAGCGCAGCCATCAGGGGTCACAACACAACCGGCCTGGTACCGAACGAACCCCCTGAGCATTTTCTGGATTGCAGAGAGCGCTACACCAATTGTAGAAAGGCTTGATGTCAGTCTCACCTCATCAGCGAGAGCCGAAAGCAGGCAATCGAAGTTGTGTTGGCCCATTTGCCCCCAACTCATAACCTCGACTCAGCCAGCATAAAATGATCCTGTGAAAACAAACGGAATCGGTTCATGGCCAACCCGTTGGAGTTCACTGCGGCTCCTTGCCCCGCTCGTCGTGCCCGATCTGAGTTTCGGCACCGAAGGATTGGTGGTTGCCTGAGGGCAGGTCCAAGTGCCGCCGCAGGCAGCAGAATACTGTATCATATATCACACCTAGGGCCGGTTCTTTCGGAGTCGGGCCCCGATTATCGTTTTTCCAACACCGACGACAAAACGATACCGAAAATGAAGGAAACCGACGAGGAAGAAAAGTGGTGTAAAAAAAAAGAGGTGGAAAGAGATGGTCGAGTGCAGAAGGATTTTAGGGTTGCCATGGGTTATTGCGAGGCAGGAACAGGTCGGTCAGCACCTACCACCACGGACACAACGGCAGCACGGTTCTCGGATCCGATCAGTGGGGGCACTCCCGCTAAACAGCCGCTCCAGCCGCTGTAACACCCTATCCGGCAGCCGCCGTTCGGGTCGCACATGCCGGACGATGTCCGACCGACATGGAATTGCCTCACAACAATCGACGGTCTCGAGAGGCAAAATCACATCAACCACCCGGATTTTTCAATTGGGGAGAGACAACAAAAAAAACAGGGCTTTTACCATCGACTCCTTGAGACACTACGAAATTCCCCCCCAAAAAAATGGCACCGATTACCGACGACGAATGGGCCGACCTCGTCGCCCACGAACTTCCCAAGACGACGGACCCGGTCATGTATAGTTATCTCGAAAGCCGCCGCGCCTTGGTAGCCGAGGAACAGAAACAGCGGAGCGGTACTGCGATTCTCTAGTTATTTCCTCTGTTACATTGACCCCCGTCCAGCTCATCTCCTAACCACAACAGGATAGACTATACCTTCCAACAGGCGCTGTCACCCATTGCGAAGAAGGCGCGTGACATCCTATTTAGGATTCGCCTTGAAGAGATACGATCTTCGGGTCCCCCACCCTCCAAGGAGAAGGCAAAATCGTGGCAAATAATCAGGCGTATGCCGAAGGGTGCACTGCTCCGCGCCCATTGCCATTCCCTTGTCGACATCTCTCATCTTCTTGAGGTTGCCTTGGGCACGCCGGGCATATGCATTTCATGCCCCGACGGTAACCTCGCCACCCAATATGCCAGGAACGAAGGGGGTCTCCGTATCCAGTTCAAGGCCAAGACGAACCCCGACGATGCTTCAATCTGGGGCGCCGACTACGCGCCCGGCACCTACATCGCCCTTTCCAAGGCCGCGGACGATTATCCCGAGGGAGGCAGACAGGGATTCGTCGAGTGGTTCAAGGGGAGATGCATGAACTCCACGCAGGACTCCAATCTCCGGATGCATCGGGGGACACCGTTGACTTACTCAGAAGCCATTAACGGCATGATTTACTATGAGCCGATTTGGCGGGCGTTCCTTCAACGGCTCATGGTAAATCTTGTTGAGGACGGTGTCTACTGGCTGGAGCTTCGGTGAGCATACCATCCTTCCGGGTCTGCACAATGGGCCCGGCCCATATGTTATTTCCCCCCTTTCATTGTAGTTTCACCGCGACGCTCGGTGGCCAAAGTGGAAGGAGGCCGGCACTGCTCGGCCGCTAACACCAAGGAAACAGTCTTACATTTCCATTCGGCTATTACCGCGAAGGATCACAGGCGTCGGACCCGGACCACGACCACCTGTTCCAAGCAATTGGAGAAGAGGTGGCCAGATTTCAGGCCACCGACTCCGGCCGGCGATTCTGGGGACTCCGTGTCATGTGGTCGACCTCGCGCCGCCAGGATCCACGGTCGATCATCGAGGACGCCGATAGCTGTATATCAACGAAGCTTCTGCGACCGCAATTGGTGGCCGGATACGACCTCGCAGGCCCTGAGAACCTCGGTAGGCCGCTGGCAGGCCTGCTCCCTGAGTTGTTCTGGTTCCGGAAACAGTGCGCCGTCGAGGACGTCCAGATCCCCTTCTTCCTCGGCGCGGGAGGATCGCTCCATGATAACGACGCCACCACGGAGCGCAACCTCTTCGATGCTCTGCTTCTCGGGACACGACGAATCGGGAACGCCGTGGCTCTGCACAAACATCCACGCTTGGTCGAGGCCGTCAAAGACAAACGGATCCTGGTGGAAACCTGCCCGGTACCCAACGAGGGATTTGACCCGACATCAGGCAGTGTAATGTCCCACCCCCTCCCGACCCTGTTGGCGCAGGGCGTGCCCTGCGCCCTATGCGACGATAATTCCGGAATCCCATCCGGGCAGGGAAAGGATGGTGCTTCGCTGATGACCAACATCTTCTGGTATGCATTTCAAGCGTGGGATAGCATCGACCTCGCCACGTTAGGATCACTAGCCGAGAATAGTGTCCGTTGGGCCGCTTTCGAAGACCAAGACGCGGAGACGTGGTACGCACAGCTTCCTCTTTTGTCATTTCTTCGTGACCTCGTCGGGCGAGTGCCGTGAGAGGATATTCGGCTGCCTGGAGATATTGCGACACTACCTACCACCCTCAGCCGTCGAGGCGTCAAGAGGCAGGCTAACTATTCTTTCCGTGTTCAAGGGCGCGCGACGTACGCGCGGCAAGCGTGGGGGCCGGAACGAAAGCCGCTCGATTACAGCAGTGGGTCGTCGAATGGGAGCGTTTCTGTCTATGGATCGTTACAGAATACAACTACACGTACGACGACGGCGAAGACGGGGATGCCGACATCGTCGGCACACCGGCCACTTCTACGACGAAGGCTTGAGCGGCTTTGGCGGGTGCCAACGCCGCCGGTAGAACGGCCCAGGTCCATGGTCGAGCCTCCAACCCGCCCCCCCCTACCCCAGCGGGCTTTGCCCGGGAATATACAGGTGAGACCGCTGAAACATGGGTTCGGCTGCGGCTTTAGAGTCGTCGAAGGTTCTGCGTGGCATCGCGATGCCGAGAAGTTTCAAGTTACCGGCGCCGTCAGTCATGGCGGCGCAGTGTTGTATTGGGGGCCGAGGCGCGGCTATTTTCTCTCTCTCTCTCTTCGCCCCTGGTAGCTCTCTACCATTGTTTCTCGATCTTCAGCAGACGGCAGTTTCTCTTTGTCGGTGTTTTCGTCGAAGCCGGTTCCTATCCGATGCCCAGCACCAAGGAAGCAGCGAGCGGCTGACGCGAGCCCCAGAGGCGCATCAATCAAAATCCCTTGTAGTATTTCCTGAAAGGATCGCGGTTGAGGATTCATGGCCGAATATTGAGCAGGGAAGAAGGAGCCCATATTTTCTGTCCCTCAAACCCGGAATCCATCTTGAATCCGTCCAATTCTATGATGCATCTTTCATCACGTCGCCCTACCACCAATCGCGAAGCCGACCAGGATTGAATCCCATGACGCGAAGGAGCGCACCCGCTCTGCGAAGCCACTGGGCGCTTGTTTCAACTTTTGACGACAACACATCACGAACTCCGGAAAGCCACCTTGCGCTCAGCCTTGTGCTCCGCGCTTGGGAATCGAGATTGGGTTTGGGGTAAGCCACGAACACCCCTGACTTCGCCGAATCCTCCCTGCCGCCACCACTAAGCAATCGGCCACCACAAACCCAACAACAAGCTCATCTGATCCCCAGCCCTATCGGGAACCCCCGTCCGTCCTCCCCGTCCTCCCCGAGTCCCCGGGCCTGGGCATGCACCCCCCCACAGGGGGAGCACATTCCTGCCTGTAATACGTTTACACCCGCCGTTACACCAGCCGTTCCATAGTTACACCACGCTGGCAAAAGTAACAACGCCGCACACGTTGCGTCGGTAAAAACGCAGATGTGCTCACGCATCCAGCCTTACGCGTCAGGTCACACTCGAGGAGGACAAGGTGGAAATCTTTGACTAATAACTCGATTTGTCACGAGGGACTCTATGTATAGACTTTTCTTTTTTTTTTTTTATGTTCAGGCGACCCCCCTTTGGGACAGAACAGAACAGATAACTTGCAGCTGTAACGTGCACTTGCAGCACCCTTCCGTTTCTAGTAAGTAAGTGACTCCAGAAAGCGGAATCTCAAGGGGGGGATCGGGACCGAGCAAACCGAACGCACAGGAGTTATCTCCAAAGTAAACTATCGGAGGTGCAAAACCAACAGACAGAGCACGGTAAGGTAACTGAAATACACGGTAACTAAATACATAACCAGTAAAGAAATTATGGGTCGCCGATGGGATGCTGCAGCTCAGGGTAGCTAACCGCCAGGAATCAAAGCCCTGGGGGGTGGAAGCTTGTCGACCCGGGCCGAGGACTGGGCCAATTTTAAAATCACATGATCTGCCGCTGTAACCACCCCGAACAGTGGTGTTGCTGCAAAGAGAAGGGGGGTGGTGAAGAGGGGGGATACCTCTGGAAGAAGTACGTATCGTATTGTATTGTATTGGATTACGCATTGGAATGTGTATTGTATGTACATACCTACCCAGGTAGAGATGGACATGTGCCCGGCGTTATTATATATCTCCGGCTTAAGTGTCCGAACCGGAGAGATTACGCGACGGGGAGCACCTCCACGATCGGAGCCCGATGGTGTGAGGTAAGATTCAGAACATGGGAACGAGTGTTTGGAATGACGCAAACGCCCGAAATTTTTGAGATGCCGGATTTAAGCCGCCAAACATCGAGAGGTGCGGCGTAGGCTCCCGAGAAGGTTTGGGGGCATATGATTCGGGTTCGGCCGAACTCCAGGCCACAGGGCATGCAACATGCAGCGTGTGTGACATGCAGGGTGGGTGCCTCTGAGGCAAGGTCCATGTGCCCCGTCAAGCCACGAATGAATGGATGTACTGCGGCAGGTTTCGGGAAACGTGTTTTTGGCTCAAGGAAATATGTATTGGTTTGACCAGGAGAAATCTATCTATCGCTATAGTTGAAATCGTACATGTCAAGGAAAACAAAGAGCAAAAAAAAAGACAGAAAACGAAAAAAACAGTGACCCCGATAACCAAAAAAAAAAAAAAACAAGGAAACAGGGGTATGGTAAGGATATCAAATCAGGCAAAGAATACACGGCACAGCTGTGCGTGCCCCAGTCGTTACGCATGATACCAGATGACGTACGAAAAAACACCAGGAAAGTAAAAAAACTCGGGGTGTGTGCCTTAGATACTGGCCGCCCAAACGTTATCCAGCCACCCCCTAAAGGTTAGAGGTTGCACCTGGGTAGCTTCGTTGAGGTTGGTCTGACGGACGTGATACCGACCGTTGGCTGTCTGAAGGAGCCTCTGGAAATAGTACCACTGCGCCCAGTCGCCGCTCTGCTGGCATGCTTCGGCTTGGGCTTCCACTTCCTGGTAGTGACGGGTGACAAGACTGATGGGAACTAGAGGAATGTTAGTATGAGGATCAAGACGGAGGAGAAAGAAAAAACTAAACTAACCTCCAAGGGCGTTGGAACATGTTTCCACCAACTCCTGAACTGTCACGGAATCTCCTCTCATCCTAAACTCCTTGGGCCAGTTGTCGAGACCCAGGTCGAGGGCGGCCGTAACAAACTGTGCGACGTCATACACCGAGGTCATGGAGATTCGGACGGGCCTGCCACTCGAATTCCCCGGGATAATCTCCGCTCTCGCGTCCTGGAGGTTGACCAGGTAGTCGTCCGGGCCCTGTATGCCGCTCCCGGCGCCGATTCCGTAGGTTTGTAAACCACCTGGGCCAAAGCGTTCCATAAATATGCCGCAAGAGAAGACGGTGTAGCGTAGTCTATGCGACTTGGACTGCGACCAGCCCTCCAGGAGCTGAAGGGCCGACTGCGAGCCGCGGTCGAGGGGGTCGTTCGCCGGCCTGTGACTGAGATCGCCCTCGAACTCGGACGGGACGAAGACCCTTACGCGAGCCCGCCGTGCAGCGTCGATAAGGTTGAGCTGCTCGTTGCCGGCGATGGTGGAGATGACCAGGTCCACACCCTGGAGCGTATACCGCAGGTTCTCGACATCGTCGTAGTCGACGATGGCCACCTGGCATCCGGGACAGCATTCCTCGAGCTCGGGGTGCGGCTGTGAGAGAGTGAGCAATGAGATCCTCATCCATACACCAAGGACGGGGGTAGACTGACGTTGCGGGACAGGACCAAGAGAGCATGCGCAGTCTGGCTGACCTGCTGGGCCAGGATCTGGGCAAAGCCGCCAGCACCGGCAATGGCGATTCTCATCATGGCAGGCTGGCTGGATCTATTCTTCATTGTGAGGATGGCGGGTAAGGGGTGGCGGTTGTGACAGTCTGGGAGTCGAAAGGATTGAGGAGGGCGGTTCTTAAGAGCTGGTGATGGCGATGTGTTCTGGGACGGTTGAGGACGGAAGGGAGTCATAAAGCAACTCTTATATCTCAGAGGAGGTCTCTTCATGAAGGCGGTGATCATGGTATAAGGGCACAGCAGAATCGTCCGTAGAAGCCACAGGTCAGGGGCGCAGACTCAAGTTCACGTCATGGGCTCAATGGTAGCCCAAGGCAACCAGAGGATAGGACGATGAGTGTAAGTTGGGAGTTAATGATTGGTACAAGAACGGAAGCAGGGGTGTTGAAAATGCTTGGACCAAGTGTCCAAGGCGGCATCTCGATCCTGGGGGGGGGGTGTGAAGGTGTGCAACGTACACAGGTTGAGGCGAAAGCTTTCTTCTAAGCGGCACAGGGAGGTGTGAGTCGAACGGTTATTATCCCATGTTAAACATGGCTGCAGGCTGGCAGAGGGAAGGTACCTATTAATTCCTTGCCGGGCACCAATACCGATCCCGGTAGCCAGTATGCAGACCCTGAAGGTGTGCCGCATGGTGTACTGCTGGCCATGCCCCTGGGTTTCCCACAACCCACCCGGGGACATTCCTTGTCTTGGAGGACCATCGGTGGTGGAAAAAGGAGGGTACAGCAGGCATCGGCCGGGGGGGGGGGGCCGCTTTCAGAACGGTACGCTGTCACGAATAAGCTGCTGCCGATGAACGAAAACGGCATTGTACGCTCAACACCCGCAGCCCGAAACCGGGGAAAATGGGCATATCGCGGCTCTGATTCGGCCATCTGATTATGGCAGTGAACCACCATACCGTTGCGAAAGTGGAACGGACTAGGCTCCCGCTGTGTGGGTCGAATCGCCGAAGTGTGAGCGTGGACGCCGTTTGGAGCAATTTGGGGGCCCTTCTGGACGGGGGTCGGAAGGGGAAGGGCAGCCGATGGAGCGGAATTCCACCCGTTTGCACGGGGTTGGAAGAATACCTCGATACCTACCTCAGGTTGGTGGGTTTCTCCCGCGAACGAACTCTGGCTGACCAACCAGCCACAATCCATATCTCCCAAGCACATGGAAGCTCAGTTACAGATGGGCCGGCAAGAACGGTCTCAGGAACCGGGCTTCGCCAACGGCGAGCGTGGCAAAGCGGCACTTCAGACGGGCAGGGGTAATTGATAGCATTCTCAAACACGACTTCGCCCGGTTGAGAGAAGAGAAGTAAAAAATAAACAAAACAAAAGGGTGCTGGATTGTGCGTTTCAGAAAGGCTGGCTATGGGACAGACATGCCACAGTTGGGCCCAAATTTAGTGAGACGCTGCGGAAACTAGGTCGGGGAGAATGTGACTGCGCCGAGTCATGGCCCGCATCGGCAGGGCTTTTGTCGCGGTGGGAGATGGCCAAGGAAGGTACCTAGGTACCTACCTAACTGGGGAAGGAGAGAGGAGGCAGGCACAAAATATCATAGGACGATTCGATTACCGTTGTCGACTTAGTCGGCCGCCGCGACTGATAAACATGGGTGTTGCTACCACTGACATCCACAGCGAACGAAATAACCGGAAATTTGGCATCTCGGCTGTCGACTCGCACGGCTACGAAATTGTGAAAAGAAAGCATAAAGACACAATTTTTCGCCAATCGATACAACGTGGTATGCAAGCAAACTTTTCTGGTTCCAAGGGTGTCTGATCGGATGCCAAGTTCGTTATCCGGGATGGCACGAGTCTGGCGATTGCGGACGGGAGGGGCGGAGATGCGCAACTCCTCTCTCAGAGCTTCTTCATTTCGGTGTGACGGTACCCATCCTGGCAGCTGTCAATAGCTTGACAACAGCTCCGCCAGGCCATACCAATGCAGTTACCGCCTATGGAGATGCTGCAGCGTTAGGCTAATTGGGGGCCATATTCCAGGCGCGTTTGTGCACCTGACGGCGGCAAAGTGTTGCCGAGGGAGGCTTGGTAGCTTGTAAATCCCCGGTTCGAAGGATGATGATGATGGCTCAACAAGCAGGCGGCTCAATGGCAAGGGGACCCAAATCCCACCATCAGTGCCGCCGTTTTGCCATTGTGCTTTAGTGTAATGGACAGACGGATCAGGGTGGGAACACTGAAGTCGTCGAATTGCAGAGTAGCAACAACCGATGAAGATTTGGTAATCGGACCCGCTGCGGGAAGGAGCACAGTCTCCACCTTATGCAAGATGGATACCCCCGCAGGAGGTGGCTCGTGCAGTGCCTGCAGATTGGAGCTTGTCCTCGATGGGGCAACCGCAGGGGTTATGCGACCCTCTCCTCATCCCCACAATTTTCTCCTTAACCCCCAAACCTCAAATTTGATTTGTTCACAACCTTTTGGTGTACTTCATACCAAATCAGTCATTTGGAACACGAAAACTACCTCACACCATCGCGATCATCCCATGGTGCCTACCTGCCGTGTGCGGTCTCTGCCTGGGTACCAAGCATTACAAACCATGCAGGGAAGAGGGGGCTAATGGCATGTGAAAAAAGGGTATTGGCCCGTTCAATCCCATGTCGGCGATCGGAACAAATCGTGGGGGCGGCCAAGCGTGAGGCCCCCCTTCGCAAATCAACCTATCGTCGCCAGTCTTTTTTTCAACGACACGCCGAGTTACTAACGTTGATCTTCCTACTGTACTATGTACCTATGTACGGTATGTACGCCACAGTGGCTCCTTCGAGCATCTCTGCCACATGATAGGGCTGCATGGGTTCGAGGCCCCCGATGGTCATCATTAAGGTAGCTGCCGGAATTCAAGACGCCATTGCTACGGCGCGGCGTGCTGCGGCCGATATGCAGGAAACCTGGCGTCATCGTGGGATATCAGCCTTGTATGTTGTTTCAAGCCGAGTGTTGGTTCTTGACCGTGATGCCCCTCGTCCAACGGTTTCGGTGATCTAATTTGAGTCACATGCTTCTGACAGGGACACACCGGCAAACCCACCTCTCTATGGAGATGACGTCCCATGCTCCCAAGCTACCTCATCTAGATGCAAACATCTATGGCGAATTGGCGACGGCGGCCCTCAAACCCAAGGCAGAATAAGGCTCTCCATCGGCCGCCGAGGCTAACCGTCACCGTTGATCACACAGATATCACTCTCATAACGATCCATCATTGGTAAAGTAGCACGACATTCCGCATTCTGCTGCCTGAAACTACTCTATCCATCCCGGCATCTGTGGCCTCTCAAGCCTTGGAATCCCTTCCAAATCTCCGGAGGGTATTTTCACACAAATCCTTCCTGCGCCATGTCCGTCCCACGAAGAGTTAAGCAAACAAAAAAAAAATACCACAAAGGGGACCCCCTTCTCACGACTCCGTCCTCAAAGCTCCTACGACCGGTCCCGCGCCTCGGCCTGCTTCTGGATATCGATCTCGGCCCCGCGCTGCTGCGTCTTGCCCGTGTCGTGCTTGGCCTGGTACTCCTCCTGCTTGGCGCGGTCACCCGTCAAGCCCGCCGCGGCGCTGCCCAAGGCACCCGTCACCCGGTCACCCACGCCGGACGTGAAGTCGTTGATCTGCCCGCGCGCTTCCTGCTCCTGCCCGGCCCGGTTCTGGTCGCGTCCGGCTTGCTTGAGGCTCTGTGGCACACGGGAGATGATCAGTGTCTGAGCGTGAGAGTATGGCTAGCGATGGGGGTTGGGGGGTGGGTGAGAGAACATACCTCGTTGCCGATGGCGCCGCCGAGGAATTCCTTGGCGGACCCGGCCGTCTGGTTCCACGACCCCGGCTGAGCGGTCGGGGTCGTCCTTGGCCACACCAGTCGAGGAGAGGGTCCCGCCCGGAACCTTGACAGCGGCGTGCGATGCGTCGTGCTCGGCCTCGGCCTTTTGCTGCTTGACCTTGCCTTGGGCCTGTTGCCGTAGAGGTTAGCGTTTGTTACGGGTAGCAACAAGGGGGGCAAGGCCGTTGCCTGTGCGTGTGCTCACCTCGTCGCCGGTGCTGCCAAAGAGGCTGCCCGCGGCGTTCTGTACGGCGCCGGTGGCGGAGTCGACGTAGGACTTGAGAGTGGAGGTGTTGTTGTTGGCAGACATGATGATGGTTTGGTGGTTGAGAAAAGGTGTAAGTGGATAGTTTTGTTTTAGTTAATGTTGGTGTGGTGTTGTTGTTGCTGTTGTTTGATGATGTGGAATATGTTGAGAATCTGGAGGTAACTAGATCCCTTATATCTTCATGGTCTCGCCATTGAATCCACCATGGTTCACGTCTGATACCTGATTGTTGCTGGATGTTGGTGTTCGTGATGCATGAGAGTGATGATGTCATAGCAATGACATCATAGCTGACCCCTGGACAGCGCATCAAAGCACATTTTTTGAGATGGACTTTGACATGTGCACATACCGTCGCCACTCATAGGGTCAATTCCACATCAAGGTCCTCTATGCAATGGAGCATTTCAGCTTGTGATGGTTTGAACTTGCATAGGTACCATTCACTCCCACCCTCGCCATAGCAACTCATACAAAGCAAATCCATCGCAATCGGCTGAGCACCGGTTGCTTTCCCCGCAGTGCCCGCACTCACTCACTCGTGATTCGATTTGGAATTGGAGGAGAGCACATGCAAAAGCTTCTAGAAGCCCGCGACACCGCCAATAAACCACCCACTCAAGTGTAAAACATGTACTTTACAGGCAGACTTGAAATACAGTCTCCAATTGGGAATGCCCTCAACCTGGAAGAAGGCCTCTTGCTCCCTCAACGCCTGCACCCATGACCCAGTCAGGCATGCATTCACTTTCGAGACTCGTCGATTTACGAGTCCCAAATGACCTAGCTTCCATTGATGAGCCTCATTGTTTCCAGAACTAAGACCGTCCGCCACCTCTCTGACGTCGCGTCGAGGGTATTCACAGCCACAATTCTCCAGAACATTCGAGCCCTGCATCCCTGGGCGACTCCACCAGCGATGCATGCAAGGCGACCTCAATTGATGTTAGCCCCCCACAAACGGGATTAAACGGAATCAAGAAATTGAGGGAGGATTTCGCGACTAGAAGAAAAAAGACGGCGAAAGAATTGAAACGGCGGGAATCGAAGGATGAGGTTGAGGACGGACGGATTCAGTTCCACCTACCATTGACGTTACACAGCCGGAACCATCCACCACCCCACCAAAGGCCAATGCATCACGACAACAAAGGTAGCCAAGCGCCAAGCACGAAAGAAACCATTCCGTGGTTACTTCGTTCCATTGAATCCCAGACAGGGAGGGGTGACTCTTTGCCAGCGTCGGCCCGGACCGGTCAGAAGGTTCGCACATTCGCAGAGGCCTCCCGGCTAAAACAAACACCTTACCATGCATGAGTCCAAAAAGAGCTTCTTACATACATGCATATACACACACAGCCTTGTCATAGAAGGCTGAAAACAAATGCCTTGGCCGTGTGACACACGTCCTCAGGCCGGTCACGGGACAATAGTTTGGGTGATACCAACTGTTGAAGACGACATGGGATGGGTTCGTTCTGATCGTTTTTCGAATCATTTGCATCCCGGGCCCCGTTTGGCACCACCGGGCCATCGCACGATGCCTTTATGGTTGACGTGCGGCGTCTCCGAAGCTTGTCAGTCACACTCGTACCGGTGAGTAAAGTGCAATGGATCGTGGTCTCATCATCTCTTGGGTCGGCCAACAAATTACACGATATGATACAGATTGCTTGCTTGCTTACTCGCTTGCCCCCCGATACGGCCGAATATCATTGCTCGCCGTTGTCATGTGTCCTGTCAAAATCCACGCCCGACCCACCAGTCCCTTCAAACTCCTTTGAAATTCCAAACTAGTGCTGAGTCCACTCAATCGTGTTGAGGTCGACGCCCTCCTGGACAAGCTCCCACAGGGGGCTGAGCTCACGGAGGAACCCGACGCGCTCCTTGACCGCCTTCAGGACATAGTCGATTTCAGCTTCCGTCGTGAACCGGCCGATGCCGAACCGGATGCTGGAGTGGGCGTTCTCGTCGCTGTTGCCAAGCGCCCGCAGCACGTAGCTGGGCTCAAGCGATGCTGATGTGCATGCACTGCCCGACGATAGCGCAATATCCTTGAGCGCCATGAGAAGGGACTCGCCCTCGACGTAAGCAAACGATACGTTCACGCAAACCGGGGTAGAAGTGGTTGGGGTCGCCGTTCTGGTTGGTGTGTTCCCATGGACAAAAGGCCGTTGAGAAGGCGGTCTGAGAGATACTTGACTCTCTTGTGGTCATACTGTGAACCGTTAACAATGATTCGAGTAGGGGAGGCTAAGGGGAGATGCAAACGTACCTGAATCTCTTCGGCCGCAATCCGGCACGCCTCTCCGAAGCCGACAACTAGAGCAGGGGCAAGCGTTCCGCTGCGCAGACCACGCTCCTGCCCACCACCACTGATGATGGGCTCCAGCCTAACCCTCGGCCGACGGCGGACGTAGCACGCACCTATCCCCTTGGGGCCGTAGATTTTGTGGGATGAGATGGACATCAGATCGACGTTCATGGCGTTGACATCAAGCGGGATCTTGCCCACGGCCTGGGCCGCATCGGTATGGAAGAACACCTTGTTTTCCCGGCAAATCTTACCGATCTCGGCCATCGGTTGGATGACGCCGATCTCGTTGTTGACAGCCATGATGCTAACAAGCGCCGTCTCGGGGCGGATCGCAGCCTTGAGCTTGTCGAGGTCGACGAGTCCGTTGTTGTTGACGGGTAGGTAGGTGACCTCAAAGCCTTCGTCCTGCAGGTTCCGGCAGCTGTCGAGTACGCACTTGTGCTCGGTCTGAGTGGTGATGATGTGCTTCTTCTTCCCTGACCGGCCGAAGAACCTGGCCACGCCCTTGATGCTCATGTTGTTGCTCTCGGTGGCGCCGCTGGTGAAGATGATTTCCTTGGGATCCGCGCCGATCAATTTCGCAATGTATTCTCTGGCTTGCTCGACGGCATGCTCACTCTCCCAGCCATAGGCGTGTGTCCTCGAGTGGGGATTGCCGAAAACGCCGGTGTAGAATGGAAGCATGGCGTCGAGAACCCGGGGATCTAGTGGTGTGGTGGCCTGCATGTCGAGATAGATGGGCCGTTGGCCCTCGTCTAGCTTGACGGCCTGCTTTAGGACATCTAGCCTCGGATATTAGCTCTATCCGGCTCGGTTTGCGCGCGGCGATGTCTTACCAGCCATCGGGCTGACGTGCGTCGTTGACCCATTCTGAGTCGTCTCGAGTGTCGCTCCCGCCTTCTCCAGCTCGGCTCTATCTAGTCGGATAGCTGTGTCCACCTGGACCTGCGCATGGTCGGCTTTGCTCTGGGTCACATAACACCTCTGGCAGGTGTTGCGCGCCGCAGCGGTCGTCGGCCGCGATAAGATTGGAACGCCGCGCCGCGTTACGGCCGGAACTGATGTCCTCGATGCCAGGCGCGACGCCTGCCGGAGGACTGATGGTGCGATATTGGCCATGATAACGTGGGGTTCGTGACGATGGCGATGCCCAGGAGAAAAAGTTCAGGGCTTGGAATGCGGGATGAACGGAGCTATCGGTTTTGTGGCGGGTCTCCCCACTGCGGGAAAGGTGGGATTGGCATCCAAAGAAGTCGCCAATGGGTGTTGTTTTCTGGCCTCTGGTTGGCTCTATTGGGATATGCCCCCACTATTTACCGATCCCGGACATAAATCGCCGGATTCTGTCTGCTGTCAGCCCCAAGAATGACGAACTCGACAGGAGCGGTCAGTTTTGCGATTTGCGGCCGGGATTGCCAGGACGGGACTGTGTTAGCGTACTTATCTTACCAACGCGCCGGAGTAAGCAGCATCAAGATCAAGCAACAACTCATCTAACTACTTCGTAACTCTTATGAATAGTTGATCAACTCCTGAACGTGTTGTCTCATTGTGCTCGGCATTTCAATCCCGAACCGGACGACTTCATTGGCAGCAGCTCAGGCTTGGCAGAGGGTCAAATTCGGTCTTTGGCGGCCGGCAGCGCCACCTTCCATCAGCCAAGGAAATCTGAAGCCCGGCTCCGCCCCGAGAACATCGTCATCGCCCCGAACGCCGTCAGGCGCAATTCTCGAGAGAGGTCCCCTAAAACTCCCCACAGAGGCCCCGAAGCCGACCACAACTTCACAACATTCAATACGAACCAAGGACCGCGTTTTCCATTCAATAGCCATATCCCACCAATCTAGACGAATAATCGCCAAAGAATGAGTTTTAAGGGTCTACAGAAGGGGTTGGCTCGCGTAAGTTTTGTTGCTGCCCCGCAGTGCCCTAAACTTCCCTAGAGTTTCCATCCAGTTTGACACCGTCTCTTCCTCCAACCCTACAGCCGAGCGACATCCATGGATGCTCCAAGAAACTGACCTCGGACACCACGACTACAGGCACCCCAACAATTCAAGGTGAAATTCAACATTGGCGAGCACACTAAGGATGCCGTCTACATCGACTCGGAGCGCCGGTTCGACGAGCTCGAGACCGAGACAAAGCGGTTGCACGATGAGAGTCGAAAGTACTTTGACGCCATCAACGGCATGCTCGCGCACCAGATCGCCTTCTCCCAAGCTATGACCGAGATCTACAAGCCGATTAGCGGCCGGATGTCGGATCCCGACTCGCTCGTGGTGCACGGGAACCCCGAGGGGATCCGGGCGTGCGAGGAGTATGAGGCCGTGGTTAAGGACCTGCAGGAGACGCTGGCGCCGGAACTCGAGATGATCGAGAGCAGGGTGATCCGGCCGGCCGACGAGCTTCTCGACGTGATCAAGGTGATCCGCAAGACGGCCATAAAGCGCGAGCACAAGAAGCTCGACTACGACCGCCGCCGCGCCACGCTCAAGAAGCTCCAGGAAAAGAAGGACAAGACGGCTAAGGACGAGAAAGCCACTTGGAAGGCCGAGAACGAATTGGAGGAGTCGACCCAGGAATTCAACTACTTCAACGACCTTCTCAAAGAAGAGTTGCCCAAGTTGTTCGCTTTGGAACGCGAGTTTATCCAACCGCTGTTCCAGTCCTTCTACTACATGCAACTCAACATCTTCTACACCCTCCACGAGCGCATGCAGCAAGTAGATATCGGCTACTTTGACCTGACGCTCGACGTAGAGGAGGCCTTCCTAAAGAAGCGCGGCGACGTGCAGGAACGTGCCGAGGCGCTCTCCATCGTCAAGTTCAAGACCAGCGGCCAGAAGCGCCCGCCCAAGTACGGCCCGAAGCCGCGCCTCGAGGGCCCCAAAACAGCCGGCCTTCTCACCGCGGGACCATCCCCCGCCCTCCCCCACCGGCACCCCCGAACTCGAACCCGCCCCCTCCGCCGGCACCGCCGCCGCCGCCCTCCCCGTACCCACGACCTCCGCCCCAGCCGCGCGCGCAAAATCCCCCGTCCCCTCCGCGCTCCGCCCCTCCTGGCAACCCCGCCAAAGCGAAACCTCGGAGCACCCGCCGCCGCCGTACTCGCCGGGCCCCGTGTCCCCCGCGCTGGCCGCCGCTGCCGCCGCCAAGTCCAAGCCGCCGCCGCCCAAGCCCAAGCCGAGCCGGCTGTCGGCGACGCCCGCCGCGCCCAAGGTCGAGACGGTTACGGCCCTGTACGACTACGCGGCGCAAGCCGAGGGGGATTTGAGTTTCCGCGCGGGCGACATCATTGAGGTGGTGGCGCGCACGCAGAATGGGAATGAGTGGTGGACGGGACGGGTGCAGGGGAGGGAGGGGCAGTTTCCAGGTGGGTTATACTCCTTTCTTTTTTTTTTCTGGTTTGTTTGATTGAACGGGTGACTGACTAGTTTGTGGGTGAATAGGGAATTATGTGCAGTTGAATTCGTAACGCCGACGCCGATAACTCCGGGAAAAAAGGATATCGGACATCTAGATCGAGCGGACGGACAACTGAACACGTGAAGGGGGGACCTGTCTTGTCTCGTCTTCGTCCTTGGAAGAGAGGTGGGCAGAGCACCAATGACGGGGGTACTATGCTCCCCTGTTCTGTTCTATTTCCGCCGTGGGGACGGGCTCGTGTGGGCGCGCGGGGGGGCAAGGCAGGACAAGGGCCCTCAACACCACACGCGTGGGATGAGCGCCTTGTCAACTTGTGGGTGTGTGGTTAGGTTCACGGGGTATGAGATGGACTTGTGTGTCATGGGGAGCAGAGGAATGGGGGCGGGTACCAAGGAGAGATGGCGAGGCATGGCATGGCATGGCATGGCGTGGCGCTGTGGTTTTTGTCTGTGACGTAACTGACTCGAAGAAAGCGGGCTGGATTCTGGCAGGCGATGGCGTTGCTGTGTGTTTTCTGTGGTGTCTGCGTGTGCGTGTGTCTCTGTTATGCGCTATATTTACCTTCGTTATACCAGTGGCGTTTACTATGGAGGTTCTAGATAAACAAAACCTGTGGGGGTTGGGGGAGTTGGTAGAAGGGGAATATTAAGAGGTTCAGGCTGACAGCCCTTACGTGGGAGTCCAATGGTGATCCTTAGACGGACTGTGAAGCTGCCGTGTTTCAGAGCTAGTTGTCTGAAGTCGACGTCCCTTTTGATGGGGGTTTGTATGCGGCGCTTGTTTCATCCGCCAAATCAGAAGCCACAATACCCATTCGGCTGACCGAAGATAACCATTTTTCATTTTGGGGAATGGAGAGGTGGTGATGATTTTGCTGGTTGGTTCGTTATCTAGCACGTGGGATTCACAAACGCTGTTGGTTTGATACTCCCATCATGGCTCCCACGGATTGCATGTCTCTTCCCATCGGCGGGTTGACCAGTTTGTCAAATGTCCCCCCCCCCCCCCACGCCACGCCTTGCTCACAGCGTGGGGAGCACCGATTAGGTGATGGTTGGTGGGAATGAGGGAAGCAAGAGCGGGCAATACATCAGTTCGAAGGGGATGTGGTTAACCATGGTATTCGGTGAGCCGCGGACCCCATGCGAAACTGAGGCATAAACGGGAACTTGTGGAAGAGAAATTTAATCGTCGCTTTGGGATTTCCGCTCTCCGCGGCCTTCTATGTACATACATACGGGACTTAAACGAAATAACTGGCCATCGCCAAGGTTGTCTGTCGTGTCATCCAGGGTGTTCCATTTCTCCGGTCTGCCTCGGGTGGAAAACCCGGGCCAAGTGCGCCTCGTCATGCAGTGTTCCCGCAAGGCTCTCTGAACTTTTCTCCCGCAAGGGGGCGTGATGTAACATTTGACGGCTGTTTGCTGAAAGATGCCGGGCGCGGGCATCTGTGGAACAGGAGCGTAGGGGCTCTGTAAGTCGCTGCCTATCAGGCGAGATCCATCCATGGAGAAGCAGGTTGAGTGACATTGCTGATATTAAGTTGCAGTTCCCATTTATAACCTGTAGTTTGCGGGGTCCTTCCATGGTTGATAACCGTGTCTCAAAATAGCATGTTTACAACTCGCAGTCCCTTTCCCATAACAGCCGGGCACAATGAAACCCCCAAAGAATGGGAGGGGCAAGTCAAGTGAGGCTGTTGAGGGATGAGGCGATTGTCACGCGGCTCAATAGATTAGGTATGTAGCATCGGGGCAGAGCCTCGTCACGCAATTGCTCGCTTGGGAAAGGCCGAAGCTACTTTTGCATGTACTACATACTTATTCCGATTGCCGAAACGTACCGATGGATGTACTCCCGTAAACTTCATGGGACCATCTGCCCATGGGGAGAAAAAGAAAAAAGAAAAAAGAAAACACACACAAACGTGTCTCGAGTTGCTCCCCGCTGTCTCCCCGTTCCACCCTTTTCCTTCTATCTCCATTTTCCCTTCCCACCCGCTTTTTGCGCCATAATTTTTTCCTTCTGCATATCGGCCCATTCGGTCCTACAAAACCGCCCCAGCCCAATATGCTACTTTTTTGTAACCGCGTCTGGCCGTGAACCCAAACCCCATCAGATGATGACCTGCATGAGATCTCCTCGGCGGCCCTCCAAGACCAATAGGGTACTTCTTTGCCCGTTCTGGCCCAGCGCGAGGTTGAATCGGCTAGTCCCGCAGCGGGGAGAGGGATCTTATGGCTCAACGGCAGAAGTGAAACCCCCTGGAGATGCCCCGATACATTGCAGGCTGGAATTTCCTCCAAGACAACAACGGCCTGGGCTGACTGGCCCCGCTCGAGTGTGTGTCTCGATTGCCAGTGTCCGCCACGCCTTTGTCTTCGCCTTCATCTTTGCTTTCCATAGGAGCCTTAGGCGCGGGGCTGGGCATGGGGCTGTAAGCCCAGCTTTCCGGTCTGTCGATGCCCAAGTCACCCGGATATGGCGTCGTGTCGGCTAAGCGGATGGAGGGGTCCCAAGACACAAAGATCAGCGCCTTAAGGCCTTTGTCGACGCGGCCAGTGGCGTAAACAATGGAGCGTTCATCCCAGCTGCCGTGAGTGTTGCCGGTGAAACCCGGTGGGTTGAGGATTGCGTGCAGTTGGGCGAGAGCGGGATCGTCCACCGCGGGATCCTTCTTTGGTGGCCAGAAGACGCTGGCATTACTCTTGTAGATGTTGTCGATCTGCCGCTGAAGTGCTTCGTCGTCCTGGTCCCCTTCTGGGGCTGCCGGGAGGCTCGACTGGGCCAACTCGCCCGGCGTCCAGGGACGGCGTGTGCTCCCGCGCAAGCGCAGTTGCTGATCGCGTGGATCGAATGAACCAGAATCGTCCACCAGATCAATGGCGGTCTGGCATCCTGAGTAGTAGGAGCGCACGGAGCACTTGGTGAGCGTGATACCCTGGGCGGATCCGTCGTCCTCCGGATGTACCATGTGGGGGCTTCGCGGCCACCTCCTCGGGCCTGTTCCCTGTTGAGTCTTAGTCACAGAGATGGCCGACCCGCCATCCTCCTCGGCCATTTCGTCGAAGTTGATGATGGTGGTATAACATGTACGCCTCCCTATGATCCGGCCGTTCACCCATTCCTTCCGGGATTCGACAGCCTTGAGTTGGCCGGTGGCTTCGTCTTTGACCAAGCGAAGGAAGGTCCATCTGTCGTCAATGGGGCCCTCAGTCTGGTCTCTCCGCCATATATTCGGGGCAGGGTCTAGCTCTTCGATGCGCCCGAACCCGTCCTTTTGCATGAGTGGGAACCGGAGGCAGTAATAGTAAGAAACCCAGTCCACCTCCTCAACGTTCAGGCTCCGGAGGCTCGACAAGATGTAGAAGCGGCGATCGAAGATCTCGAAACAGACAGTCGAGCCGATGTCTGTCCCAATCACGTCGAGGTCGAGGTGGTCGGGCAGCCATATACCGCTTTCAAAGCTGAAAGCTCTGATATCCCATATCTCGTTGCCCTGCTCGTCCGGCTCGGAGGTAATACCATAGACCAAAAACTTGTCGTCGTTTCGAACAAAGAGCTTGGAGATGGAATCTAGGGGAGTAACGCAGACTATCTCGCCGGTTAGAGGTTTGAAAGCGATAAGATAGTGGTTGAAACCGGGCTTGTCGGCGCTGCGGAAGGAGTACGCCAGCGAAATAATGTCGTGCGAATAGTACAGCAGCTTCAGCTTGAACCTGTGGGATGCACGCGCCTCAGGGATGACTTCTCGGGCAAGCTTCCGAAGGACGACGACGGTCTCCGAGTCGTCGGAGTGATGTAGGTCGAGAATGCATAACTCGCCATCAAGGAAGTGGCAGAGCACACCGTTTTCGTAGATCCACTCCTGGGTGACGGCGACTATAGCAGCCGCGTAGGGAGATACCGAGGCGATGGCATCCTGGCGCTTGATCAAACGCCTCAGGCCGGCGGCATGGTTCTCGGACTTTTGAGCATCACGAGCCTCTGTGCTATACGGAGCTCTAGACTGCAAAATTATTAGCAATGACACAACCAGACACAACCAATTCTGAGCATGCTGGGGGCAAGTTTATTGACCTGAAGTAGCTGTTTTGTAATTTGAGATTCCTCAACCAAAAAGCGAAACTTCTTGCACGAATAGCTGAGGTTGCGGATGTCGGCAAGGTCGAGATCCTGGACCACAAAAGCCACCAGCTCGTAGGGCAGCTGGACGAGCGACATGGCACCCGGTAGAAGGGGCGGAGAGAGACCGGTTTTCACTTGGAGGTTGAAGGCCTCGATTACCATTGAGAGGGGGGGGGGGGGGGGGGGGGGTTGTATAATTTTGGGTGTAAAAGTGATGCTGGCGATGGCGGATGTCCGCCTGCGTTTACCGGCCCATTCAGGGTGATCTGGGGGCCAGTCTTGAAACAAAAACCAAAAACTGAACCTCCCCCGTTTTATTTTCCTGCCTGGTATTTTAATTTTCTAAAATCCCCAAACTGCCGGGACTCCTCGGGAGAGTACCTCGCGCACCACACTACCCCCGAGAGGGGACTGGGGGGTATTAATCCGCCCCCCTCTCCAGTTATACAACGGGGAGACAAGGCTCCGGGCCGAGCAGAGCCCCAATGGGCCATGGGTGGCGTCAAGAATTCGGGACTGAATGTACCCTTTAACAATAACAAAACCAAGCCTTTCCATCTAAATGAATGGTCGGTGATGCCTCAGGGGGGCCCTCAAAGGCAGGGCGAAGGGTGGTGGTTGTCATTTTTCGTTCGGGGTGACGAGAAAGGACCTAGGGAAACACAGGTGACAGCACTCACGGGGTCACAGATCACCAGAGAACCTGTGTTTCGAACAACTGACAAGCAGGGCTAGCATGCGGCTCTGCGTTCCACGACACGATCTTGGCGGATTGATAGCTTGTCGAGGATCAACGAAAAAAGGTGTGGGGGGAGGGAGGGCGGAAGGGGGAGAAGGGAAGGGGCAGGGGCAGGGGCCAGGGATGGAGCAAGGGAAGCGGGTTAGGGTATCGAAGGGAGCCTGGAGCTCTCTGCTTGCATTCCTCAATCATGCAATTATGCAGCCAGCCTCTCCACATTAGTTACCTATGCATTCTCGCCTGCGTGTCTGGCACGTTTGATTGGGTTTTGGGGGTATGTATGGACAGTGAATTTGGAAAGAAACAGGGTATGCCGGCAGACTGAACTCCCTACCTGAAGTCACCATCCTCAAACATCTATTTTACTTATCCCACCTCACCTCCCCGAAATAGTGGGGGCAATTCTTGGCTTTTAAGAGCTCAGTTGAGCCTCCAACTGAGGGGTCAGGTTACCTTTGTCTCCTTCGGACTTGCTCCGCATTTTACACAGTCGGCCGCCCCGCTCGGAGAGGTTTTACCGTGGTTGCTGCTTCCCTCCCCTGCTCATCATCATCACGAGGCTCGGGATTCTTTCTTTCTCTCTCCTCCTTAGGTTCCCTGTCCTCTGGCGCTAGCATCAGAAATTGGTCATGTGCTTGCCTTCTTCCTTCACGTTGAATTCGCATCGTGCACCTAGCCGCTGACACGCCACAAAAGACGCGCAATAGGAATATTTGGTCATCATTCCAAATCCCCCATCCGTCACTAAGCCAATTAGGAAACTCGGTGTCAAAATCATACAAGTATACTGGATGCCATACCGGCTCTGCCTCAGCCATGTTACCTCCCTTCGGACCTTGGCGATTGCGACATGGTTCAGGCTTCATTACCCTGATATCTGCCGTACCAGTAACTATTGGCATGGTAGCAACGAGATGAGCTATAAAAACCATCGAATCGGGACCGTTGAAAGTGACGCTAGTTAACCAATTCCCAGGATTGAAACATCCGAGCTGATCTGGCACCTAAGAGCTCGTTCGGTTGGTCTCTTCATGTACTCGCCAAGGTCTGCGCATGTGGCGAGGAATAACCATGATGGGCTCCCCTTCGTGTCTGGTCTCTCTTGTCTTCGGCATCGTGGCACAACAACGGGGGACTGTTTCGGAGACTCCGAACCCCTGCTCGTGCGTGCGCTAAAAACGGACCCTTCGTCGCTCGCCGGCGCCGTCTCGTGAGCAGTAGGTCATATCTCGGCAATGCGATCAGCAACTACCCGGCCAGTTCCTACATATCTCGCTATGAAGGTGCCACGCCTGGCCCGCGCTGGTCGGACCTAAGCTTCGACATTTTCGCCTGGGCATCATCAGCCTAACGTGGGCCGTGGCTTTCCTGCATTGGCAGAGCATCGGCGGGTTTTCATGAGCTCTGCCCCAACCTGAAACCTTGATCGCTCTGCTAAGTGATCAAACCTGTAGCTCAGGCATGGATGGAACCGGCTCCTGAGAGCCTGATTTCGTACGTGTAAAACCCTCGGCTTTCATACACAGACTGGTCACCGGGAAATTGCGCTGGTTTCTCCATGGTATGGCCGCTTGTCATGAGTAGTATCCCATCCCAGGAATCTGCAACGCCGAATGATCCTGAAAAGGGCCGGTTTGTTTGTACCCCTTACGCCGCCCCCTATCCACAAGTTGTTTCCCAAGCAACGGGAAATAATCAGGAGAAAATCCAAGCAAGTTTGCGGTTGGGCGGTTTGATGTTTGAACAATGAGATCCTTACTCAGCGTGACGCAGCTCATCACAACGCAGGGATTAAAGTTGTGTATAAAGCGGCACTGTTTGTTCCCTTTGGGATGTTGCAGTGATTAGTCAGACCACTTTGGAATCGGGGTTCCTTGTTCTGGGACAGTCAGAAATCGAAACAGAAAAATGAACTCTCTTTTGCCCCACAAGAAGTCAATGAAGGGCGCACGCAGGCCATGCAGCACTGTATAAATAAATACCATCAGTGATCTTTGATAAGCCTCAGGGAGTCTTTAATTAATGTGATCTCATCTTTCTTTACCTACATTTTATTTACGTTCACAGCATTAGCAACATGCCACATCAGTTGCAGGATGAACCCCTTTCTGGGGATGGGGAAGTAGACCTCTACGCCCCTTTTATTAGCGACACCATCCTCGAGGTCCGCACAGGCAAGATGAAGACCATGCCTGGACTCACGGTGAAGTCAGGCATTGACAAGTCGATGCACGACAAGCCAGTGCGCGTGACGGAGTTGGGTCTCGAGGGCGACGAGCACGACCCGACCTTCCATGGCGGCATCGACAAGGCCATCCACGGATGTAAGTTACCTCCTTCTCCTTGATGACCCAAGCGCGTATCAACCCCAAATACTAACCACCCAACAGATTGCTCAACCCACTACGCAAGCTGGCGCGCCGAGTACGCCTCCGCAGCCGAGGCCTTCAAGCCCGGCGGCTTCGGCGAGAACCTCGTAACGCGCCACCTCAACGAGCGCAACCTCTGCATCGGCGACATCGTCTCCATCTCCCCGCCCAACCCCACCAACTCCGATACCTCGCCCCCCGTCCTCCTCCAGGTCAGCCTGCCCCGCCAGCCCTGCTTCAAACTCAACCACCGCTTCCAGCTCAAGAACTTCGCCCCGCAAACCTGGCGCACCAGCCGCACGGGCTGGTACTTCCGCGTGCTGCGGACGGGGCAAATCCGCGCCGGCGACACCATCCGGCTGGTCGAGCGCCCCCACCCGAAATGGACGGTCGAGCGCGTGCAGGAGTATCTGCACCGGAATGTGGGCGACGATGAGGCGAATGAGGAGCTGGCGGGCGTGGAGGTGCTGGGGAGGGAGTGTAGGGATGCGTTTTGGGGGAGGGTGGTGAAGAGCAGGGCGAGGGCGAGGAGGGCGGAGAGGGAGAAGCGTGGGGAGGGAGGTGGTGCTGGGGAGGAGAAGTGGAGGGTGTTTCGGGTGGTGGAGAGGACGAGGGAGACGGGGAGGGTGGAGGGGTTCGTGCTGGAGGCGGTGCGGAAGTTGGGTGAGGGGAAGGAGGGGGAGGGGGAGGAGGTGATGCTGAAGCCTGGGGCGCATGTCAAGGTCAGGTTGGGGAATGGCCTGGTGCGTGCGTATTCTGTGGTGGGCGGGGATCGGAACCGGTTCGAGTTGGGCGTGGCGCTGGATGAGAAGAGTCGGGGCGGGTCGAGGTATCTGCACGAGACGGCTGTGGTTGGGCACGAGGTCGAGGTGGGCGGCTTCACGGGTGCGGTACCACTTCGCGAGTGCGGCGAGCCATCATGTGTTTGTGGCCGGAAGCGTGGGCATCACGGCGTTTCTGGCGCTGATCGAGTGCTACGCGAGCATCAATCTCAGCGTGAAGCTGCACTATGCGGTGCGTTCGGCCGACGAGGTGCCGTTCCGCGAGCGCCTGACCAAGCGGAGCGACCGTGTAGTCATCTACGACAAGGCCGCGGCCCAGCGATTTGGATATCCGCCGCATTATCGAGGTCATACCGTGGAACTCGCAGCTGTACTTTTGCGGCCCGAAACGGCTCATGGACGAGGCAGCCAAGGAAACGAGGGCACGCGGCATCGCGGAGGGAGAGATGCACTTTGAAATCTTCGAGGCGGACGTGTCGGGTGACCCGTTCGAGGCCGTCGTGACCAACAAAGGGGGCAAGCCTATCAGAGTGGGCGAGGAGGAGACCCTCCTCGAGTGTCTGCAGAAGGAATTTGGCGACATTGACTCGAGCTGTTGCGTTGGCAACTGCGGAACCTGCCGCGTGAGCCTCAAGGGAGGCCGCGTAGACCACCGGGGCACTGCACTCACCGAAGAGGAGAAGGCCACGTCTATGCTGGCGTGCGTGAGCCGTGGAATCGGATCTATCACCATCGAGATCTGAGCTGTCGTAAGAGGGCCGTCACAGCGCCGTCACAGCAAGTAGTATGGGACCTACTTCCATGAAGCTGTTCCGATGGACGGCCTGTTTACATTTTGCATTTCTTCCTCGGCCGCTTTAAGCCGGTGCTCGTTTCATAGTGGTTGGGTTGGCGTTGGCATTGGGCCGCTTTTTTGATCTGGTTTAATCGGAACTCACCCAAGGCCGAGAACTGCCTTGCTGGTGATGGCCCAAACGAGAAAGCTGCGGTTTATCGTTCTGCAACTTGGCCTGATAATCGACATTTTCAATATGGTACTGCCGACAGTGCCACCGAAGGCGGATGGAGGAGTCCGTTGCCTAACGTGATACGGCAGAGCCCATCTCGCGCTAGGCGCCCGGCTTGACTGATTGCCACCTCTTGCTTGTCACGTAGGCCATCTCGGCGATGAGTGGTGTGATAGGTGGTGGGCTGGTGGTGTAGCACCAATAGAGTGAATATATCGTATCCAATAACACTTCGTGTTCCATCGTGTTACTCGTCACAAAATGCAGACAGGCTAATGGGGAAGAAGTATGAGAAAGTTGCCACAGATACACAACCAGTCATCTCGGGCTCCTACGGTTTGAAACCATCCTGACGGGTGGGGGGAGGACATCACAACCATGATGAAACCGGTTTAGTAAACAGGCCAAGTGGTGAAATTCCCGCCGAGGTTACAGAGAGGCTCGGCGGGACGGATGCAGACCTGTCGATTCAGCAGGGCACAGCCTATCGGACCATCCTCCGTTGCAGGATGGCTGCAGGACTTTCCTGTTATCGAGAAGAAAGAGCGAGGCTTTCTGGTCTAGGCCTGCGAACTCTCTCTTGTCCCTGCATGGGGGAATGCTCTCGGCATGCGGGGGAAGCGAGCCTCGAGGCATTGGACGTCTTGTGCCGTCTTGCGGCTCCAATTTTAACTCGTGTTCGGTCAACCAACATCTCGCTTGCTTGTGCCCGACACGACCCGGGAGCTTGTCACGCACACGGCTGGACTCGACCTTCTTGGCGGTTACTTTGGGTGGTACAAGATGGTGCTGTAAGTGCTGATAGTTCAATAGTTGGTACACAGTGAATGTTGGAGCCAATGCCACCGGTAGGTGCATACGCTGCACTACCAAGTGATGGGCAATTTTATCAATCTAACCGACATTGGCGTGGCAGCCCAGCCACAGGGTGGGTTAAGATTGGACGCAATGGCTAGAAATGCGAGAAATAGCGTCAACTAGAGGAGAAGACGAGCTTAATTTGAAAAGATGAAGGGTTAAATTCGATTTTTTTATTGCCTTGTGGTGGGGATGAAAGCGAGGGTATTCTCAACTTGAGATTGCGGAATGGCCTGAGAAAACCATCCGATAAAAGACAAGGCATATTCAATGAAGTTAACTATCTCCCAACACCAGGTTTAATCTTGTCCAATGTTAATATCATAAAGACCAGATTAAGATAACTAGTTAATGACTATTGGAAACTTTGGGTTGTCCGGTTTTTTTGGTGTCGATTGTGTTGTCCCAAGCAAGCCAGGTGAGACAGGGTCCCCTTGCTCCCCGGGCTGGCGAACGTCGCAAGTTATCGGGAACCCGACCAATTGTAAGCCACCGATAAGCCCAGCGAGCTGTAAGTGGGGCCTGAATTTTCTGGACAAGGAGCGATCGAAATTCAAAGTCTTTGAGCAGCAGCGCCGAGTTCACAAACCACCAGTCCTCACAATGGCTTCAGGTCCCGCAACAATTGGAGAATTTTCCATACTCCCAGTATCGATTGCACCATTACCATCATTCCCCAAAAATGTCGTCCACTACCTCTACGTACGGCGCAACGCGCCCAAAATTCCGACCGTGGCCGATGCTCGCAGCCTCTTCCTGACCAACGTGCCCGTTGATAGCACCGAAGCCCACCTCCGCGCCCTCTTCGCCTCACTAGTCGGCGCGGGCCGGTTCGAGAGCGCCACCTTCGAAGATGAGCGCAAAGATGCGCATTCGCTAGCCCAATCCCCAATCGACGCTGCGCAGCCCGCTCATGCCGCCCGTTTATTACAGGCCCACGGCAAGAAGCGCAAGCGGGAGGACGAGGAGGCCGAGCGAGCGCAGAAGAGCCGCGGCACGTCTGCCGAGCACATGGACTCGGCCATTGCGGAGGAGCGGTAGCACGGCCGTGGTGCTGCTCGCTGACGAGAAGAGCGTGGAGCAGGTGTTCAAGGCAATCGCCAAGGCGCACAAGAAGAAAAAGTACCCTACCTGGGGCGGCGAGGACCTGCCAGAGGGCCGAGTCCCGCCGCTTGGTTCGGTCTGGCTCAAGACACACAATCGGCTCTCCTACGCAGATAAGGAGGCGCTGCAAGCATCGGTGGACGCCTTCTCGGCGCTCTTTGCCCGGCGCGAGCAAGAGGCAGCCGAAATCGCCAAGCGGCTGCGAAACGAGCCGGATGAGGATGGCTTCGTCACGGTCACCAGGGGCGGTAGGGCCGCGCCGGCGAGTCGGAACGAGGCAGAGGAGGCCAAGCGCAAGATGCTGGAGAGGCAGGACAAGAAGAAGGAGGAGCTTACAAACTTCTACCGGTTCCAGCTGCGGGAGCGGAAGAAGGAGGAGCAAGCCGAGCTGCTCAAGAAGTTCGAAGACGACCGGAGAAAGCTGGAGGCCATGCGGGTGAAGAGGGGCAAGTTTGTCCCCGAAGCGTGAGCATGCAAGGGATTGCCAAGGCCAAAAAAAAACCAGACGAATATACTTCCCTACCCATGTTTGGGTCGTAACTAGAACAAACGGGTGTGGTACGGCATGCAGCAGCGGCTCCGAGATACCGACCGGCCTAGGAACCCAAATCGGGGTGTAAGGCCCAAGCACGACATCAAGAACGGTAAGTGGTTTCCCTTTTCGTTCTCTTCACCTCCACTTTCCCGCACCATGATGACGCACGCGGGGCCATCAGACCGTCCCTCTCGGCGCTCGGGGGGTTTCTCCCTTTGTGGCCAAGGATACAAGGTGACAAACACCGCGATGCCAATAATCTTCTCAAACTCTCTGACGTGTGGTTTCTTTCTGGCGTAACCTTGATTTACAATCGAGCTCAAAGCATCATCGACTAACGTTTGATGTTCAATTTTAGACAAGGCAGTGACGTTTCGGGGGAAGACTGAGCGACGGAAGATCGCGAGGACGGGGGAGGATGGGCAGTGATGGGGGTCGGCTCGGCTGACCAAGGGGGCTGTTCCTGGTGAGAGGGGAGAGGGGAACTCACCGTGCACGGCACGGAAGCAAAGCCTGTCAATAGACTGCATTCCCGTCTCCGCGGGACCAATCCCAGTTGAATGTTTGTCTCCAAATATGGATCTGCACCGAGAATGTGCAGGCTTTTTTCTCTTCTGACATGGTACGAGGTTGTTTCGTTGTTTGGGGTGCCTGCAAGGAAGGGGCTTGAAGAGGCGGGGAGGGTTAGGGCTGATGCAGCACCACTGAGCAGTTTGCTGAAGAAACTGCAGATCCCATGCCAATTACGGATCCCGCTGCCACGGCAACGCCCCGCCAAATAAACAGCGCCCGATGGGGAGCTTGAGATTGCCAAACGGTGTCGCATTGAGCCCGAGCTCTTGGTTGCACCGAGAATCCCGGAATGACATCTTGCACATTTGGGCTTGATTTGGTTTGATTTTTCTTGCCGACACGGAACAGGGTCTTTCCCACCTGCATCTTGTGTGCCCCTGCCCATATTATTCCCAAACCGCGCGATCCACGATCCAGCATTGATTGCTGTTTGGTGCTTGTCGGAGAACAAAAAAAAAACTCGAAATCAAAGAGAACCCATGAAGACCAGGCGTCGGCTGCGATGATCGAGTCCGAGAACTTGCGTACGGCGTCGCTGTACATCAACAACCAGCTGTTGTCCCGCGGTCTGCTCCGCGATGGCAATGGCATCGACTTCGCCCAACCGGGCGACACCGATACGGCGGTGGCCGAGACTATGAGCCGGATTATGGCCGTGGTAAATGATCTAATTCTGCGGCGAGATGTGAGCACTGGCGCCCCCATACCTAGATACCCGTCGTCTCGTCACTAACTGTCCCCTCCAGCGAGATGCCGAACACCGCGAATCCCTCTCGGCCACATTGCGGACCCTTCGTGCCGAGTCCTTGCGGCAGGCCAACGATATCCAGCGCCTACAAGAGAAATACTCTGACGCGCAGCGAAAGGTTGGCTTGAGCGAGGCCGCCGAGGCTGCCCTCCGCACAAACCTCAAGACAGCCGAGGGGACCGTTCACCGCCTAAAAGAAGAGGCTGCCCGCACAAAAACACTCGTGGCCCAGACGAGGGCCTCGTGCGCGAACGAGGTGCGCAAGCGGGACCGCCAGATCGAGGGCCTCAAGAAGGCCGTCACAGAAGCGGGTAGGGCGAGAGGCGCCGGCCGAAGCACCGGCATCACATCCATCAATGTGGTCGGCGACACCGGATCCGAAGCCGAGCACGGTGAACTGATGGTCGACGACGACGCTGAGCAGAGCCACGATCTCCGCACAGAAACCAATGCCTTCCTGGCCGAGCTGGCGAAGGGCCTCAGCGAGGAGAATGAAGGCCTGCTGCAATTGGTGAGGACAACGACGGAGCACTTGAAAGAGATGAGCGGCTGGGACGTCGCCAATGGGAATATGATGGAGAACGGGGACGGCCATGCTATGGTTCTCGCGGCCCACCCCGACGATATGTCGCTCGAAGTTAATGCGGTGCTCGACCACCTACGCACCATCCTGACGAACCCGTCCTTTGTCCCCATTGAGGAGGTCGTGGTGCGCGAGGACGAGATTCACAGGTTGCGCGACGGCTGGGAGAAGATGGAGACACGTTGGAAGGAGGCCGTCCATCTCATCGACGGCTGGCGAAAGAGGATGCAGGCGAGCGGTCGGCCCGTGAACGTGGAAGAGCTGAAGATGGGACTGCGGCTTAGCCCGGTGAAGGTGCGCAACGTGGAGGAGACTGCACACGGATATGCCCTCCGCCTCGCCGCCGTCCTCGAGGACGAGGAAGTGGATGCTTCTCAACTACTCGACGATGAAGGGCCATTGGATTTGGTTCCGCGCGCCGAAGCCGGCGAAGATGACAGCGATACCTCAAGTATGTTTGATCACGACGTCGACGTCGACGACTTGGACGTGGAAGAGCCGAACGTGGAGATCCTGCAACAATCGGTGATGTTGCCCTCACCACCACTCCCCCTGCCGCCACAGCTCACCCCGCTGCGTGATTCTTACACGGCGGCGAACCGTGGTGATCGCCCACACAACAGAAAGCCCCCCAAGGGCTTCCCGACCATCTCAGAAGAAAAGAACCGGGACTTCGAGGCGGACGAGCCTCCCCTCCCCCCGCCTCATGCCGACCAGCTCCAGCAGTCGCCAAACAAGAAGCCAACCCTGTCGCTACGCACAGTGCCGCCGGAAGAGGCTGCCAAGGTGGAGCTGCCGCCCTCTGCTCATGTTTCGACGCCAGACGCTTCGGTTGGGAGCATGTTCGCCAAGGCTGCTGACGAACGTACATCCAAGACCTCGGCAGCTTCCGCGAGGGCCCAAACCCGTCCGGCCCCCACGACGAAGAGGAGGGGGGAGTCCCCCAGGAAGAATGATCCGGCAAAGAAAGAGACTACTACAAGGAGGGAGGCCATCAGGAAGGAGGCTGTTCGGAAGGAACCTGTGAAGAGGGAGACCGCGAAAAAGAAGGAGAGCGAAGAGGTGAAGACGACGACCAAGCCGCCGCCAAAGTCCCGACCGACCCGACCCCCAATTACCAGAGGAAGGTCAGACACCAGGCCAGACGATAAGCCGGGCCATGTAAAGCCACAGCGAGCCACTTCAGCAACTTCGGCGACGTCTGTAAGATCTGCTGGCACTACTAAAAGCGCCAATAGAAGCGTTAACAAGAGTGCAAACGCCGAACTGCCGCCTCCTCCGCCACCCCATGCATCTGTACCATCACCGGCGCCATCACCTAGCCGTTCGCCAAAACGCGTCAACTCCCGCCTCCCGTTACCACGGCCCGGCTGTAACAATGTGCTCCCCGCCCCGCAACAGTCACCCCTCAACATGGCCACCATCACCGCCAAGCTAGCCGCCTCGGAGCGCGACGCAGACGCAGCTCGCGTACGAGCCAAGCTCAAGGCGGCCCGGCTCGGAAAGGGCATCAGCCTCCCGCCGCCCGGGACAACCTCCACCGCGAGCACGACCCCGACCGAGCCGGAACCGGACCGCAACACGGGCGCCCTGAGCACCCGCTCCGAAACCGACAGCGCCGGGGGCACCGCGTCCGCTTCTGCGTCGACCTCGGACGGCGCGCCTAGCTCTACCACCACCCGCGACGAGGATGCTGACGAGTTGGGGTTCTCGCCGCCGCGCAAGGCTCAGCAGCCCTTGCCGCAACAGAAGCAGCAAAAGCAGGGCGGTGGCGGTGGTGGTGAAGCCGAACTCAAGAAGTCGCCGGTGCGGAAGAGGGAGCGGAGGACGAGCAAGGCCACCTCGCGCAGACGGAGTACCCTTAACTCGTGGGAGTTGGATGCCCTAATTCAGGGAGGGAACGTCACTGTTGAGAGGTAGACGGATCGGATGGAAGCTACACTGGATGATCCTGCATCTTTTTTTGGTCTTTTTGTGTACATGTTCCGGGGTTTCGGAGGGTGCGGATTGTGGATGATGATGGTGTGGGGGAGTTGATTTCTTGGGAGGTGAAGGCAATGAGGACAAGAGGGGGAAAGGGGGGTACGGTCTGTTGGCGGTGGTTGTGAAGGATGAAGTTCGGGGTGGGCGGAGTGTCATGAGTTATGAGGCTGCATCTTCTGGGTTTCAAGTTCAAGTTTGACTCGTTTCTTTCTGTTTTGTTTTTCTCTTTCCTTTTGCTGATCCCCCCCATTCTTGTTCATTGCATACATCCCGTCCATGGACGGGTTTCTGGTTGCCTGCCTTGCTGGTTTGATTCCACTGATCTGTCTTGGAGCATGCAATTTTGGAAATGGGCATCTTCGTTTTGGGCATTGTATTGTGTCTTGTCTCTGTTGGGGCTGCATTCCGTTGCGGCGGGGCTTGTTATCTTGATTCAAATGGGCATTGCTAGGTCGTTGGGCTCGTTGTTGATATAATTAGTCAGATACCAATGGGAATTTTGAGATGCTGCTCGGACTCGAGGTTCTTGTTAGTGGCGGTGAAGGAAATGGGTCGATTCACTCAGCTAGGAGTGTAACTAGTCAAAACGCCACGCGTGTTTCTCTTTCCAGGTGACTCGCGCCAGGATTCCGATCCTCCTGGAGTGTGGTTGGTGAACCTTTGGGTGTATGTATTTGTCACCTTGCAACGCTACGAGGGCCCGAACCGTTGGCAGGATCACTCGGAATGTCACCCGCGCGTTTTGAAAAGACGGTGAGGATGCCATGTTTGTTTGTATTTCGGAATACACCCAAACCTCGCTTTGGCTCTGTGTCCAAACCCCCCACGCTCCTCCCATCACCCTCCCTCAAACCCACCACCACTTAGATTTTAAACCTAAACCCATTCACGGCCCCCTCCCCAGGGACAGCATTAATCGCCCCCTCCACCCACACCCCAGCCTCCAACTTCCTGTTCAGCCGCACGAGGACGGCGCGCATGACGGTGGCTGCGCACACGGCGATGAAGGCGGTCACGCAGTTGACAATCATGGCGACCGTGTAGTGCGGGTCGGCGCTCTTGGGGTACAGGTACGACGCGTAGATGCTGCTGCAGTTGCTGACGGCGTTGATGAAGGCCAACGCCGCGGCCCGCTTCGCCGGCGGCCGCGGCATCGTGTTGCTGATCCACGCGAGAGCTACGACGAAGCCCGAGTAGACGGATGGGACCTGCGTTGCGGTTAGTGCCGTAAATTGAGGAAGAGGAAGGAGAAGGGGGGGGGTGGTGGTTTGGGCAACGAGGGGAGGGAGAGACTAACCCATGAGCATCATACTCAGATACCGCGGGGCAATGTGTGTTGTGGTGGCGGCGATGATGTAGGCGATCACGGCGACCCACATGGGAATCGTGATGTGCCAGTACCGCTCGCCCGTCTTGTCGGCGTGGGTGGCGTTGAGGTAGGTGACGATGACACCAAGCACGTAGGGCGGGGCGGTCAGGAGCAGCGAGATGACCTTCGCGTTGCTGCTCTCATTTTCGAGCGCGCCCACTTGAATCGTGTTGACGACTGTCGGGAAGAAGTTGGTGACAGTACCGCTGGCGACGATGCAGAAGAGCAGGACCAGCTGACGTGCGGTTAGCTACAGTGGCTGTGAAGGATACCTCTAGCACGGGTAGGTGCTTACCAGAATGTAGGTCTTGGGGTCGATGAACATTAGCTTCGCGCCCTCCCAGAAGGTCTGCTCCTCGCTGTTGACCCAGTCGTCCTCGCCGATATCCTCCTGGAGACGCCTAGAACCGTATCAGCTCCCTCATCCACTTAGAGCACAGACACACACGTAACATACCAAATGGCTAACGTCCTCTCCTCATCCGTCAGCCACGTTGTGGTCCGCGGAAAGTTGGGCAGCACAAAGTAGCAAGCGAACGCCACAACAACAGTGGCGGCACCCTCGATGATGAACAGCCATTGCCATGCCCCCAGCCCGCGAGTCCCATCCATGCCCCATGTCACACCTGCCGAGATGAGGCCGGAGAAAGCGCCGGAGATGAGAGCCCCCGAGTACAAGACGGCAGTACGGAAGCCAAGTTCTTTGCGGGTGTACCAGCACGAGAGGTAGTACAGACAACCGGGACTGGGAGTTACGGCTTGATTAGACCATCGCTCGCTGTGTTAAAAAAAAAAAAGGAATTGGGTGACTTACAAGTAGGCAGCTTCAACCACACCCAGGAAGAAACGGTTGGCTAGCAAACCGGCCGCGTTTGTGCAGACAGCAGTTAGTGCGGAAATAATACCCCAGACGATCATCTAGTCGCATTTGTTAGCAGGCCCAGAACAAACAAATAGGGTATATCAAGGTAAGACCTACGCAAGCGGGCAAGTAAATGGCGGGCTTGCCAAACTTGTTGAGGAAGAGGTTCGATGGGATTTGCATCAAAAGGTATCTGGAGGAATCGTTAGCTGCTAGTACCCAAAATGTGTCTTAGAGCTGTGTTACCCAACGAAGAGAATGCTGACTGCCGTTTGGAACTCGGTAGATGTCAGGTTGAGGTCACGCTCCAGGCCAGCAAGCCGAGCAGCAGCGATGTTGTTTCTGGCGGTATCCTCGTCAGCCTATGGCGCATATTTTTCCATCGGTCGAGACGCCGAGACATACCGATCAATGTAGTTCATGATGTACATGATGATGATCGCCGGCAAGAGTCGGATATCGATCTTCCTCTTTAGCTTCTTTTCTAGTTCTTGCCTTTTCTCGGGGGACAGGTTCCTGATGAACTCAGGAGGTTGCATTCTCTGTGGCCTGGTGTCCTCTACGTTGGCCGCCCCGACCTTCTCGTCTGTGCTGCCCGCCTCATCCCCCCGTATCTTGGTGTCGGTCGGGGAGTCGGTCATATTGGCGGTCTTTGGCGGCACCTATAAGTCTCACTGGTATGATGGTTGAGCACAAGCTGAGACAAGCGAGAGAGAAGGTTGCCGAGCTGAAGGAGACCAAGAGAGGGGGTCGATCGTTCTTGATATCAAGCCGCCGCTGTTGGATGGTTGCACCCGGGCCCGATGCAGTATAACGTTATTCCTCGCTTGAGACCGAGTGGCAGGGCGGCACAACACGCCGCCAAACCTGGCGCGATACTCTGCCACTTATCAAGTCCCATCGCGAAAGGCCGTGGCAATCCGGCACGTCATCCACCACATGGGCGACGAACCCCTAAAGAGGAGCTCGCGTCGTCGGGATTGGTTTCCGGGCTGTTTGGCCCCATCCGAGCTGCCAGGAACCTTTCGGCGATGGCAGCATCTTGACAGCAACTGCCAGGGTTTCTTAACCGGCACGCGGCCTCGAGTCTCCAAACAACCCGGGTTCTGTTGCTTCCCATCGCAGCATCGAGCCCAAAGGTTGGCAGCATCCCTTCCGTCATTGGCTCCGGTTGAATAGCCCCGGCACCTTCAGTCCGGGGTACCCAGGGTGGGACGGTACCCTTTGCCGTGCGGGGTGTTACAGACAATGGATGATCACTTGGAGAAGGAACAGGGAAAGGGCCGAATCACAATGACTGAGCTTGGGCAATGGGCGGTCTGAGGTCCGAGCGAATGGGTGTGTCCCCGCGAGGAGAGGATGGGGTTTTGTCGAATATTGCACCCTATCAGGTTGTGGATGGCATCGAAAGGGGAACAAGACTCGTCGCCAAGTCCACCATTGCTCATGACGGAGGCGGCTTGCTTGGCAAGCAGCCATCCGTTGGTTAGCTCAAAGCTTGGTATGCTTGTCTTCCTGCGTTCTCATTCGGGCGGAAGAAGTGAGATCCTCTTCACCAGAGGACAGGGGGCTTGTCGCTTCCCCTCGGGCCGAAAGTTCCAGCGTGCTGACTCCCGTTCAATGGTACAGGAGAAAGCTGGTCGGCTGATGCATCGTGGACCAACCCATGCCCTAGATAGCGTCACGGAAACCACCTCGGCTACTCAGCTCGTTCCCAGCTCGGACAGGCTGCGTACGTGTGTTATGTCATGATGCGGGCTCAGCTGAATTTTATGGCGATGCGAGTCACCCAAGTCAATGCGTGTGGTCTTGTCGTGGATATTCTTCTCTGAGCCTTCATTAAAATTCTTACAAGTCGTCAAGTATCGCCCTGGTCCCCATCGCTCATCCATGTTGAAATACAATACGCCTGCTGGCTGCCATCCAAGAAGTCCATGGTCAGTCCAAGAATCATACACATCACCATCACCTCTGTACAGGTTGAATCGTGGTCGCATCAATGCGTAACCGTCCTTACGGCTTGGAGAATCACCCCAAACATGAGGCCCCTCGCCACCTCCTCTATTTGAAGGCAGTCGAACAAGCGCCCCAGTGCCTCTGATGTGGCGGCCTGGCCCATGACGCCCGTGAGCGCGGCAGGCACGCCGCTCTCAATTAGCAACTTCCTGGCTTTGATCCGAAGATTTTCCTTTTCCTCGGCCGTCATCTCCGCCGGCCATGTTGCCCGTTCCTGCTCTGTCGGGAGGGTGTTCTCCCGGAGCTTCTTGAGATGCGCTGCGATGCCGCTATCCGAAGTGTTGGCTTCGAGAACAGAGGACTGGATGAGCGATTGGATGGAGAGGAGCGACGGGTTGCCAGGCCGCAAGAGGAACGACTTGGCCGCCGCGAGAAGAGTGCGACGGATGTTCCACGCTGACGAGAGGGTGTACAGCTCGTTGATGACGGCGAAGAGGAGCTCAACCGCTACGCGGGTCTCCTGTTCCGACATCCTCGAGTGTTGTTTTACGCCTTGTAGCGGCGGACCGTTTAGCCTCTGTTGAGTGTTGAGCGTTGGCATTGTCAAGGAACGCGCATGATGGATATCATGAGGCCGACCGTTCGACAGGCTGATGGGTGATTCGTAGTCATCGCTAATCATGTCAGGTGGCGGAGGCAACCGGAACCCGTCGAAGCTGAGGCTCGATGGTGAACGAGCTGGTGGCGCTCGGCTTGCCGCACGGCTCGATGCCCGGCTGAACTCCCGGCTGTTCCTCGCCGAGGCCTGGGAAAGCCGCTGGCTTTCAGGTTCCGCGTCGCCTTGCGAGTTGTAACTTGGGCGGCGGTCCATCGATGGCATTCTACCGGGTTGCAGCCCGGCAGCGGACGACCGCTGGCTGTCCATGCTGTCCCGCGGCTTGCGCATTCCAGTCAGTGACACGCTGCTATCCGCACGAGGCAAGGTTGATATCGACAAGCGACTAGCTGCTGTGACATCTTGCAGCGCTGATGGCGTTGGCGACGGAACAGGGGGCGCTGGCTTTCGTTGTCCCAGGCCGATATTCCCCAGTACTCCGGTTACTCCCCCAACTACCGCCTTTGAGCCTTCAAGCGGGGCACTTGTCAACACGTCAAACACGTTTTTGCCTAGTTTCTCAAACGCCTGGAATCCCGTCTTGGGAGCGTGGGGGATGTGTCCGTTATCTCTTTCCAAGAACTTTTTCAACCCCTCACTGTCAGCTAGACTCTGATAGCCACAGGCATCTCGGAGATAGCGTTCTAGCTCGCTGCGTAATGATGTCCGGGTATGCCCCTTCCAAGACGGCAGCGTGCTATGCTTCTCTGTAAAACCGGTTGCACCAGAAATGGTCGCGATCCGCCTCAGCACCTCATGAAGGGTCTCAAAGTCGCTGTACTTCCTAATGATCATCCATCCGGGGTAAATCGTCGTTGCCGGTTCAATCTGGACCAGGTAATCCCATGATGGCTTGGTCCTGATCCTGCCATCACCCGGCTCATCCAATACGGTGATGGTTGCATTGTGTAATGTCAATGGAGGTGGCTTGCGACGCTCGCTCGCCTCGGCTTCTAATTCTTCGCGGGCAGGCGGGACGATCTGGTCGAAGCTGGTGAACCTAGCCCTCTCATTCGCCGGCGGGGACGAATCTTGGCTTGAAGAGGGAGAGGGAGTTACCCCGGAATGCGGGGTGGCGGGTGTATGAATGACATCGTTCCTGCTGGACGACCCATCGCTACTCGTCCTCTCCGGGGCGCCTGCAGAGACGTCCAGGCGCTCGGGGAGATCTGGTTTCTCAGTCAAGCCCTTTTGGATGTCTAGATCATCCGCATTGCGTTTGAGGGCATCGGCTAGTCTTTCGGAAGCGTTTGCTGTGCCTGTGGTGTTTTCCGAGTTCGCAGCTTGTTGTCCTTGTTGATCGCCCAGGGCGCCTTCTTTGGCAATCATCTGGTTTAAGCGCTTCATCTCTTCCATTGCCAATTCCATTTCTTCCTCGGCCTTGCTCAGCTTCTTCTTATGGACGGACTCCTTCCTACGTGCCCTTTCCTGCTCGAGAGAATTCCGATTCCCCCGGGCGAGGCCGATGTTGCCCACATTGCCGTCCAAGTCGGCAAATGCCGCGTCTGTCCCAGGTCCCGTCTGCATCCCGACGTCGATAGCCTGGCTCAGGTCAGGTTCGCCTGACTCTAGTAAGTGGACAATCCATGCATTGATCCACTCAGGTTTGGAGCATGACTCGAGTGTCGTTTCCAGAACAACACCTGCCAAAATCTCTCGCAGGAAGACTCGAGCGGGATCGCACTCGTAGCTCGGACGATCGAGAAATCCCAGCATATCTTCGGCAGCCATGCGAAATTTATGCGCTTGCTGCTTTTGGTTCAGCAAGATGGATAAATTACACTCGGGATGCGAGGCAAGGTAATTGTATACAGCATCTGCAGCAGACATTTTTGAATCGGCTGGCAGCTCGGAGAAGGCGTTGGATAGCTCGGACATGAAGACGACAAGGATGGAAGATGTATTCGTTAGAAAGTCGAGGAAGGCGTCTGCGGGGCGTTTCCGGCTCAGGCGGTTGGAAACCGATGTGAGGAACGTGGTGAGCGTCTTGCGGCATGCCAGGGGGAAGAACTTGTCTGAAGGTACGATGGGCGAGTACCACCACTTGACGTAGTTATCGACAACAGCGTCAACCAATTCGTTCAAGGCTTCGCGGGTCTCGGGTTGCAGGTCTTCGAACGAGCGCACCAACGCACTCTCTGCATCGTCGGTGTTTAGCTCCTCGGGGGTCGCGTCTTCTAAGGCCTTCTTGGACGCTAAAATCCGTGTCAAAACATCCATCCCACTCTCCCCCTTAAGGGCCCGAACCACGTCGGCGTTACGCTGCTCCCATTGTATGAAGGACACGATCCCGCCAAATGCGCCGATTAAGACGAGGCCTAACCTGCCGAGCACTAGATATGTGGTCGCGGCCAGGCCCACGGCAACGCCGCCGAGAGTACCGGGAGTGGCTGTGGCGAGGAAACCGAAGACCTTCGTTGATAGACCCTCCTCTCTTGCGTTTGGCGGCTTGGGTGATCGAGGAGAGTCGGTCCCCTTAGCAGTGCCGGATACCGCCCCGTCTTTGTCGTCCATTGTATCGCGGGTGGCACACGGCGTTGGCGCATCCTCCTGTTTCATCGGGCTGGAGAAGGTTTTCGTGAAAGCATTGATTCGGACAGCAGGATATTGGGTCGTCGTCGCGGAAACCGGAAACTCGATCGAGCCGATGTTGCTGACGCTGACCTGACTTGGCAGGAAAGCAATGCACCTCTCGTTGTGAGGGTCTGTCTCGGCAATGGCTTAGGCAAGTAGCGGTCAGTCAAGAGTGAAGGAAAAGGAAACGCCAACAAAGGACCAGAACATATGAAGCTGAATGGCTGGGGAATTGTTTTACAGATGATTTTTTTGAGCTTTACTTCCTTCGACAACCCTTGTGGACTTCATTTCATCAGGGGCCCCATTCCCCAACACTTCAATGGGCCCAGCCTGCCTTGGCAAGCCAAGACTTCCTTCCTGCCATGTCACCCTCTAACCAAAAAAGGCTGCATGTCAAAAAGTCAACCAACAACCGAAGTTCCAAAACTGCCGTCGGTATCTACCTGAATACTACATTGAGCAATGGCAATCAAACAAGAAAAATTGAATACAAGAGCTTGAGGAAGATTATGTTGGGGAAGAGGAAAATCAAGCAGTAACACAGGATGAAATCGAGTAAAGCAGTTGCCATTCCCGACGTTTCCATACTCGGAATTCCACATTCCTGCGTCCTTGCTTTTCCTGCCCGTGGGGTGCTTCCTTGCTCAAACATAGCGTGTCTCCACCAACAAGGTCCGTACCGAGAAGCCAAGCCCTTTGGTTTAATTAAGAGTGGGCTGAATCCGCGCCTGGCTTCACGTGCGAACGCGCCGCGGTGGCGCTCTCACGTCACGGCACGACCCCTCACCGACGAGGTACGAACGATTTCGCGGGTGGGAATAATTCCCAGAATGTGCAAACCCACTCAAAAAGCACAACTACGTTGAAGACGGTAGTTAATCGCATTGCCCGTCATGCCCTACCAAAAGAAGCGGCAGACTGCCGCCGAGAACGACTCGGGGCAGCCCGCCGTCAAAAAGTCGAAGAGCGAGAAGAAGGCCAAGAAGGACCTCACGCAGGGCTCGGATGCAGAGGGAAACCCGTATTGGGAGGTCGGTTTTGCCACATTGCCCAAGAAGAATTTTGAGAGACGGGTTGCTAATATCCCATCAGATCGGCAACAACCGGCGCATCGGCCCCACCAGGTACAAGGGTGTCACCTTGGTTAACATCCGAGAGTTCTACACCACACCTACTGGCGAGCTGAAGCCAGCGAAGAAGGTGGGTTTTTGATATCCTCTGGCTTATCTCCTACAAGCACTGACCGTTACTAGGGCATCTCGCTTACCTTAGACCAGTACAACGCTCTCCTCAAGGTCATCCCGGAGCTCAATGAAAAGCTCCGCGCCGAAGGCCATGAGTTAAGCGACATGCCACCGGTTGGGGCGAAAGAAGCTCTGGTGAAGGCGGACAAGCCCACCAAGTCCAAGAAGTCGAGAAAGGCAAACATCGACGCCACGAGCGAGGAGGAGGAGGAGAGCAGCGAGGAAGACGATTGAACGGATATACGACCGAGCTTCGCATTTTTGGGGCGTTCACTTTAGAGTCTTTTACTGGTACCAAGCAATGGGGGGAGTTGGCGCGGTCTATTTTTGCTATGAATTCATGCGATTGTTTTGTCCATCGCATTTCTGAAGCCTAGACGAGACATGATGAATGCTGAGTTACTGAATTCCAATCTATACTATGGGGTCGCGCATGACGTATGTGTGACAATGCCGTCACATAATAACTAAAAGTAGGGTATTCATTTCTCCGTATCCACGCTCTAGGCTTAACCTTTCACAACCCGGTCAACAGCTTGTTGAAGGCCCAGATATATCGTACATGTTCAGCTCTCGCGGCAGGCGAACGTTGGCGTTTCACGTCTCTCATGTCTTCTTTTCCTCCCCCCGAAGCCTAGCTATTAGTTTCTCCTGCAGAAAAGGACTGAGTCCAAGGCTACAGAGAAATAAGGTTAGTTATGATTTGGTTGGGCAATTGAGAAGAAAAAGAAACAGGGGAGCCTCACATTCCCTGATTCGTCACAATCCGGTACGTGCCACTGGGCTGGTAGTTGCCGACGATTTCGCCCTTCCCATCAACCTCCACGCTGCCGAGTATGTCTTCTGGCCTTGACAAGCCAACCAAGTTAGCATCAACCAAAGAACTCCTTTTCCTGTTAGGTTCGCCTACCAAGCAATCCTTCCAAAATCAGGCGGGTTCCTTGAGTCGCTCAGATGCACCCACCCGCCCACGCCGGCCCCTCCGGCACCGCCCTCAGCACTCGCACCGCCAGCCCCAGTCCCCGTGCCCCGTTGATTCCGTGCCTGTATAAAATTGAACCCGCCTGGTGACGCAAGCGCCTGCGCCTGGCTCTTCAACCCCGGGTCGTCGGCTGCATGTTTCGCGAGGACGTCGTCGAGGATAGAGATGAAGCGCGGGTTCCCTTGGAAGGATTTGGGCGTCGGCGGAACGGCGGTCGTGGTACCAATTGCGAGGGACGGGTTTGGAGGAGTAGTTTCGAGGTAAGATAGGAGGTGGCTGTTGGGTTGCTGAGGGTGTGGGAAGACTTTCTGCAGGAGAACCATTAGCTTTGTGGAGGTGGTTACGATGGTGGTTGGTACTAACAATGCTGGGATTGGAGGGTAGTGTTGAAAGGCCCCTCGCCCTTGAAAGGCCTTGCAACCCCTGAGGCGTAAACAAACGGGCGACCAGCATTTTGCTCGATGGGAGGGTGGATATTAAATAGCTTGAAGCTTGTGCTTGGTCCCGTTTTCGATGCGGTCATGGTTTGAGCTTCTGAAGCTTCGAAAGCTCCACTGGCCTGCCGGAAACGCGCCCCTGTGTCTTCGACCCCTGTCTTGCCCCGCCAAACGCGGTAAGGCGACGCGCCGTTGCAAGCCCATTAACGCGGTTCTCTGCACTCTGGCCCAAAACCATCAGCAACACCAATTCCCTTAAACTCCACGAAAACAACGCCAAGATGATGGTCATACAGAGTCCCAAGAAGACCCCACGGAAGAATCAACCAAAAAGTCCCGAAAAGGGCAAGCGAGCCAAACCGCCCCCGCCGCCGTTTTTCGCGCCCAAGAATGCGGCTCCCTCGAGCGCGATCCTGTCCTCGTCTCCTGCGTTTGCCACTCCAGCACACCCATTAAAGCCGTTTCAAGCTCCCGCTCCCGCCAAAGCAGCTGTCCTCCCCATAATCCTCCCACCTGCAACCCTACGACCCCTAGCTTTCCGCACCTTCACCAAAAAGCACGGCCTAACACTGACTTCCCCGGCGCTCCAAGAGCTCGCTACCTTTATTGGGAGACACTGTGGCTCGGGATGGAGAGAAGAAGGCTTGGCAGAGAAAGTCCTCGAGGAGGTGGCTCGGACCTGGAAGAACTGCAATGGGGGGGTCATTGTGGAAGGGACCAGCCCTGAGCTGAAAGACATGCTGAAAACACTAGAGGGGAACATGAGCGGCGGCAAGATAATGAGCGGACCGCGCGGTTTGAGCAGGCAAAACAGCTTGATTCTAGAGCCAACCGAGGCTCCGGACCATTCCAAGACGCGGCTCGGGCTGAGGCCAACGGCAACGCTTACACGGGACGATAGTCAGGCCAGTTTTGGCATGTCAGGCATCGGCTTTGACGAGGAGCCAGATGACGAGGGACTGCAAGATGTCAGGAGATGGCTGAAGGTTATTGGCGCTTTTGAACAGCCACGGTATTCGTACAATGTTGCCAAGAAGCATTTTGAGAAGTACGGCTCTTTCTCTCCCCAAATAGACACTCTGCTGACGATGGACAACCAGAGCTACCTCCAAACCCTCCCTCCTACCACCGGCCTCCCATAAAACCGACGCTTTCCGAAACCGGTACAATGTTGTTCATCAACGTCTTCTCCGTAATGAATCGTTTCAAACTTCGGCAGTGACGAGTGCCAGGACGACCGGTCTCCGTCGAAGCGCATCCACAACAATGCAATCGCACAAGATCACCCCGATATCGAACCTTCTTGGCCGACACGGCACAAACCACATGCTACTCGGGATGCTTGTCCTGCTGCCCACGGGTAACATAGCCATCAGCGATTTGACCGGAACTATCACTCTCGACTTGTCCCACGCGGTCGCTATCCCAGAAGACTCGGCTTGGTTTACCCCAGGCATGATTGTTCTGATTGATGGTGTCTATGAGGAAGAGGAAGAGTCCATAGGCAAGGGACTAAGTGGTAGCAGTGGCGTGGGGGGGACCATTGGGGGTCGCTTTCAGGGATTCTTCATTGGACAACCACCCTGCGAGAAGCGGCGAGCGACGCTGGGGGTTAGCGGCTTGGACGGGGGCCCAGACCACACAATCGGTGGCGGCTTTGGGTGGATTGACTTCCTCGGCGTGGGCAGTGAGCGGGCCGTAGGGTCGCGCATGCGCAAGATAGAGCAGAGATTGCTGCGACAACCAGCGTTGGCTGATCCAGACAGTCCCGGACGAGGGCGTGTAGTGATCGTGGGCGAACTGAGCCTCGACGTGCCACGCAGCCTGCAGGCACTGAAGAAGATCCTCTCCCTCTACGCTACCGATCCAGAAGGATCAACGCCAATGACGTTCATCCTCGCCGGCAACTTCACGACCCACGCGGTTATGGCGCGTGGTGGGAGCGGCGGCAGCATAGAGTACAAAGAGTTTTTCGACGCTCTGGCCTCGACGCTGGCCGACTTCCCCACGCTGCTGACCACGGCAACCTTCATCTTCGTTCCGGGCGACAACGACGGGTGGGCGTCCGCATTTTCCGGCGGTTCCGCTGTACCACTTCCCCGAAACTCGGTCCCGGAATTGTTTACCTCGCGAATCAAGCGAGTTTTCACTGCCGCCAACGCCGACGCCGGGTTGTCTCCTGCCGAGGGCAAAGGCGGCGAAGCCATCTGGACCACCAACCCCAGCCGCATCTCCCTCTTCGGACCCAACCACGAAATAGTCCTCTTCCGCGACGACATCTCAGCCCGCCTCCGCCGCTCCTCCGTCCGCCTAAAAGGCAAAACCACCGCCCCAGCCGAGGCCTCCCAACCAACCCAAACCGAAGACACCGCCATGTCCGGCGCCAACCCCCCAGCCCCCTCCTCCCCACTAGCACCCGGCCTCGAAGCAATGGACCTAGACGCCACGCCGCAACCGCCCTCGCCCAAAAACACCACGGCGGGGGCGGCGGCAGAGTCCGAAGCCATCCCCTACGACACGGTCATCGCGCGCAAGCTGGTAAAGACGCTGCTGGACCAGGGCTACCTCGCGCCCTTCCGGCAGAGCGTGCGGCCCGTGCACTGGGACTACACCACGGCCATGTACCTGTACCCGCTGCCGACGGCGCTGGTGCTGGTCGACACCACCGCGCCGCCCTTCTGCGTCACCTACGAGGGCTGCCATGTCATGAACCCTGGGAGTGTGTTGGTGAGTGGCCGTCGGGGTGTGGCGAGGTGGGTGGAGTATGCGGTTGGGGGTGTGACTAAGAGGGGGAGGGTGAGGGAGTGTACTTTTTGAGTTGTGGGTTGGTGGGTTGTCGGGGTTGATGGTTTGATGGGGTTTTTGGTGAAGCAAGACGGACGAGGAATGATTGCCGGGCTCGATCCGGGAAGTTTACGACATATGATGAATATAACACTGCCCAGGCACGCAGTGTAGACCAATGTAATTTTCAAAGCATTATGTAGAATGTGACTCGTTCATGTCTCATCTTGGAAGCTTCTCTGTACCTCGGCCATTTGACTACCTCTTAAGCCGGGAGGGCATCACTATCCAGCCGATACGCTTTCTCTTCTCCAGAAATGAGAATAAATTTCCCGAGTATATGGATAGTCTGGATATAACCGACGGTCATTGGGATAACAACCAAGGATATATATTCTCATAGTTAATCCCCACGTCGTTTCCGATGCCTGCGGTCAAACAGTCAATGCACTTTCCCGGTTTCTTCAAAGATGCCCCCCAACTAGGGTTCAAGAAAGACTAGGGAATGTCAAGCAGCGTTTAATGATGCCAGCATTTCAGTAGGGTGCAGCTGCAAGCTCTCTCGTATTTGAAGGGCGCTGTGCAAGGTAACACGAGTCGAAGTAGGTTCAGGTTGAAAGTCCCCATCACGGCAGGATTACCACGACGCTTAGAGTTCGTATATACCTTGTTTAGTTTACAAGTTTCCGAGTGTGCATATCTAAAGTTACAAAATCGGGTTCAGATGAATGAACGTGACCATGCTGCCAGGAATCGGGTGTAAGGTTGGACTCGCCGGGCCGCCGCTCCTTGGCTTTGACCCCCACTCCCGAATGGGGCTCCATGCCAAGCAGCCCCACCCCCACAAGCCAAGCTCGGCAGTCCATTCGGCCCCACCACAACTACAACATCCCGAACCGTCAACAACCTCACAAGGCAATCTTTTGTCATGTCCGAAAAAGAGAGCCATAACAGAGACTGCAGTGGGACTTTTTTGGGGGTACATTTCTGGGGATAAATTCTGTTTTTACAGACCATTCGACGTCTTACCATTGGCCTTGATCGAACGTTACGGTGTGTGTAAATTGAACATTCTTTCCGCCTCATCGTTAAACTCATGCAATAGTTATTCTACCTCAGCATTCACAATATGGGCACGCCGTCCAATCCTCTCAAGATTACGGTTTATCATACGAACAATTTTACGTCCTCTCGACGACATGTTGCGTGTCAATATGCTACCGGGTTGCACCGTCTGCGGGACGCCGCTTTAATGTATATTAAGTGCGCAGGAAGTTAGCTACCTGAGGTACCGTTGACAACACGAAACTTCAACCTAGTCCCGCACAGGGCCCAATTATTGTCGCCCATTATATCTTTCTATCACCGGTTGGTGTTTGCTCTAGCCCCAGATATGGGTCTGCCAACCGTCGGGATATGAGGCTTACCGATGACCAGCAAGATTCCGCCATAGATGGCTAGCGCTAAAGCGGCGAGACGGCTGGTAGCCATTACCAGAATGTTCCATGAAGAGGCCTTGCCTTGTGTCCGTGATCTGGCACGGGACTTCTCCTCCTTACTCGATTCGTGCGGGCGTGCGGTTGCCTTGGAACCCGCAGGCTCCCGGACCCTCTCGGACGCTAGGCACGTGGTGTCTTCCTTTTTCTAGGCAACGTCTTGGGGAGAAGATTTTTCTTCGCCATCTTCTCCTACATCATCTTTCTTCTCGCTGCACCTTCAACCACTTCTGCTGCAACATCACACTTATTTGGCGCGCCAGTCCTAAAACATGTTCTCTTCGATTATTCACCCGTTTGCGTACTTGACCGCCCTGGGCGCACTCGCGCGGGCGGGAACTGTTACGTACGACTGGAATGTGACTTGGGTTTGGGCAAGCCCTGATGGCTTTGGAAGGCCCGTCATCGGGATCAACAACGAATGGCCATGCCCCCAGATCAATGCCACGGCGGGCGACACCGTCGTGGTCAATCTCAACAACAAGCTTGATAACCAGACGACTGGATTACATTTTCATGGTATGAACCAAGTGCAGACCTCCGATATGGACGGCCCAAGCGGTGTGACTCAGTGTCCGATCCCGCCAAATTCTTCCGTCAAATATCAGTTTACGGCGGATGCTCCGGGAACCTATTGGTGTGAGTACACTTGGTATCGGCACTAAAAGCCTTGATCAAGACTGACAATTAGGCGTAGACCACTCCCATAACATGGGGCAGTATCCAGATGGCTTGCGCGGCTCCCTCATTGTGCAGGACCCAAATGATCCCTATGCAGGGAAATACGACGAGGAGCACATACTGGCCGTTTCAGACTGGTAAGTGGTCGTCGACCAGACTCCTAGAATGCAAAGCTCACTATGGACAGGTACCACAACGACAGTACTACCGCTGTCCAAAACATGCTCACTCCAAACAATACCCAATTCAAGCCCCCGATACCTGATAACATCACTGTCAACGAAGGCCAGGGCTTGCAGGTCGACTTCGTCAAAGGGAAGACGTACCGCATTCGCATGATCAATTACGCCGCATTCGGCGCTGCCATGGTTCACTTTGACTCGCACACCATGAATATCATCATGAATGACGGGGCATATATCCAGAAAACAGACGCTTACCAACTGCACCTGGCGCCTGCCCAGCGGTACGACGTCTTGATTTCGCCCAATGATAGCGATAACGGGAACTACCCCTTCCTAGTATCGCTCGACCTGAACCGGGACTGGACCAACGCGACCGAGGAGAAGACGTGGGCCCACAACTACACGGGATATCTTGTTATGGACTCTACCCAACCAATGAACAAAACCGATGTCGTAGACGTGTGGAATCCCGTTGACGATGCAAGTTTCAAGCCCTACGACGGGGCGGCCGCGTACAGCGCGTACGATAGCCTGGTCAAGCTCGATTTCAATTTTTGCCTCGATCAGAACGGCTACCCTCGCTCGTGTTTCAACAACCTCACCTACATCAGCCAGCAAGTCCCGACGCTCTACAGCGTGGCCACGACAGGCGACCAGAACACGAACCCGGTCATCTACGGACAAGTCAACCCCTTCATCGTCAACTACAACGATACCGTGCAGGTGGTGGTCTACAACGCCGACATCTCCTCGCACCCCTTCCACCTGCACGGGCACCACTTCCAGGTGCTGGAGCGGGCGGCAAGTGGTGCCGGTAACTGGTCGGGTACGGACAGCGGCTACGCGGCCAACCCGCCGATGCGCGACACCGTGGTAGTCATGCCCAACTCGTACGCCGTGCTGCGCTTCCGCGCCACCAACCCGGGCGTGTGGCTATTCCACTGTCACATCGAGTGGCACGTCGAGATGGGCCTGACCGCCACCATCATCGAAGCCCCCGACCGTCTGCGGAATATGACCTTCCCTGACGACCACATCGACGCCTGCAAGAAGCTCGGCACCCCCTACCAGGGCAATGCCGCGGGGAACACGGAGAACGTGACGGATACCAGCGACTTCGTGACCGTGCCGCCCACTACTTATAATGGGTACGTGCTTCCTTTTTGCGGAGAGAGATTTCGCGAAGTTTACCGCTTATGTTAACCTGATCAATTAGTGCATCATACACCACATCAACCTGAGTTCGGCGGGCAAGGGGGATCGGGAGAGGGTGTGTAAATGTGGGGGAAATGATGGAAACAAGGAGAAGGATAACATACCTGTCAGCCTAGATTGGATATTAGCTGGCAGATTGTATATCACCTGGTAGATACTATCTAATGACAGTACGTTTTAGCAACCATTGTTTCTTGGTTTTTTCTGGCCTCGGATTGTTTGAATCTCGCACATCGTGTGCTGAACAAGACTGGTAAACCAAAACCAGCACGCGGTCTGCGAAGGCTGCAGAAAGCAAGTCGTCCACATCCACCACCGCAGGCTACAGACCCGGTTTACCTCCCCTCCCTAAATATCACATTGCTGCTCATCCCATGGCACTAATCTTACTCCTCGCCGGTAAAAAGTCCGTAAGACGGAGACAAAGGCGGAACCCACCTCAAAAGGTACCAGCCAATGCGTGTTGTGGATGTGATGCCCACGCCACGGCCACGGCCACGACCATGTACGTACACGTACACGAGCTCGGAAGACGCGATGGGACCGCGCCCCCCCCTGTTCCGCAGCTCATACCCGAAGTCCTGTTACACGACGGTAAAGCTGCCCAAAAAGGACTGAGAGACAGACAGGGAGGTTTCAGCTCGTGGAGCGTGTGTGATGCTTCTGCCGGGCCGAGGCCGAGGCCGGGGGGCCCAGGGCGTGGCCACATGGTGACACGGTACGGAAGAAGAGAGGCCGCGGTTTCTCCGGCCGGACTTGGGGCTGTGTGTTGGCGTTTTGGGGTGTGTTTTGATGCATGTTTGTCGTTATGATTGTGGTGTCATGCCTGTCTGCTTGCAAACTGGCAGGGCATGGGTGGATTCCGGGCGGCCCTTGTGGCTTGCGAGGTGGAGAGGGTCGTTTGCCTCGTAAAACTTGAACTTTGCCCTGAAACCCCGGAGATTGGAAGTCCAGAATTTGATATAGTAACAAAACATGCACATCTCAAAATACACCGGTATTTACTGCTGACTGCCATTGTTTAACGAATGCTCGCTAGGCTATCATTCAATACAGGTGAGGCCCGGTTGTAGAATACAAGTACGGGAACGTTACCATGCTCCTGGGAGTATGAAGTGTGATCCTTCCGATAGTATGCCTTGTCCATCGCTTGTGGCCAAGGCTGGATGAGACGGGAGAGTACTGTGCAGCAATAGACGAACCGGGCACCAGTACCTATCTTTGGTCGGCTCGAGCAGGTTATGTTCCTTACTTAAGGCTCATGAATCGCCGTATTCATCAGCCACTTGTCATGCATGACAAATGCAGCAGAGGATCTGAACTGGAAATTAGAATTTCGTGCCGCTGGATCATCATCCCGAGAAGCCGAACAAAAAATAAAAGACATCTCAGATGCTTGTCTTGTTTCACCCAATTAGCTGGTAGCTGGTCTTGCTCGAGCCTAGAAGACAGGACTGCTTCAACACACGACAACAGGCTTTCCATAAGCTTACCAAACTGAAACTTGGGTGTCGATGACAACTGAGACGCACCCCCCAAACCCCTCCATCCGAGTAAACAGAAAGAGAAGCAATGTAAGCATCCACTGCCCGGTGAGAGGTGTCGTTCGTTCCATGCCCGTCTTTCGTCAGCTTGATGGCGAGACCGTTTAGCTGGGCCCAGCACACATTCAGCCTGGATGCCGAGAACCCGAAATAGTTCGTGTTAAAATTTCGCCAAGTCTGCGGTTAGCGAACGTCGTTGAATCGCATGACGGGCCGGACAATCGGGGGTCCGGTGGTGGTTGTGGTGATGGTGTTCACGAGGGGAAGGTTTGGCCGAACCAACTACGTTCAGTTGACCCCGGGCGACAAGCCGTGATCATATTAGAAACATGATGATACCGTGTCTACCCAAACGCTAGATGGACGAAGGATAATTGGATTGGCCGATCGGGGGTTGAGTGAACTGCTAGTGCGGGAGGTGATGCCTGAACGTTCCTAAAACGAGGATGGAATCTGGGCGAGTGAAAGATGCATCGTCTTAGGTCAGTCCAACCGACTGGGATATGTTGGATGGTCAGTCCGGTAACTCGCATGATCTGGTGTTCTGATAGCCTACTTAGGTACAGCTTTCATCCTTCCCCAGGCATGGTTGTCGGGGGTCTGCTCTCCGGCGGCAATCTGCTCAGGTCGGAGCCAAGCTGAGGTACCTTAGGTACCTGGAATGTGTAACATGAATCATTGAAACTTGGAGTAATTTTTTAGGTGCGTGCTTTTCCATTAGCTCTCTCCTTAAACCACTTCCATCATGCCTTAGTATCTGACTTCTCCCCCCCCCACCCGGGCGGCCTTGCAGCAGTAGGACAATTATGCAAATTATTACAACGTTTCTTGGAAGTGCCATCCCCCAAGCTATCCAAGACTGGCAGCTGCTTGCAATGTCCGTACCAGGCGACGGTTCGCAATTTCACATGTTTACGTTGAGCTGTCCGCTACCGAGACGCTGTGTTGCAGATCGCCCACAGGCGACAACAGCAAGGCTCTTGATGGACATCATATGAGACCACTATTGTCTTGACTCAACTTATTCTGTTTTTCGGTGTTCTGAGAAGGTGTTGTGATGCGTTGAGACAAGGTGATTGTGACCACGGATCTGAAATCCAAGCCGGGCCGTGCTTCCATAATCGTTTCCCGGCAGGTGCAGACGAACCACACCCTCCTCCCCACTCCCAAACTTCAACCCCCTCCCCCGGAAAGGGAAACCTTGGTGCATGACTGACCAACCACCTTGCACGTCAATGAGGCTCTCCCACTTTCAAATCCATCACTTGGCAGCAACGACATGGCATCCCCCCCTCTCCTACCCACCCGCCACCGTTCCTGCAAGGACGAAATCTCAAACTTCTGATCCGGACCACAGCACACCCAGCAAGTCAGAAGCCAACATATGGCGGACGGCCTCATCTACAACATCCGCAGCCCACCCCCCTCAGGAATTTCTGTGGTGCAATCGTTGGCCTGGGCCGTGGTGCGGGAGTCCGTGCTGGGGGGGAGGGGGGGGGTGGATGGGGGAGTCCGTCCCGCCTACCGAGGCTCCCCCTACGAACCGACGGAATACGCCGGAGCTGTGTAAAATGGTTTGCGACAAGTGGTATCTGTTCCATCGGACAGTGCAGTGACAATGCGCAGTTCGAAAACGGTCAGGTTTGCTGGACTGATGGACTGATGGATGACCTACCTACCTCTAACCAGATGACGAAAACAGGAACGCGCGATTTCAAATGCGCTGTTGAAACGCCCTGGCACTCTCGCTTTCCACGGGATCCGGCCAACCGCCTTCCCCAACGAATAGGCATGGTATCCAACAAGAGCACTCCTAGGCTTCTTTCCTCTGATTATCACATGGTGCCTGCTCTATCGAGCGGTTGCTACACAACATGGAACCTCGTCCGGAGCTCCTGCCCTTGCTCCTTCCCGCCATTTCGGTGTTGATACCTAGGGTCAGGTACGTACCTGGGGTAGCACCACCTCCTTCTCGTGAGCCCGGCACAAAGAGGCAAGTCCATAGGGCTATCAATGGAATGTCACTGCAGAAGCCGGGGGGGATGTCATGGCCGGTAAAATTCGCGCGGTGATTCCATGCTTCTTCCGTTGTTGTGGTGCCTTAGAACCACGATCTACCATCCCCAACTTCTTGTCCGAGCTTTACATTGCATGGGTGCATTGCTATAAGACAGTTTATTCGTCCGGCCTTGCTTCGAGTTCTTGTTCGAGTTTCTTTCTTTAGTTTGTAGTTTTCTATCATCAGCCACAAACCCGCCGCCCTCTTCCCGTGAAGCAGCACGGCGTCATCGGCCTTCCCAACGCACATCAACATGGAGGAGGCCATGCTCGACGAAAGCTGGGCTGAGCGGCCGGCATTCCTCCTCTTTGGGGACCAGTCTCTCGACAGTCATGGCTTTTTCGCTCAATTCTACCGCCAATCCAAACACGGCGAGCTAGCAAGGGTCTTCTTGCAGCAGGCGAACCACGCCCTGCTGGGTGTGGTCGAGAAGCTCCCTGCTTTGGAGCGAGCAACACTCCCCAATTTCCGAACATTGCGGCAGCTCAACGAACAATATCATAGCACGGAACAGAAGCACTCCGGAATTGACGCGGCGCTGTTGACAATATCGCAAATTGCGCACTACCTCGAGTGAGTCTACCCTATCTAGCTGAGCACACCGCTTTTTTACGTCTGTTGTTTTGGCTCGCCCCCTCTGACCACGGCACTTTTAGTCACGCTGAAAAGAACTGTGGCGATATCACACGGCCTCATAAGACTTTTCTCGTCGGGCTTTGCTCTGGGCTCTGGGCCGCAGCCGCTATCTCGGTGGCGCCCTCGCTCCCAGACCTGGTTCATATCGGCGTCCAAGCCGTTCTCTTGGCTTTCAAGACGGGTTCCTACGTTCACGCCATTGGGGAACGGTTGAGCCCGGCGTTTGAGCGTTCTGAAAGCTGGAGCTACATCTTCTCGGTGTCGAGCGTTGAGGATGTCACCCAAACGTTGGACGCTTTTCACGATACCTCGGTGAGTAGCCCGCCAACCCCCGGCCGCCGTGCCCAGTTGGGCCGCATAACTAACACGCTGTTTAATAGAACCTTCCTCCTGCTAGCCGCGCGTATATTAGCGCGGTATCCGATAATGGTATTGTAGTATCTGGTCCACCGAGCACGCTAGATGCGATAGTCAACAACAAGATCTTTCCGCCTAACCCGATCGCCATTCCGGTTCATGGCCCCTACCACGCGCCACATTTGCATTCCACCGCAGACATCGAAAGAATTTTAGAGCTTGACAACCCAGAAACGAAGGACGCCTTCTACAAGACGTCACCGCGATCGCCCATCATGGACTGCTCAACCGGGACATGGTTCTCCCCCATGGACACGAAATCGCTCCTGATATCGGTCGCCTCTACCATCTTGAACAAAGGATTGATGTTCAAAAAGGTTCTCAACGGTTGCGTCGAGGCTGCTCGCCTATTTCAAGACGACAAGTGCCTCGTAATCCCCCTTGGTCCAACCCAAAATCCGTCTACGCTTAAGAGGCGCCTCCAGCAGGAGACTGGATTGGAAGTCACTCTTCGCATGCCGCCTCCTATTTCATCGGAGGCAACGGCATCCAAGATAGGGAACCACGGATCAAGCGGGAAGCCCAAGCTTGCCATTGTCGGCATGGCAGGGCGATTCCCTGACGCTGCCAGCCACGAAGCCCTGTGGAAACTGCTGGAAAGTGGCCTCGCTGTCCATCGTGAGGCGCCACCGGATCGCTTCAATGTCAAGACGCACGTTGATCCCTCCGGCAAAGGAAAGAACATGAGCCACACTCCATACGGCTGCTGGATCAAAGACCCGGGTCTGTTTGACCACCGCGTCTTCAACATGTCGCCGCGCGAGGCGCGCAACACAGACCCTATGCAGAGGATGGCTTTGACCACGGCGTACGAGGCTCTAGAGATGTCGGGATACGTCCCCAACAGGACGCCGTCCACAAGGCTTGATCGGATCGGTACCTTCTATGGCCAGACCTCGGACGATTGGCGCGAAATAAATGCTGCCCAGGACGTGGACACGTACTTCATCACGGGAGGTGTCCGCGCCTTTGGACCTGGCCGCATCAACTATCACTTTGGCTTCAGCGGGCCGAGCCTCAACATTGATACCGCTTGCTCCTCCAGCGCGGCTGCCATGCAGGTGGCATGCTCGGCGCTCTGGGCCCGAGATTGCGACACGGCCATCGTCGGCGGCCTGTCGTGCATGACCAACCCGGACATCTTCGCCGGACTCAGTAAAGGCCAGTTCCTGTCAAAGAAAGGGCCATGCGCTACCTTTGACAATGATGCCGATGGGTACTGCCGCGGTGACGGCTGTGCATCCGTCGTCGTCAAGCGTCTGGATGACGCCCTGGCCGACCAAGACAGGGTTCTCGCCGTCATCCTCGGCACCGCAACCAACCACTCAGCGGATGCTATCTCCATCACGCATCCCCACGGGCCGACGCAGTCGATCCTGTCCACAGCCATTCTCGACGAGGCCGGAGTTGATCCCCATGATGTTGACTACGTGGAGATGCACGGCACCGGCACCCAGGCTGGAGACGGCACCGAGATGAAGTCGGTCACCGACATCTTTGCGCCCGCAAACCGGCCGAGGCCCGAAGACAGACCACTCTTTCTCGGAGCAGTCAAAGCAAACGTCGGGCACGGCGAAGCCGCTTCCGGAGTTACCGCCCTCATCAAGGTACTCCTGATGCTTGAGAAGAACACTATCCCACCCCATGTCGGGATCCAGAACGGCGGGGAGATCAACAAGACGTTCCCTAAGGACTTTGTCGCCCGGAACGTCAACATTGCATTCCGTCCAGTTCCCTTCAGAAGAAGGGATGGCAAGCCCAGGCGCGTCTTCGTGAACAACTTCAGCGCCGCGGGTGGTAACACTGGTCTCCTAGTCGAGGACCCCCCGACAATTCCGCGCGCGAAACCGGATCCTCGCACCCACCACGTTATCACTTTGTCGGGGCGGGTCTGGGAGTCCGTGAAGGGAAATGCTGAACGTCTCCTCGAGTGGACGGAGCGGAACCGCGACACACCGCTCTCGCACATTTCTTACAGCACAACAGCAAGAAAGCTGCACCACGTCTGCCGTATGAGCGTGACGGGCAGGGATATTGGAGATTTACAGGCGGCCCTCAGAGAACGCATCAGGGACCTGGACCTGAATCAAGCTGTACCGGTCCCGCATCAGCCGAGAGTGGTCATGATGTTCACGGGGCAAGGGTCGCAATACGCCGCAATGGGGAAGGAGTTTTACGACCACTACTCGGTGTTCCGCGAGAGCATCGACGGCTTCATTGACCTGGCCCGCCTGCAGGGCTTCCCCTCTTTTCTCCCTCTCATTGATGGCACCGACCAGAACTTGTCCGAGATGTCACCCATCGTGTTGCAACTTGGCTTGGCATGCTTCGAGATGGCCGCCGCCCGCCTCTGGGCTTCGTGGGGAATCAAGCCCGCCGCCGTCGTGGGCCACAGCCTGGGAGAGTATGCCGCTCTCGAAGTAGCTGGCGTGCTCTCGGCTAGCGATGTCATTTATCTAGTCGGTTCTCGTGCCAAGCTGCTCGTCGAAAAGTGCCAATCTGGCAGCCACGGCATGGTCGCCGTCCAAGCCCCGGTCGAGACGGTCTTGGAACTGATGGGCACCGAAGCTGATGGCTTAAACATCGCCTGCATCAACAGCCTCCGCGAGACCGTCATTAGCGGCGAGACTGAAAAGTCAAAGGATATGGCCACCTATATGAGCGACCAGGGTTACAAGTCCAACCACCTGCGTGTGCCCTTCGCTTTCCACTCTCCCCAGGTGGAAGTTATTTTGGATGATTTTGAGAAGCTCGCACAGGGCGTTACCTACAAAACCCCCAAGATCCCCATCATCTCCACAGTCCATGGAAAGGTCATCCAGGGCAAGTCGATCGATGCTGGGTACCTGCGCAAACACGCGCGAGACACAGTCTACTTCCTCGACGGGCTTATCGAGGCTCAGAAGTCGAGCACCATCGATGACAAGACCGTTTGGCTCGAGATGGGCCCTCACCCGGTTCTTTCGGCCATGGTCAAGGCTACATTTGGCGCTAGTACGGTAGCGGTTCCCACACTACGCCGTACTGAGCCCTGTTACAAGACGTTGACGAGCACGCTCGCCACCTTGCACAACGCGCACCTCAAGATAAACTTCAACGAATATCACCGCGATTTCGCCGACTCAGTGCGTCTGTTGAATTTGCCCACGTATTCCTTCAACGATAACAACTACTGGATCCAGTACGCGGGCGATTGGTGTCTCGCGAAGCACAACCTCTCGGTCGCTGCAGCGGAACAAAAGCCTGTAACGCCCTGGGTCGCCACGACGACAGTCCACAAGCTCAACAGAGAAATTGTCGAAGGTGGCGTGGCGATCGTCGAGACCGAGTCCGAGCTCTACCAAGAGCAACTTCGAAATGTGGTCTGTGGCCACCAGGTCAACGGCGCCCCCCTGTGCCCATCATCGCTGTACGGCGACATGGCCATGACCGTGTGCGACTATGCCTACAAGCTTCTGCGGCCTCAGTCAACGGGCATCGGCTGTAACGTCGCGGATATGCAGGTCTTTAAGCCGCTCATCTTTGACGACAAAGCCAAAAGTCACATCCTTCGGTTGACAGTGACTGCTAATGCCGAGGCTGGCGAAGCCGACCTGGTCTTCCACACGGCTCAAGATGGCAAGAAAGTCGAGCATGCTCACTGCAAAGTCTACTACGGCAATCATGACGAGTGGCAGGACGAGTTCGACCGGGCCGCCTACCTTATCAAGTCCCGTGTCGACTTCCTTATGGAGGCAGAAAAACGTGGTGCCGCCTCCAAGATTGGCCGCGGCTTGGCGTACAAGCTCTTCTCCGCCTTGGTCGACTACGGCACACGCTACCGCGGCATGGAGGAGGTTATTCTTGATAGCACTACTTGTGAAGCGACGGCGAAGATCCGCTTCCAGACGACAGCCCAGGATGGAACCTTTTACTTCAGCCCCTACCATATCGACAGCGCTTGCCACATCTCTGGCTTTATCATCAACGGCACCGACGCTGTGGATTCGCGTGAACGGGTCTTCATCTCCCACGGCTGGGGCTCCATGAGATTTACCGAGATCCCGGATGCAAACAAGGAGTACCGCAGTTACATCCGGATGCAGCCGGTGAAGGGCACCGAGATGATGGCTGGCGATGCGTACGTCTTCGATGGCGACAAGATCATTGGCATGACGGGCCGCATCAAGTTCCAAGCCATCAAGCGCCACACTCTCAACATGATGCTTCCTCCGCGAGGGGCCCAGGCAATCTCGGGCCCAGCTCCCTCGGCGATCAAAGCGGCCCCCTCTAAGAAGAAGAAGAACGAGACTGTAAACGCTTCCAACATAGACAGGGTGAACCAGAGGCTCAAGACCGTGACATCCTCAGTCATGGATATCCTTGTCAGAGAAATAGGCTGTAGCCACGGGGAGCTCGTTGACGACGCCTCGTTTGACAATCTCGGCGCTGATTCCCTAATGGCTCTACAAGTCTCTTCCAAGATACGCGAAGAGCTAGAACTCGACATTGAAGCGCAAGCCTGGCTCGATTACCCTACCGTCGGCGCTTTCAAAACCTACCTGGCCAACTTTGAGAAGCCAGGTCGCAAAGAAAGGGCACCATCCACAGGGTCTGCAAGAACGACAGACGACGAGTCACGCGAAGTTGAATATGACTCGGACGTCACGACACCGACCGAAGCCAGTGTTACCGATTCTGTCAAGGGAGATGCGCAGGACGACGTCGAGCCAGGCGACTCTGCCCAGAACCAGGAACTTCGAACCATCATCCGCGAATCCATTGCCACGGAAGCGGGCGTGGACGTGCAGGAAGTCATTAGCGCGTCCGACTGGACGAGTCTCGGGGTGGACTCTCTCTTGGGTTTAGGAATCAGTAGCCGAATTCGTGAGCTAGCTGGCATAGAGGTCCCCAACGATCTCTTCCTTGAGCACCCAACGCTCAAAGATGTGGAGCGCGTTTTGGGCGTCACCGACGTCCCCAAAAAGCCCGCCACCCGCCAACGGAAAAGCACCAAGGAAAAGCTCAAAGCACCCCCCGCTGCAGCCTCCGCTAAGGAGCATCCTCGGATTTCTTTGGAGGAACCCGCCCCTCCAAAACCGCCGAGACCTAGCCACATTGTCGACAAGTACCCCCACCGCACATCGAGTTCAGTCCTCCTGTCTGGGGCTTCCCGCGACCAAACCAAACAACTCTTTATGATCCCGGATGGCAGCGGATCTGCCACGTCGTATACCGAAATCGCCAAAGTCGGTGGCGGGTGGTGTGTCTGGGGTCTTTTCTCGCCCTTCATGAGGACGCCCGAGGAGTATCAGTGTGGTGTCTATGGCATGGCCGCCAAGTTTATCGACCAGATGAAGTACCGCCAGCCCCATGGCCCGTACTCACTTGCGGGTTGGAGTGCCGGCGGCGTCATTGCATTCGAAATAGTCTACCAATTGGTCCAGGCCGGGGAAGAGGTCGCGAACCTGATCATCATCGATGCCCCTTGCCCCCTCACAATTGAACCGCTTCCGCAGGGGCTTCACGCGTGGTTCGCGTCAATTGGCCTGCTCGGCGAAGGCAACGACAAGAAGATTCCAGAGTGGTTGCTTCCCCACTTTGCCGCCTCCATCACAGCCCTCAGCGAGTACGATGCCAGACCGATTCCCAAAGACAAATGCCCCAATGTCATGGCAATCTGGTGTGAGGATGGTGTATGCCATCTACCCACCGATCCCAGGCCAGAGCCGTATCCAAAGGGCCACGCCCTCTTCCTGCTGGAAAACCGCACCGACTTTGGGCCAAACAGATGGGAGGAGTGTTTGGACGTCGACCGCATGCAGTTCAGGCACATGCCTGGCAACCACTTCTCCATGATCCATGGCGATCAGGTATGTTGTGTCTTTTTACTCGGGCTCCATCTATTCATAGCACCCCACTTCAAGAGGCCAAGAAACATGCTAACTCGGGCGACACAGGCCAAAATTCTTGAAGGTTTTTTGCGGGAGGCTCTTCTGGATTGAGGCCGTAGGTGGCCGTTTCGGTTTATTACCTCTCAAGCGGAGCTGGCAGTCCAGAAACTGCTAGGGCTTTTTTTATGGTTTATCACTGTATTGAATTTGGCGTACGTGCATACTTGATAGTGCTCATTGGCATCGTTAGAGATGATTTTGCTGGTTTTTGTCAGGCATGGTGGTGGGTTCTGGTTAGTCGTTGACGACCAAGGGGCATCCACCATACCAGCGATTTCGCTTTACTTCGTTTTGAGGTTTAAATAGCGACCAGTTACTTTTTACTGCTTTTCACTTGTGTTCATGTGTTGCTCGTCCTGCCGTTGTCTGTTCTGTCTACCTGCCCGTACCTTGGATACTTATGTTCTCAACTGATTTAGGCCTAACCACACACCCGTACCCATACTAGGTCACGAGCGTTAGAGGGAAAAGACAAGAATGTTATAAGGCACGGTGTCTGTCTCCCTTTACAAGATTACTGTAACTATCAGGTGCATAACCTTATAAACTCCGAGAGCCTGGGAAGCAGACACAAATTAAAGTTGTCGACCAGATCTCAACCATAGAAACGAAGCAAAAAACGGTGTTTACTCGATTTCCTTTGCTCAGTTTTTTGGGTTTTTTTTTTTTTCCGTCTTTTGGTCTCGCATTTTTTGTGCCAAGATGAGCTGCTTGGCGTTTTCACCCCACAGTAAAGTTTCCCGGCTGTGGTTGGTCAGCTTCCTTGCCCTCGTCCCGATCCGGCAGGAACGGGTTGCAGGGATCCCGCGGGAGTTGAGTTGCCGGCTCGCGGGGGTTTGCCTCCTTTCTTCATCAAACCATGGGAAGTTTTCAAGATGACAGTTAATGCTGCTGCGATCTGAGTTATCAACAACCCTTTTTTCAGCGAAACTATCACAAGGTACAGTTGCAACCAGCCGACCGATACCCTACCGATACCCTGCCGGGCCAAAGTCCTCGGCATTTATTTACTGTGGTATGGTGCATAAGTTTCGTCCCCTGTCGAGGTACCGGGTGGGGCGCGCCAAACCGTCCGCCAGCTGCTGCCAAACCGCCCAAAACCCGCTGCCAAATTGACAAAAATATCCGTGCAAGCCCTGTCAATACCTGGTCCGGGGACGAAACTTACCCATCCCCCCCAAGTACCTTAGCGCTTTAACAAGAACGGACGAGAACACCAGGTCTGTTACCTTGCAAGTAAAAATGTCCACCGGCAGACTGATCGGAGGAAAGACGCGTTGTGGGGGTCACTCAGCAAACCATCTTTGACCCGGCAAGCCACGAAAGGCAACTGCTGGACGTACCCAAGGCAGCCAGTTAACAATATTCACAGTCAGCAGACAAACGGGTTGGGCCGAGAATTACACAGCACAATTCCCCCACTCATTAGCCAATCCAGTTCGGGGACTCCGCGCCTGCATCGCATCCTGAAGCCGGCTGAGACAACTACCCGCCGCTTAGCCATGTTCTCTTGATCTCGAGCGCGAGATAAGTCGTGTTGATTCGCCGCCTTGTCTTCATGGCGGTCGTTGGTGCCATGACTCAGAGGAATGTCTCGGGACCGAGCGATAGACTCGTGCAGCTGATTGCCAACAGAAGATGCCCTTCCAATTAACAACCATTCGCCATCCCCGTGGCAGGTACGAATAACGTGGCGTGTTTTTACATCAGGTCTTCAACGCCATCACAGGTTCCTTCACGACGGCCAACCACTTCCGTCGTGCATCACCAATCATACACACCAGTCGCAGGCAGCGCCCAAGGCCAGAACGAGATGTTTTTGCCTACAACACCAATCGGGCCCATGGCTATCTGCACTTTCCCAACGAGCAACCCAGATACCCATTCCCTGATCCCATACCACGGATCCCCGGGGCGTATCTAGCACTTGTGCTGAAACCCAGCCATCGCCAACCAAGCGCAAACGAAAACCCCAGCTATCGGCTCCCAATTGGGCAGGCTCAAGAACGAGGCTTGTCGATCATTGCCTAGAACAGCCTTACCACCCTTTCCATACCACACCTGCCGAGCCCGCTGAACACCCTCAGCGTCACATCGGCCCCTCGGGACCACGAACCACTCCCGGCGGTCTGATGCATTGACGATGGACGATCCCGGTTGGAAGGGTGGCTCGGCGGGTTGGGGGTGCGGGCTGTGGGAGCACGCTGCATGAGGACAGGGCTGGTTGGTGAGAGGCTGATGGAATACATACATACGCCTCTGCAGCTTGAGTCGTCGTGGCCTCTCCCGACACTGGTCGGGCATATGTCTCTCTGAGAGAGGTGTGCTGGCGGGACGGAGCGCGCCCGTTTCCCTTCCGTCTACCCGCCGTGTTGGCTGTTGTCGGTCCGATCCTTTGTTCTCGCCCTTGGCCCAACGACGCAGTTGGTTGTTGGCGTCGGAGTGCCGCGGGTACCGTGGGCTACAGAGATTCTGCAACACGAAGGGTTCTAAGGCGCGGGGCGCCGGCAGCGACGCCGGGGTTTTTGGGCAGTGGTGGGTAACACGCGCGTTCGGAAGAGCATGAGCTGCTGCGTTACGGGCTGCCAATCTAGCCGGTGTACCGCAGGATTTCGGCGATCTTCCACTTGGCGGCGCGGGTAGGGGCCATGATCTGGCCATTGGCCGTTGGGAGGAGGTAGATACCCGGGGTGTGCCCCTGCGAGAATCCGACATGCGGTATGCAATCTACATATGTTTCGATCCGGCTTCGGCCCCGGCCCCACTCCATGCCGAAGCACCGGGTCTTTGTGGGGCCGTTTTCGGGCCGGGCCGGCCAACTCCGACCCCATGCGATGGGCCTTCCGGGGCGGGCAACTCCGGTTCAGCTGGGGTTGATTGGTAATGCAGACACTAATGTTGTACATTTTGTTTGGGAGCACAAAATGTATCACTGTCACCTCGGACACTACGAAACTCCATGTTCCCGTCTCCGGGAACCACCGGTAGTACCCTCGGAAACCCAGGTCGGCGACTAATATAGGGATTGCGATCTTTTCCAAAGTAGGTGGTCTCACAACTTGTATGTATGTTGATACAGGGCTGTTGAATGTCAAGATTCCTTCTGAACCAGCCGCTCGTCGAGTTCAGCCTCCTGCTCTTTCCTCCCTGGGCCGTGCTGAAAAGCCTGCACCTCGACGGCGCGCGTTCAACTCGTGATGATGGACCTCGCCTACTGAGAGGATTGCTTGGCTCGCGGTGTGCAGTGCCCCTGGACTACATTGACGATCCAAGGTTCGTCCGACCGGGCCCGCGAACCGTTCCTTGCAATGATCTCGACATGGATCTAGGGTCGATGCGGTGCATCCTACGGTGTGGCTTATCGAGGGCGTTCTGAGCACCATTTAGCTTCCCTAATAGCCAACAAGGAATACCTCGGCAGCGCTTCGGGGGAATTATACGGGCAGACACTAAGCATGTACAACCGTACCCCAGCCCCCGGTGGCCCCTGAGAGCATCTGAACGTTTGTGTTTTGACTTGCGCAGTTCTTGCGATTATACGATATGATATGTCGCCATCCGTCTTACGGGTAGCAGCGTGCGTGGGGAGCTCATGACATGCATCCGGGGAAAAATAGCCCCAAGACGGTTGCACAGGAGCGTCCCAATGCCTGCAGTGGTTGATGGGCCTTGACTTTGTGTCGGTGCAGCTTACCCGCGGAGAGCCAAGCTGAAGAAGTCACGGCGGCAAACACTGGTGAAACAAGATTCGAGAATAGTATCCATTCTCGGCAGTTGCTATTCTTAGGAGATGCTTGTGCTCCGGCTTTTGTTGTATGATAGAGTGGGAAAATGTTGGCGTGCGGCATCCAATATCAATGACCTCGAGAGCGGTTGTTCTCTACGTTACAAACGTGACTAGCAGGACAACCTTAAGGAGCCACGCGCGAAATAGAACCACACCGTTGCATTTCGAACACCAACTCCCATGCCACAGACGACGTATTTTACACGCTTGGTGATGGCTCGAGTGGCCTCGAGCCGCCAAACGCGGGTACTGGGTACTCCCCTAGTCATGCCACCAAACTTAATAAACGAGGCTGCATCAACCTACCAAATGGGGCGAAAAGATACGTCTGTCGGTCCGGCGATGCCGCTTCCAACCATGCAAGATGCGGGATGGCTCTGCGTTTGAGACCTCGCAAAAATGGGCGGCTTTATACGTCCCGGAACTGAGCAAGTTCAATAACAACATGCGGCCGGGTTGGTTTATTTCTACCACACGTTAGTCGCCATGCATGGGACTTTGATATTGCGAACGTATATCAAGACCAAGAATGCATCGGTATTGTAATGCCGGTGACAAGCGGCCTTGAATTTTGCCTCGACTAGCGATGTTCCAATATTGGATGTCGGAACAGCTTGGCGATGCGGGACATGTGCTCGATACGACCCCAATGAAACCGTCTTCGAGGCCCACCCCTGACGGCATGGTACTGTCTTGACGTACCTAGCTATGCGTCGAGTTTTTCTCGGAAGGAGAAGAATTTGGTTTGTCGTTAGTTTCAATCTGAATGGAGCCATTATTCTCTTGGCCCTCACATTTTCGTCGGTTGCCGAGAGAGGACCAGGTGTGCAATCCCCACCCCTTTTACCTTGGTGAAGTGATGGTCTGATGTCGCCATATCTTCAATATCGCAAACTACCTAACTAGGATGCCACGAGAGTGGGGGCTATTGCCACGTGCGGTCTTAGAGCCGCAAGGTAAAATGTCGCCAGTGACCGTCTTGGTTGGGCGAGGTTTCATACGGTACCTAAGCAAGGTGACTTGCGCTAATTGTCGGCATCCAACATCTCGCCTCGATTATGGGCCTAGCGAACGCGCTGAACGTGGCGAAATTGGTAGTAAATGACTCGGTTAAGAAGTCATAGCATCCCCACGGATGTCCGATAAAAAAATCGAAGGCGACCATTGCCGTGTCCCGTGCCATTTGAGCAGAGCAACCAAATCTTGGGGCCAAACCAGGGGCCATTCATTGCTGAAGAAGACATGACAAAGACGGCCGACACAAATAACGCATACACCAGAACGATCGAAAATTCGTTGTTTTGCAAGGCGAAGACCGGCCCTGACGATAACCCCACCAAGTGGTTGGCTTGTCGAGATAGTTGAACAGCTGCCGAAAAGAATGAATGGAACCTCGGGTGCCAAGCGATAGTGTTATTGTTTAACAGGTTGTGATATAGCCCAAGAAAAGAACTTCAAAATCAGATCAGATGAAGGCAGATTCACGGAGCCGACTGCGAGACCAAGTTTTGCCGAGAGTGTTGTCTACTGTGAACTTCTCGATCTAAGATGGATCTTCGATCTGCCCTTGCCGTGACTGTCTGTGGACGAGCCCGAGTTGAGGTGAGTTGAGGTGAGCGTTTGCGCCCCTGGAGGCCCCCTGTCTTTTCCCGAGCTAAGCTAAGAATTGCAGTGGGTTAGCGTTGGCGGGGTTTAGGGCTGACCCCAGCAAGAATTCAACCACCTCCATCGCCCCACACCATCCAACATCATCACAACAACATTGCTGATGCATCATGTAACTCGCCCGGGAATTTTGGGAACCTGTCGTGAAGACGACCCGCTTGATTGGTGCTTCATACTTTCTGGCTACAAGGCTACCCACCTCGGATAATTGACCCAACTCACGAACAAAGGAAACTCGATTACTGAGCTCGTTCAAGCGGTGCTCCCGCAATCTGCAGGGCCGGAAGTCGCGACTGGGCCTGCCACACCTATCACGGCACTGAAACCTCGTCACGCCTTGATCTGGTGTTTTCGCCCCCAGTTACCTGGCAGAGGTATTGCAACGAAGCCAGCCAAACAATATGCAATGAGCAGGGCCAACAGGGGGCATGGGGGCTCCTAACCAGGTGCGCGGTCCCGCCTGTTCGCCGATCCCTCCTCGCCTACTTCCCTGTGTACGCGCAACCAGTTCGTGTTGCTGTCCCGGGGGCCTCGCTTCAGCTGCCTGCCTGCCTGGCGAACAACATAGAACGCTGCAACCGACCTCTGGGTTTCGTCGATATTGCTCATACCAACAATAGCACCCCACTGCTCGGTTCGGCGCACGAGGGTTGATTTTAGCCTGTTCTGCACTTCCGACATGAGCCCATCGCGGCGCCTGCAGCACAGCAACCAATTCCCGGGCAGTCGGTCGACTCGTCTCTGTCGTGCCCCCGTCGTGCCGTACCCCCATACCTACGAAATTGCCTAGATCTCGTCATGCCGCAGTGTCGCCTGTTGCTTGCTGTCCCGAGGTCCCGGTCTGGGCACGAATCTGGGAAACCCCAGTCGACGCGGGACCCTGTCCTACCATTGAGCCTTAAGCGGGCGGCGGCGGCATGACCAAACCCGTCATCACGCCTCAATACGAGGAGCCAAGAAACTGGTGCGGTTTTGCCGTACTGAATGAACACGCTCCCACCCAACTAGTGGCCCCTGTGCGACCGACTAAGGTGTTTCGTGTGTTGCGAACGGAGGCGCTGGTTCGAACTTTCCTTGGTGACCAACACCCGAGGCCATCTCTGAATCATGGGCGTCATGGTGTCACGCCTCTCTTCTGCTACAGAATCTCTCTTTTGGACAATCCGAAGCTCACGTTGGAGAATTAATTCGCCAAATAAAAGAAACACAAAGGAGGCTGCTGCGGCCTTGACTTACCGAGCATGCCGTGGCTTGACATTTGGAAAATCTGCTCGGGCATCTGGAGATCACAGACGAACCGCTGATGGACGGTTAAGCCCCACCACCAAGGTGGTCCCTGAGTCGCATCAATGGGCCAAGCGAAGGGTGAATGCCGTTCCAGACAAACCGATCGGATGTCAACCGCAGTATCACCATTCCCTAGGCATGCTAGCGCAGCATCCTGAATCAACTCCGCGCTGTTATGCACGGCTGCCGGGTGTTTGGCGCTCACCCGATGCAGGTCACAACCTAAGCGGATATCCCGATCGAGGTCATCAATGGATCTCGGCTTCGGACTGTCATCTACCCCGAGTGCCCCATGCAGTTGTAGGGACGCTACAATCACCCTGTTTAGGGTTTCGGAGGGGCAACTATCGAACCCGCGGCGGCTCGCAACACCAAAAAAAAAAAAAAAAAAAAAAAACCCACCCGTGTCTTAGTTTCGAAAACGGGCTACAACGGGCCATCATAAGTAGCGGGGACGCTAGGGAATTGGTGTGAATGTCACAAACAGGCATCACCCGTTGTCATATCTCTGGCTAATATGGCGAAGGCGGCCCTGATATTGATAACCAACCCTTGCTCGCCCATCTGCATGAGGAGCGTCCCGACCGGGTTTTGGGGGCTGAAAGAGCACCGCAGAGCGTATCATCCCGCTTCCCTCCGCTCCACACCCTCTCAAGTCAGGCACCAAGCGCCAGACTGCTGCTGTAGCGTTGGAAATCTTCCGAAGAGCGTTGCCCCGCTCGGTCCTGAGCCATTGGGAACTCCCCTCAACATCTCGCTTGTCTTGATTGGGTGGGCATCGTGTCACAGCGAAGGAGGCTTGGCGCTGCGGGCCGTCACCCCACACCTATGTGCACACACACATCTCTCGCAACCCCCCATGTGGACCGACAAGATAGGTATGATGCCAAGCCGGCGTCGATGGAGCCTTGGATGAGCTTATTCCAAGTACCCCTCCGCGGCATTCTCCGTCCAACGAGACAACGGCCATCCATCCCAGGCCATGCGATGCCATGACTTGAAAGTTCCCGGGCCAACGGCACAGCACTCACAAATCCGGCATCACTCTCTGGGTAAAAACCTTGTATTGCACCCCAGCCCGTGTCAAAAGATCCCTGATTCCCACATGCTACAGGGTGGTGATGTGGGCGAGACATGATTGAGAGAAACTCTCCGACCTATCCGCCCCACACCCTCCCCCCCTCCCGGCGGCCAAGAGGTTCCTTTTCAACGACCGTGACACCGAGGATGGGCAGAGAGACGGAGAGGGGGAGAGCCTTCTTGATAGGGGACCAGGGAATGACACAGGAACGGAGCTCCGGGAGGAGGAGCATCTCTCTCATTGCTCGCTGGTTCACCACCCGGCATGTCTCATGCCCGTCATCATGGGACTCGCTGGTGCTGGCGGCGTGACTAACTGTCTCTCTGCTTGTCTGACTGACTGTGCTGTGTCGGCTTGACTGATCGTCCTGGTCTCAAACTGCCGGCTCACTCACAAGGCCTCTCATATGGCGCCATTGTGTGTGCATAGCCACTTGCCGAACTCCAAGACATGGACGGAAAATGAACCGCGCGTGCTGGATCGAAGTTTATGACGTGAGACACGTCAAGTAGGAAGAAGGCGTGTTTCAACCTGTTCCAAATCCGGTTATTGCTGCATGCCGTTAGTAAAACCCAGACACCAGCCCATAACGTGAGCCGGAGAGCAACGGTAAGTGTCAAATGGCTGTCGTAGTTTCGGACCTAAATCCACTGTGGTATTAAGACAAACCCCACTATCTTCAAGCAAATCATACCTCCCCAGCGGGTAGTGTTGTGGTCCGTGCCGCTCAATTCTGCCAACCCTAAACACCAAAATTCGCTCTTAGAAGTGAGCCGCCGCGTGAGAGCTGGGCGTGTGAACAAAAAAAGAACCCCGAGAAAAACAGTGACCGCCGGATGTCTCGGCGCTAGCACCCAGCGCCGGGCGTGGATCCTCCCAAGACATTCAGATTCCAGTTATTCCCCAAAGTAATCAGCTTCCGCTTGATCCCGTCCCCAATGCGCGAACCGTAGCAGGTCTCGATGTTCCTCACAGCACACCCCAAAATGCCAGCTGGGTCCGTAGCAGCAACAGGGGAACCTCCCGGACGTATCAACACGGGCACTCCTTCCCCGCTCCATATGTAATTGATGATGGCGGGATCCTCGAGAGTCAGTTGATCAATCATGACCGGACTGGTGTCTTGTCCCCCAATATTGCCATGCTTGTCGGCATGAATATCGGGATCGACCCTTGAAATGCTGTCCGCCCATAGGATGAGCATGGCTCGGTACATGGCGGCTGGCCACCATACGGGCCGGCGATCCTTGGGCATGGTACGTAACAACCGGATGACTTGGCCGCAATGAATTATGGCCTTTTGGCGCTGAGAGATGCACTTAGCGTGTCGCATCGGTAACTCCCAGTGCAAGCCACCGAACCCTTCGCGGCGCGCCAAACGCTCGATCTCTGAGAAGTCGGTTATAGTGTTGAGATAAACCAAATGGTAAAGGATTAAGTTGCATCGGGTGATGGGGCAACCCTGGTTCTCCTTGTTGTGGCTCATGGTAATGTCGTACCACCGTTGCAGTAAGACCTGCATCTCATCCAACCGATGAAGCATCGAGCTCCTATTCACCGAACATTCGCTGGTGTGTGGCGTACTGAATGTAGTGGAAAAGCACGAAAATGTCTGGCGGAAATGGTAGATCATGGCTTGGAGAGGGTGTAAGATCAACCTCAGTTGCTGTGGAGAGACGCTGGGTTGCCGCCCCATGAGATTGTCTTGAAGGAAATCCTGAAAGAGCTCGTAGAGTGATGAAGCAGCCGAAGTGGCGCTGAGAAGTTGTGGGTTGACGTTGGCTGTGCAATCATGCAGCGATTGCATTGCCGTGAACCATTGCTCTGAGTTCGTCGACATCCAAAGCACCTCGGGTGCGGGTAATGGGCACTGGAGTTCCGTGATGGCAAACAAAGGGGCCGTATCGTGAAATAAACTAAGCTCTTGGTCAAGCATAACGTAGTTGTAGACCAACCTAAGGTAACATGTTAGTCCGCGACCTAGTGGTAGGAGTCGGCCGGCGGGATGGCAACGGCCTACCTGTTCCGGGTCTCGCGTTGAACCCAGGCTCGCCACTGGAGCTCGACGTTTACGGCATCACCGAACTCCGGCATGGTCAAGGTCTCTGATTCCAACATACCAGCGTGCTTGAGCATCTGAAAAAACAAGCAATCAGCGTCACTGAGCCACTCGCCAGAATGCGTTCCGCCGTCTACTACTCACCGACATGTACATGCCCCGTTGCCCCATAGCAATGTCCATGAGCCACTTGTCCCCGCTCCAGGCACCAAGGACAATAAATAAAAGTGCACAGCGAAGAGCGGTGGGGTCGGCCGAGAGTTCGACGTCTTTCTCAACAATGTCGAAGAGAGAAATGCGGCAAGTCTCAGTCAGACCTGCTGAAAGATGGCGGGCCTCTGGAATCGGCATAATTGCTGCACCCTGAGCAATCATGAGGAGAACAAGTAGCGTCGATGCTCGATTGTTCTGCAGCATCTCGTTCGGGTCCACGCAGCCGGCAGCCACCAGCGGGTAGTAGACCGATAAGCTGCGGACGTAGCTGCGCAAGAAGCACTCCAAGATCTTGGAGGGCGGTAGGACGATGAAGTTGCAATCTCCAGCGCGGGAATACCCATGTTTCGAGTAGCCAGAATGGCCTCCACGGTGGATGTCCAGAGCCTTTTGGAGAAAGCTCTGCGTGATGGCGAGCATCTTGTCTCGTGTCCGAGAAGTCAAAGGCACGACTGACGCCAAGTCAGGCACATCCCAGTCAAACTGTTCCATGTGCTTTTCCAACGCGCTCCACGTCCCTTCCTGCTTTGACTTTTGCTCTAAGCACTCTAAATGGACGATCGCCGTACGCGGACAGCTTCCGGTAAAGGTGGGGGGGTTGCACCGCGCGAAGTTCCACGCCCCCTCGGCAACGAGCACCACCTCGAACTCGGGAATTGAATTGCCGGCCGGGGCTGCCATGGTAAATTCCGAGGCCTTCAAGCCTAACTCAAAATCAACAGACATCATGTCAGTCCCCGGGGTGTTGGAAGTCCTGGACGATGACAAGATCACCTCGGGGGGAGATGGGATACCGCTAAAGGCGGAAACACCAGCCATGGACATATCCCGTGGCCTACCAAGTGAAGGGGTACACTGATAGCCGTCAAGATCCATGTGTATTTCGGGCCACGATATAAAGTCCTGATATGCAGCCTCTGGGATTGTGAAGTCGTTGCTCATTGGCATGAAGTCGTCTAAGCCACTGTCCATTCTCGTATGAGGCGATGGAAACCCCCCAAGGTGAAGTTGAGGATGGTGCAAAGGCGAGGCCTCTGAGGGAGATCCCTCATCACTAGTGCCTAGAATAGCGACAATGACGGAAAGGAGATCCATTACCCTCTGCCTTTACTCCGGCTTGGCCGGCATCCCTCAGCGCCAGGTTGGCGGCCCCTGGCGCGTGGGTTCGCTGGTCCGAGTCGGTGAGCGAGTTCTGAAATGTGCCGCTTGATTGCGCGGTCGCCTGCGCTGCGCGCAGAGCGGCTTTCGATGATCGCCTCGCAAACCGGGCCTCGCATACGAGATTCTTTTCGCTACATCTCGTACAAGGAACTTTTTTGTCGCAGCCTGTCTTTGCGCTTGCGCAATTTTGACACGCAATGGGTGTCCGCCCAGCGGCCGGCGGCAGTCCTCCCGGCAAGGTTCCCATAGGATCCTTGTGTTCGTGATATGTGGAAAAGTGTCTCTGGAGCAAGTCTCTGTGGAAGAAGCAAGTTAGACTCCCCGCCCTACCCTTCTTTTGAGTTGAGAAGGCTCGTTGTACTTGCCGTCGGGAAAAGCCCAGCCGACACACGCTACAGCAGTGTGGCTTGACGTTGGTATCTAGGTTGACGCGAGGTGTTAGTATGAATGTAAGAGTTTCATGGGTAGTTAGTTTCTCACGAGTTGGTAAATGTCGTTCCAGGTGCTCCTTGCGGGAGAAGCCCTTCCCGCAGTAGGTACAATAGACTCTTTCGGCCGCCTTCTGCTTGCTTGGTTCAAGATCTGGCGTTTTGGGGGCTGGCATCTCGGACGAGCCCGAGCAAGATGACC